GGGGGCGGGGCTTTGGGTAGTATTGAGCAATCAAGTCACATAAGTGACAGTCCTGCAGGACATTTTTGGTGCTTTTTGGTGCTCTTGTGACTTGTTTGTGATATATATATGTGTTGTTTTTGGTGCTTTTGGTGCCATATGGGGCTATTCTGAGTTGTTTGCTATGTTCTCGTGATGTTTGATATGTGAGAAATGCGAGGATTTGCGGCAACTATTCGCGGTCACGTGACGTAGGCAAAACTTATCACAAAATCGCACATATCCATGCCATTTCCTTACCTTTCTAAACCAGCCTACTCACGTGATCCTTTTGCAATCGCTCAAATAGCTCTCAGGTGCCCCAGGGCCAATCAGCTTCTTAAATCTATGGATGTCACGTTTTATCGGGCCTAAGTCGGGCAGGAGGTGTAAACATCTATAATTTCACGTCAAATTCTTACGCCTTCCGAATCACTATTATCACGTGTTTGTATTGCAGGGTTGGTAGCGTGTTTGAGGGACTCCTGGGATAATTAGATGCAAGAAAACATGCATGTCACGTTCTAGAGGGTGGAAATTAGCTCAGTGGCATAAAGATACATGAAACGATGTCAGATTCCGACCCGTTCGAATTCATGTACTTACGTAATCGGTTTGCGGGGTTGGTAGTTAGTTAGGGTCTTTGGAGGAGTGCTGGGCTAATAGGAGTTGACAAATGTATAGATGTCACATTCTAGCGGGCGTGAATTAGGTGGGCGGTATATTAATCCTCAATCTAATGCTAAATCCCGATGTATTAGGTTTGACATACTTACTTGATTATTTTGCAAGCGCTGAAGAGGATTTAGAGGGCTCCTGGGCCAACAAGGGCCACGAAATGAAGGATGCCACGTTCTGGAGGCTGTGAATTGGGTGGGAGATGTCTTGAATCTATAATTTGATACTAAATCCCATCGTATTGAAAACAAGCATGCTCACGTGACTGTTTTGCGGTGAGGGTAGCGTCTTTGGAGGACTCCTGGCCTAATTAGAGTGGAAAAAGTACAGATGTCACGTTCCGGAGGCCGTGAATTGGGTGGGAGATGTATTAAATCTATAATTTGATGTTAAATCCCAACGTATTAAAAACAGCGTGCTCACGTGATTGTTTTGCAAGTGCTGAAGTAGATTTGGAGGACTCTGGGCCCAATTAGAGTCAAGAAATCATTGATGTCACGTTCCAGAGGCCGCGAATTGGATAGGTGGGAGATGGACGCAGCCGTGGGGACGTTTCGAACGTGCGTTCTAGATCGAGTGTACTTACGTGCTCGTTTTGCACTGTAGGAGGATGACCTCGAGGACTCTAGGGCCAACGAGAGGTAGGAAACCATGGATGTCACGTTCTGTAGGGCGTGAATCGGGTTAGAGGTGCGTAGATATAGCAGCGGGAAGTTTTTTGACGCACTTTCTTGATTGGGTATGCTTGTGCGTGGGTTTGGAGGTGTTGATATGAGTGTGGAGAACTTCCGGGATAATAGGAGTTGAGAAAACATGAATGTCACGTTCTGGAGGGTGAGAATTGGGTAGAGGTAGATAAATACAGCCATTTTTGGAGAATTGATAGGGTGTCTCAGGCGCTCCTGGAGGTGGGAGAGGTAGGAAGAAGAGGATGTCAAGATTCGGAGGGTGTAAGTTGGACCGGAGACATACGAATTAAGAATGCGGTCGCAGATTCTAACCCAACCAAAATAAGCATGATCGAGTGTGCATTTTTTTTAGGTGCTGATAGGGGTTTAGGGGCCCTCTGGGGGTGTGAGGAAGACGGAGAAGACAATGTCACGTTCCGTAGCACGTGAAATGGACCGATGGTGCTTTCATACGTCTCGGGACCCCGTTTCCAGACGTTCCATAGATTGATAGACTCATGTGATTGTTTTGAGGGCGTTGATAGGGGTTTCGGGGACTCCCGGCGGTGAGAGAGGTAGGGAGAAGAGGATGTCACGTTCCATAGCACGTGAATCGGGCCGGTAGTAGTTTCATGCATTGGGAGCCCCGTTCTCACACGTTGCATATATTGATATGCTTTCGCGAGCATTTTGCGGGTGCTGACAGTGGTTTGGAGGACTTCTAGGGACTCGATATCTAGGAGATGCGGATGTCAAGTTCCATAGCACGTGAAATGGTTCGGTGGCATTTAGATGCCTCTAGACGATATATTCTCACGCACTCTTGAGATTGATATGCTCACGCATGCATTTGGCGGCTGCTGATAGGGGTGTGGAGGACTTAAGGGGATAGATTATTAAGAAATGTGGACGTAAAGGTTACGGGGTCGTGAATGGGACAGGCAGAATATACATAGCTCTACGGGATCTCTTTCCACGCGCGTTATGAATTGAACATACCCACCTGTGCATTTTACGCGGTCCGATAGGACTTTGGAGGACTTCTAGGGATGGATGGAATGCGCTTGATGAAGCCTGCAGCGATGCGAGTTCAACCTACATGGTGAATTCAAGGTTCCCAAACTTCAATTCTGAACGATGCATACTCAATCACTTACCCTCATCCAGCTATCGGAGTGGCTTCAGCTTAGTAGTAGTAGGGTTGCCAAAATTGCTTTTGGGTGGCTTCGATAAGGATGAGGTTGATTTAAAGCTGGGCCGTCACCCCACAAAAGCAGCCGTGCACCGTCGCCGTTCTCACATGCTTGGCGCAGACGTCAAGGGATCCTCAACACCACGGCCATCGACCACACCGCGCGCTCTCTCGAACCCCAACATGCCGCCCCGATAACCATGCGCGGCATTCTCCCCGGGCGGCCGCAGGCGAAGCTCCAGGCCGTCACCACCGGGCTGTGGGAAAACCTGCAGGTCATTGTGAGAGATCCCCAGGCCGGCAAAGTGACGCGCATGGCGTGTAATGCTAACTATTTATTCCGTAGGCGTATATATCTGGGAATTCGGTCGTTGTGCTTGATGGATATAATCATGTCCTGCAAACCATCTATATCAAGGAAGAGGAGGAGCTGGAGGCGATCAAGTTCGATGAGGAGACCGGGAAGATCGCGGCATGTTCCGGCGAGCATATCTACATCTACAAGCCTTATGGCAAGGATGAAGGAGCTTTGAAGGTTGCTATATATCGCCACCCTCTGATGATCCCAAGCTAATCAGTATACTCCGACAGTGGTCCCTCCAAGGCACCCTCCCCCTCGCCTCCCCGAACGACCACATAACCACCCTCTCCTGGGGCCTCGACGAAGAGCTCCTCGTCGGTAGCACCTCCCTTACCCTCTTCTCCACCCACAGCTCCCCGGAGCAGATCTGGACAAAACGCCTCGCCAACCCCGCCAAATTCGCCCAGTTCTCCCCAGACGCAACCTTCATCGCTTCGACGGGGACACACGATCGACTATTGAAGATATGGCGGCGGCTGGCATTTGGCTCTGTGGAGCAGGCGTTTGATTACAGCTACCTCCCACACCCCTCCGCAGTCACGGGCATGCATTGGCGGAAACCGTTCCATAAAGAGTCGGCATCGGAAAACGTGCTGTATACCATCTGCGCGGACAGCAAAGTGCGGGTCTGGACAACGGGGGAGAATCACGGGAGCGATGGCTTGGTGCTGTGGGCGGAGATTGACTTGCTGGAGTCGATACAGCCGCGGGACCTGGAGCAGCAGAGCAAGAAGCGATACGCCTTTTTCATCGACAGCAGGGATTTCACGTATGCGACGGAACGAGCGGTGCAGAGAGCGTCGAACGATGATAAAGAGCAAATGGCACTTTCGCATCTCATAGAGGTCGCGAACCGCAGTCCGGAGGTGGTGGTAGTGCTGGACGATCGAGGGAATATGTCCGCGTGGGGTCTCGAAAGCATTGGCTGCAAAGTCAGGAAAACCACTGATATCTTCAACATCGCGCACGTTGAAGGGCTGCATCTCCATTTCGCCAAAGGCGCAAGCGGGCTGGACGACAACGTGCAGTTCCATGCTTTCTGCGGTGATAAGCCGGATAGCGTCTTCACACTCCTCACGCATCATTTCGATGGCAGGATTGAGTGGCTTGAGAGCCGCGTTGATTACCTCTTTGATCCTTCAGCTCAGCCGCATCGGATACAGCGGAAGGCGGTCTGGACGGGACATTCCCATGCTATCAAGAAAGTCAACCGGACGGCAAGCGGAAGAGCTCTGATCTCGCGCACGGTCAATGATGAGAGCGTCGTGTGGGTGCAGAGGCATATTCAGTCTGGCATGACTCTCCATCGGCATAGTATGGTCAATCATGGAGGGCACATCCATCGCACGTCTATTCTCCACGAAGGAAACTTCGTCGTCTTCCTGCATCACAAAAGCATCTCCCTCTGGGATTCACGAGGGCCGGTCGCGGTGGAGGTCGCCCGCTGCCAATACAAGCTCCAGGGCAAACCGCTATGTCTTCTAGTCGTCCCCGAGACGGAACCTGGCAGGGGTTGTATTCACATCGCAACTATTAGCTCTGAGATGAAGGGATTGGCTTGGGAGTTACAACTTCCGCCAGAAATTGACCCGCTCACGGGAAGGAAATTTTCCAGCATAAGCGCATCGGCTCCGGTGTACACCAAGGCCGCTCAAACGAATGGCCACTCTGAGATCACGATGAAGGAGTATGGATCGTTTGATCTTGGCTCCGGCGATGGCCTAGCTTTCGTGCTACCAGTCGATCCCGCCGGAACAGCGCCCGTCATCTCAGGCTTCCTAGATACTTTCGCACGCGACGTCGCCATTTCAACCACAAAATCTGGCATCATCAAATCATGGACAGCGAGAGTCAACTTCGAGCAGCAAAAGCTGGATTGGCTTCTTACCTCAACAGTCGACACAAGCATTCCCAATCCGCACCTTGCCAGCGGCACGTCGATACGAAAAGCTGCCCTAGTTGATGCTGAGAAGACTACCCTCACGATATGGAACACGAGAAGCGCCATGCTAGAATACGAAGAGCGGTTCGACGGGCACGGCACGATTCAAGACCTCGATTGGTCGTCCACGCCAGACAACCAATCCATTCTGGCGGTCGGCTTCCCACACAGAGTCGTTATCTATGCTCAGCTGCGGTATGACTATCTCAATGCCGGTCCGTCATGGACGCAGATCAGAGAAATCCGCATCCGCGACCTCACGCCTCATCCCATAGGCGACTCTGTCTGGTTGGGCAGTGGCAACCTTGTCATTGGCGCAGGTAATCAGCTGTTTGTCCAGGATGAGCATGTTGAGGTCGATGGCCTGTTCCCTAGTCTGCGACTGCTATCGAGAAAGAAGGCGGAGCTCGATATTTTCACTGCCGTTAGTAGGCTGAATGGGCCGCTACCGGTCTTCCATCCTCAGCTGCTTTCGCAGTGTGTGCTCTCCGGGAAGGTGGCACTTGTTCAGCGGATCTTGCTCACTCTTTATAAGAAGCTGAAGTTCTTTATCCCAGGTGATGAGTTGGAAGGGTTCTTGGGGTTCGAGGCCGAAGACTTCTCGGAGGATCACGATGTAAGCTATACTAATTCCTTTCTGTAACTCCGGTTATACTGACTCTACAGACTGCTATGACAGCCTCCCGGAAAGAGATGCATTCCTCCTACGCCGACTTCTCCGAAGACTCAGATCCCGACACCGTCACCGAAGCTGTCGCCAACTCCCTCAAAGAAACCCTTACCAAAGTCCAGCTGCCCGAACTCTCCTCCCAAGAGCAATTCCATCTCGCCGACATCATCGAATGTGTAGGTACGGTCGAGAAGCATCGCCGCTCCATCGACGACAACGCCGGTCGATTCCTGCTATTCTTCAGACAGCACGTCCTCCGCTCTGGCCAGCATTCCGCCGAAGAAGTGCCCATCTCCTGGCGCGAAATTACCTGGGCTTTCCACAGCGGCAGCCAAGACATCCTCGTCGACCTCGTCTCCCGCCACTTCAGCGGCCGCATGCTATGGCGCCACGCGAGGGAAAGCGGCATCTTCATGTGGATGACCGATCTCACAGCTCTAGTAAGCTCATCAACTGTTCGCACCCCGAACACTGCTGATAAGTCCACCAGCGCGCCCAATTCGAATCCATCGCCCGCAACCAGTATACCTCCACAGACGACAAAAACCCCGTCGACTGCTCCCTGTTCTACCTCGCCCTCCGCAAGAAACCCGTCCTCATCGGCCTCTGGCGCATGGCCACCTGGTCCCGCGAACAAACCCCCACCCTCCGCCTCCTCTCCAACAACTTCTCCGAAGCGCGCTGGAAAACAGCAGCGCTGAAAAACGCCTACGCTCTAATGGGCAAGCGGCGCTTCGAATACGCCGCCGCCTTCTTCCTCCTCGCCGACCACCTCGCCGACGCCGTCTCGGTCCTCTCGAACCAGCTTGGCGACACGCAGCTCGCCATCGCCGTCGCACGCGTCTACGAAGGTGACGACGGGCCCGTCCTCACCGCCTTCCTCAAGGAAAAAGTCCTGCCCCAAGCCACGCGCGAGGGCAACCGCTGGCTCGCGACGTGGGCCTTCTGGATGCTGGGGAAGCGCGACAGCGCTGTGCGCGCGCTCGTGCAGCCCCTCACGACGCTCATGTCGCCGCCGGAGACGCCGTCGTATTCCTCGAAGCTGTTTTTGACGGATGATCCCGCGCTGGTGGTGCTGTATAAGATCCTTCGCGCGAAGAGTCTGCAGACGCTGAGGGGCGCGGCGATGGTGAGTCCACGCGCGGAGTGGGAGTTTGTGCTGCATACCGCGGGGTTGTATGAGCGCATGGGCTGTGATCTCTTGGCCCTAGATTTGGTGAAGACGTGGGAGTTCTTGTTGCCGCGGGTGCAGCAGAGTAAGCTACCGCAGACGCCAGTGGATGGGGTGGCGGCGAAGACGAAGGGGCCGCTGGATGCGGATTTCGATCCGCGTACGCTGCTGAAGAGGAGGAGTAGTTTGGTGGTGGCGGATTTGCCGACGAGGGAGCATGTTAGGAATGCGTTGCAGGAGGCTGAGGGGGGGATTGAGGAGAGTAGTGATGAGGAAGATGGGGAGGAGGAGGGGGAGAAGGTGGATGGGGTCAAGGAGAAGGAGGGGACGAAGAAGCCGCCGCCAACGCAGTTCCAGGAGCCGGATGCTGGGAGTTTGTTGGATGCGTTTGGGTTTTAGGAAGTCGTGAGTGTAGTATAGGTTGTATGAAGTATGGCATTGGTGGTGTTGATGGTGCGATTGCTAGACTCGAGCGAAATCGGATTGTTTGTGGTAATGGCATGGCTTGTAAGTGTGCTTTCGATCAATCAAAGACATAGTCACGAGTCATCTCCAACGCGTGCAGTTTGGGTTGTGAGGTCTTGTGAGGGTCATTTTGGTTTGAATCAAAGGGTCATGCTGAAGAAGCTCCTCGATGACCTTGATATGTGAGTCTGGGGTAAGATTGCTGGAAGTCAGCTGTCTCTATCACTCTCAACTTCTCGATTGCTTCTACACACACTTCGCAAGTAGCTGTTATATGAGCAAACAACTCTATGGTATAAATCACTGCTCATTCTCCCTCTCTAAATCCCCATCGCAGACTACTATTCCCTTGTACATCATTCCGTCTGATTCTTATATCATTCCTAGCTTTTCTATATTTTTTCCAAATTTCCTAAAGTATACCACGCTTCTCCAAACAGTGTCAAAAGTGTGTGTGGTCCCTCTTGATGGTGCCTGAAACCCGCGGAGCCCATGGGCGCCAACGCTGCACATGGTTATACCTTCATGGTTGATGGTGTCGAGCCCGAGCAGAACGTGGAGTGGCTGACCCCCTCTGAAATGTTTAACACTCCCAAGAAGCCCTCTTTATGGATACCACATCGGCCAGGAGTCATATCATGCACGCTGAGCGACCATGCGTGATCAGCAAGAGGGCAAGGTCCCTGCCCCTGGCCAGACGCCGAGTCTTGCAACATGCGCACGGCCCACTATGATGTCTTGCAGTCTGTCAAAACCGTTGTGGAAGACCACGATGGATTCTTGCTCCTAGCCAATTGCGGCTCTCCGTAGACAGGAACGACAAACCGGCAGAGGATGAAGCTTATGTGGACTCGGCCAGCCCTTCTCCGAGCCGCGCTCAAGCGCAGCCGGTGAAGATTCGCTCTGGAGGCTTCTTGGAAACGCCCATGAGCGACTGGAAAAGGCACAAAGCGTCCGTTTCGGCCACAAAGCGCCTGGTTTCAGTCGCTATGGGCGGAAGGCAGTCGGGTAGGCTAATCTTCACTATCTTTGAATTTGGTAAGCTGAGGTATATAATCTAGGGTTCGCCAACGACTTGCTTGCTTTGTTCTTCAGATCACTCAAACAGCTTCGATTGTAAGTTATCTTTTTCAACATCCTGCTGCAAGACCTTCAATATTGATCACATCGGCAAGACCTTCAAATCGAGCAGCACAAAAGTCGTCTCCACCCCGCCAACCCCCCAACTCTCCGCCTTCGGACTCGCCCGCTAGACACGGCTCCGAGACAAGACGGGGACTGGCCCCGCTACGACCAGGCTCTTGCGCTGGCGTACTACATGCGCCAGGCCCGTTACGATGTCCACGGCGAGGTCCGCGGCTCGAAGCTGTGGCTATATGTATGCCACCCCGCCGACGAGGGCCCCGACGAGGCCTACTGGTGCCAGGAGCGCTCCGGACTTGTGTCCAGTGACGCTCAGATGCAGGCGGAGATTGCTGCGAGAGGTCAGACCCTCTGAAGGGAGCTTTCTTGGTATGTGTGTTGTTCTTGATGTTTGGATAATTGTTAACTTATCACAGACAACAGCAAAGAGGGCCTAGTAGATGGTGGCTTGGGAGGGAGTCTGGGAGTCGGACTTCATTCTACAAATAGACCATAGATCACGACCTTTACAACAGAGCAATGTACACTAGATGGCTTCTCGAAGCTAGTCTAGACCTTTCATTATCAATCACGCTTATATATAACTTGTGATACTCTTTGATTCATGCCCTATGCAACACTTATCTACTTTCTATACAAATCCTGGACTTATTTATATGTACTGTGCATATACCACTACTCTGGCTCCACTCTTGCCCGCTCGACACCAGTGTAAGGAGGGCCCCAGAAATAAGATATCTGTCTCGTCAAAAGCTAGTCTAATATCCAACCCTTTGAACTTTGGCCAATTCTGCGCGCCCCTACAACTTCAAGATAACTTTGGGCACCCGGATATATCACTGCTCCGGCTCCATTCTTGCTCTCAACACCACTGTCAGGAGGGCCCTGGAAATTGGGTATCGGTTCGGTCAACAGGTAGTCTAATATCCAACCCTTGGGACTTTGACCAATTCTACGCGCCCCTACATCTTCAAATTAAGTTTGGGCACCCGGATCTATGAGTGCTTCGGCTCCATTTTTCCTCACCCGACGCCACTGCAAGGAGGGTCCTGGAAATTGGGTATCAGCTTCGTCAACAGGTAGTCTAATATACAATCCTTGGAACTTTGACCATTTCTGCGCGCACCTACGTCTTCGAAGTACGTTGCCGTCCACCACTACCGCCTCCTGGTGTCACGACCAGTGTCTTACTGCTGGTATTCAGCATCTAATTTAGTTCTTACTTTGTACGATCATATGCAGCCGAAGCCCTCCATAGACTGAAGCTTTCCATCACTACCACGTCCTCCTACTCCACACAGGTGCAGGTGGGTGTCCGATCTCGAAGCTTCTGTTGAAAAGTGGTAGACTGACAGAATAAGCCGTAGAGCGGCTGGAGAAGTCACAAAGCGTCGCCAGAACGAAGGTACCCGAGAGGCCACCAGGCGCCTGGATCGGCCGCTTAGGAGCGGAAGCTGCGCTCTGGCGGGCTGTCTATTCACTATTTCTGAGTTTGGTAAGCTTAGGTATATAATCTTGGGGTCGCCGACGTCTTTCTTCCTTTCTTCAGAAAACATCACAGCTGCAGAAGCTTTCTAGATCACAGTAAGTCTTCTTCTATGCCTTTCAAAGGATTTGATATTGACGTTACCTCTCGCAAGATCTCGAAAGCAGTACCAGATGTCTTCTCCACCGAGACAGAACCCAGCGAGCCCAGGCAAGGGCGCGAGCTCCCCTGGCGGAGCCAGCACCAGCTCTCCACGCAAAGCCACTACAAGCTCTTCCGGCGTGTACATTCCCACCTCGCCCACTGATGGCGAGGCCATCATGCCCGCCAATCGACCCGCGACCCCTGACGCCGAGAACGAGACGCGGTATGCGCTTCCTAAGCCTCCAGGTACTCCTAACACTACTAACAACACCGGTAGCCCCCCTCTACTCCCTCCGCATGCCAGCAGCGTGGATACCTCAGCCTACGAAACTGCCGACTTCCGCGCTGCCCAGCAGCTGGTTCTCGCTCACCAGCATGTTGGACGGATGACCACTGACGCCGCACGCACATATACGCTGCGTGCGGGAGGACCCCTTCCTGTCCAGTCCGAGGGCCAAGTTCCAACTCCTGGCCAGGCCATGGCTCTTGCGGCCTACATGCGCGACGCCAACTATGACGTGCGCACTGTGGTACATGACAACAGTGTGTGGCTTTTTGTCGCACACACCGACAACCGGGCCGAGGATGAAGCTTTCTGGATCCAAGAGATCTCGGGTCATGCCTTCAGCGAGCTAGAGGTGAAGGCCCGGGATGCTGCGAGGACTTGGGGCCGTTGAAGGGCTCGTGCAAGGTATGTTTGTTGTTCTCTATAATCTTGACATAACTCTAACATCCTCCAGAAACAACCCAAACTTCGACAACTTTGACAAGAGGTGATCCATGCGGGATAGAGTTTGGGGTTTAGACTTCATGCAGCACACAGGTCATAGATGGCACACTTCTCAGCGTAAAAATGACACTCTAGACGGCTTTTCGAAGCAAGTCTAGACTATTCACGATCGATCAGGCTTGAATGTAACAAGTGATGCTCTTTGATTTTAACGTCCGATTGTCAATATGTGGAGATCTTTGAAGCAACTCTACACTAATCAAGATCTCTCAACCGTGAATGTAACTTTGTAGGCATTACAGATCCGCCCAAGCTCAACCATATACAGTCTATATCATCCTGAGAATCTCAATTCGAAATGCCCACTTCTACATCTTCTATAGCGGATAAGTTGCAGAAGACCACTGCACCACCACATATATCTTTAGAAGACCTCTACACCATGCAAGACTAGTAGCCCTTGAATGTAATGTTTCAGACGCTCTAGATCTAGTCCCAATTCACCACATGCGAAGATTTCATGGGAAATGCAGTACGGACTTCCAAAACTATCATATCAGAACCTATAATCTGGCTGGCTCGAAGTCCGACATCAAACAGAATACCGCTGCACCATTTCATAGTCTCCCGAAGAACCTCTACACCATGCAAGACCATTCGCTCATGGATGTATCGCCTTGAGGTCTCTGTATCTGCCCCGATTCTCCCACACGTCCAAAATATGTCCAAAACAGCTCTGTATTTCCTCAAGCTCTTAATGGCGACCTCCCAAGTTGCCCTCTCTCACTTCAGAGAGTAAAACCCGCACAGCTGTACCCCAAGAACTCCCTCACAGCCACCCCAGCCCTATCCAAGACACGCCTACCGCGAATGTAACGTCCCGCGCTCTTCAGATCTAGCCGTAGCGCTCTAGCATAGCAGAATGACCCCAAGCCTGCTCCTACTTTTTCTCAAGCTCCAGATTGTAACTCCTCGTCTCAACGCTCTTCATACCAGCCGAGTAATACCACACCACTGCGGCGTAGAAGACTTCCCTAGCCGCCCCTGGCCTATCTAGGACATAGCCTGCGTGAATGTCACGTTTCAGACCCTCCCAACTAGACCTGCTGACTCCCCTGTTGTGTTCCTCCCTGTATCTTCCCCCCAACAAAGACGGCTAGAGGCAGCGAACCTGCCGGTGGCCTTAGATATCAAAGGCTTGTTCGGAGGCGAGCTCATGAGGAGGAGGGTGTGAGAACAGCAGGTGTCGGAGCTCGATAACGCGTGACTCGTTATGGTTGTTTGAAGGCCGTGAGAGCGTGTCGAAGGAGGAGAAGGCTCATAATCGCCAGACGAGCTAGTCGCGGCTTAGAACTATGCTGAAGCTCGCAACCACTTATTCCGCTCAACTTGGTAACGCAAGCGTGTGGTGTTGAGGTTCGCGGCGTCCTCGCGCGGTCGGAGGGTGGGTTAAGGGAGGCGGCTGGCGACGCCGGCGGCTTCGGCGGCCAGGAGTCGATTAGGGAGGGCTTTCGCCGCTTTAGTTGGAGGAGCGGAGAGGTAGTAGGGTGTTGCGATGCTCGGGGAGAGGCGGTAGAGGCTGCCGAGTATGTCGTTGTTGGAGCAAGATTCGGGCGGTGTGGGCCACGCCATCTACAGCAGCGTAGTAGATACGATGGGGACCTATTCCTCAACTCTTCTGAGACTATTGATGGTGTCTTTGGGGTCTTAAGATGCACGGCCCGGTGGTGCGGAGGAAGGCCTTTTGGATGCGGTGTCTCGACGACTGTCCCAACGGATGGCTGGCGACGCCATCGCGTCTGGGCAGGAGATGCCTCAATATGAACGTGTCAATTAGGTCTTCGGATATAGTCTACAAAGTGCGATAGATCTCACGATGTGCGATGGTGTAGGAAATGAAGCGTTCTCAGGCAGTCCATGACGGCCTGTCGCCCACGGTCTGGCGACGGCATCGCCATCTACACAGTCAACACCATGAAGGGCCTTCTCCCTACTATCCAGCCCGCCTTGAGCGCTATCTGGTCTCAAGATGCGTGGCGCCGTGGCTGGATGGCCGCTGGACTGGTCGCGGTCGCTCGCGAGATTTGCTAATGACGGCACAAAACGCAATGTAGCTGACGGAGATGGCATTCAATTGTTCATTAAGCTTCATCAGACCGTCTAGAGCTCTACGGAGATTGGAAGGCAGGTCATTGTGAAGGTGCCGCCTATGATGTGGCTGCCGGACATCCTCAGCGCCAACGCGAGCTCACTCCTCCGCGACCCCACGGCGGCATCGTTGACGGCCATCAACCCTGCTTGCTACTGCTCTACAGCATACACGGCGCATGAATCTAAAGCATGGCAGGGGTGAAGAGCAGCAGTGCGACAGCATGGCGCCTCTCCTCAACGCCAGGCGCGTACAATCTTCATCACAACAAGACGCGTCACTGATAGCCATCACGAACAACACCACACACAATCAAGACAGTCAAAGCAAGAAGAGACCAAGAGACCAAAGCATTTCTTCTTCGAGTACCCAGACAAGCTGAGTAGATCAATGAAAAAAAAGGTTGAGGAGATATCTCACTCGAGGTTTGTGTTTCCAAAAATTCCCTGCCGATCCGAAGACCGACAAGAGTGGTCTTTCGGTAGTTTTCAACCAGCAACAACACGGTCTCGGACGAATCCTCACTGACGCGCGTAATGCCCTAAGAGAATGTTAATGAGGAGTTGTGGAAAGGATGGGGAGGGGAGGACGAACCTTGCACTAAGATGAGGAAGGAAGTTGGTCGGTGGGGGGCTAGCTTGATATACCCAGGCGAAATTGGTGCTGACTAAGCCGTGGGCTAAGCGAGGGACTGTGATTGGTTCGCGGGGTGAAGTGGTGGAAGCCTGTGGAACCTTGGAAGATCAGGTCGGGCGCTGTTGCCTGGAGCTGCGCGGGTGGCTAGTGAAAAGCTGCGCGGGTGGCTGGTGAGTGAAGGAGAGTGGCGGTGGAGAGGTGAGCGGGTCTTCCAACCCGCTGCGCTCCTTGACCAGCCTGAAACCTATGCATTCCCGCTCGTGTGCCTCGAAGGTTATGTTGAGTCCATTGGTGCCTCACGTCAACTCTGATATCTTCTTATGGATATGCCGTTCCTCTACTTCTGTCAACGACCTTGCTTTATTGCATATCCGGTTTCAAGTTTAACATTGCTCGAACGCCGCGACACTCTCCCAATATCCCTTCCACAGTTCCAACCATCCCGAAACATACATCTCCGTTGTTCTAGCTTGTAAGTGTCGGCATCATTGTGCTACGTTCATCTTGTCATTCTTCCACTGATCCATGTACACCACACCCAGACCGATATCTGCATGCCCTTCGAACCAGCGAGAGCTGTCAGAAAGGGGCAGTGAGAGCTACGACAGGTGCACCTTACTTCTTGTATATAGCCTCACCTTCATGTAGGCCTCTCTATCTTCTGTACAACACTACCGAATACTTCACTAGACGAACAGCTCCTTGTCAGCTCCTTGTCAGCTCCTTGTCAGCTCCTTGTTTCGTGAAAGAAGCTCAGTCAACGACAGTGAAGCGGTGTCGAGCACAATACAACTTCAATTGTCTTCACATGATATTGTGAATCTTGTGATCACCATCTGCATACTCTACTCCAATCTTTACTGTAGCAGCTTAGCTTGTGTCGCCCCTCCAAAGTGCTCAACTCAAAGTGATATTTGAAAAACTTGAATTTGGACGTTTCCAGCCCAAATATTCCCCTACTACCCTCCTGATGTCTCAAGACCGCACGTTAATACAGGTTGCAGACCGTAGCTCATTGAAAAATACAAGATTTAATGTCTTGTTCACGGCATAGAATCTATATATTGGAAAAGCTTCGATTGGCTCGCGAGTACCCTGTAGTGTACCCCTATATCCGCACCCATGTTCTTCCATCTCGCTGCCACCAGATCTGCGCTATCCCGAATAGTCGATCTCCTAGCTGTCCTTGCCTGAGGCCAGGGTGCCGTTGATATCAGCCTCGACGTTCTCTATTAACCGCTCAACCATCCCCTGATTCCGGAGCTGAACGAGCAACTTCTCAACCTTGGCCCCCGCGCTCTCCCCCTTCTCATCAATCGAATACACGCCGCTCCCAACCTGGCCGTCAGTCCCCCTCGCAAAGGCCAGCCCGTCAACCAACGGCACACCAGCCGCCTCATCTTCAGGCCCCGCAGAAAAGCGCGCACTAGTACAGAAAAACAAATGGCGATCCCCCGCTTCCACCAGCGATATATGCACCAGCGGGCCAAGCACTCCCCACACTGTCTTCAGGAAGCGCATCAGCCCGCCGATCGAGCCGCGCGCGATGCCAGACTCCACGGCGCCGGGGAAGTTGTGCAAGAAGGCGACCTCGGGCGCCGCCTTGTGGTGCGCCTCGAGGGCTAGAGTCGTGACGGAGGCTTTATGGCCTGCGAACGCCATACGGCCGAGATTCCAGCCCTGGAAGTCGGCCATGTCGATTGGACCCTCGAAGGTCGCCATGAAGGTAGTGACAACGCGACGTAAGCCTTTCCCGCGGCGGATTAGAGGGAGAAGGTTTGAGATGAAGCGGTTGTGGCCGTGTACTGTTAGGGCGGTAGGGTAGTTGAGTCCTTCTTCGGTTTCTGCGCGGGTTCAGCGAAGTAGCGAGAGGAATAGTGTATTTAGACTCACTGAAGCTGAGTTGCAGGGTGCCGACGGTTAGGCATAACAGGGTGATGACGTCCTCTTTGCTGGCGAGTTCCTTGCATATCTGGTCCACGTTGCGCATGAGGCTTGTTTCTCGCTGAAGAAAGACGAAGGTGCCTTCGGGGTTGAGCTCCTTACACTCGGCCGTGATGCGGTCGCCGGCCTCCTGAGAGCACCCGACAATATAGACTCGTGGCTGAGCTGTGTACTTTGCGAACTGCCTCACTGTCGTTTCCCCAGCTCCATTGGTGCCTCCGACGAAGACTGCGACAAGACCGACGGGGAGGGCAGACCTAATGCGGTCGTTGGAAGACTGTATGACATCGAGAGAGACCATGGTGGTTTTATAGATGCTGCTGAGACGAAGCTGTAAAATCTAGTTGGCAATACCTGCTACGAGAACTTATCGTGGGGAGAGATGCTGCTACCTTTGTATAGACGCCGTCTTACAGACCGCTTATAGTTGAATCGACTCAGATGGTAGTAGTCATGACGTCATTACGATACAAGTCGTATCTTGTGCTCGCCAGAGCATCGAATTCCCTGCAACTCGAGAAGACGGGAGGTCTCATCTTCGCGTGGACATATGGCTACTTATCTCGTGTCGGGGTCCGCGGCCCCGGGCTCCAAACTGGGCACCCGTGTATCATCGTCGCGAGTCAACAAGTCAAATTCGTTCAGACTACTGATTCGTGAGGGGCATAATTGGTATGTAAACGAAGCTGTCTGAGTGGAGAGTAAGCAGAGTAGAGTGAGTTCTCAATGAAGGATAATGCGCGACTGCGCATCGATGGCAAGGCTGACTAGAAATATGCTAACCGGACTGGGACCTCTGAAACATATTTCAAGCCTAGATACCTGAGACCGCAGATTCCACCCATAATTCCGTAGTATATGAGACGTACAAGCTGGGAAAGAGAAAGCTAGCAGGGCAAGATTGGATACTGGCTGAAGTTACACCTTGCTCTGGAGTAAGAAGAGGAAGCTGCAATCAATTGGAAAAGGAGCGGGAGTTCGGACAGCTCATTAATGCATTGTTCATGCTACTGTATTTGCGAACGATCTTTGCGAAGAACTCCTTTATCAGGAATATGTAGCTGCATATAGTTGCAAAAGGAGCATGACTTCCTCGGCCCATATTTAGACCCTTCTTAAATTACAACTCGTCTACATTCTTATCAATGAATCTCAAATGACATCAAAAAGGAAGGGGCGAAAACGTAGGGAAGATAGAGTTCAGTAGGTTGAGCCCACGGCCGATGCGCTACTACTACTTGTCTTGCACTTAGCATTTATTCTCCACTTATCATGGGCTCAGGGGTGGTTTCGGTATGTAGATGTGTTCACGGCACCATTGTACATGGTCGCCAATATGCTATGTTCTCTAGTATACTGTGAGAAATAGCCTCTAGTGCTCCATAATGGCGGGATTCTTGGCTCTAGCGGTCTTCACTCTGGCATTCGTCCTCGATCTATTAGCTTCCTAGGGGTGGTTTGGGCTGGTAAGCGCACCGGCAGCCGTCCTGTCTAGGCATAGCAATATCACTACTACTCCGCTAGAAACCCAGACGTATTCTATAACTTACCATTCCCGCGGAGAAGCCCTAGTCCTGAAGGCCCTGGTCATCCTGAACTGCTACGGATCCGGACGTACTTCAAGTTCGTGACTGCGTCCACAATTGTCTAGTACGAGCACGGCAATGTAAGGGCTCTAGTCCCTGGCTTCAGATATGCGTTCAAAGACGCTGTTACTGTGACACCGCCCAAATACTGAGACTGCTGCTTATGACATTCATTTTCGAGCTTTATGATATGGCTAGACGTCCTCAGCATAGGTGACTGGCCCCGCAGCTATTGAGTACGTGCAATGCAGTATCAATGCTCCATATACAGGCTGCGTGCATGTCCTCCAGAGCGCCATCGCTGCGGCGAGGTCCTGATGCCGAAGCTGAAGCCCTTGACATTCATCCTCACAGTACATAGTAGGGCCGGACGTGCCTCAAGTCAGTGACAACGTCCGCAGCCCTCCGGCAAGGAGACTGCAATGCTCAGCGCTACATTCCTAGGGCCTAGATATGCCCTGAAGCCCGTCGTCGCTGTGGCAGGGCGCTCATACAGAAGCTATTGCCCATCACAGCCATCCTCCCTCTAAACCACCAGGCCAGAGGCAGCTCACACGGGTCAGTGAAGCCGCAGCCCTCCTCCACACCTCCTCCAACACGGCCCCTCCAATCCTCCGCCCTAAAGACCCTAAAACAACGCCCTCCCAGCCCGCCCTACGTGCGTGGCCGCAAAATAACCGACCCCATCGCCAGTCTTGGCGTCGACCTTGCCAACAACCTCACCTCACCGCGTCCTCCCTCCTCCTCCGCGCCACCAAAGCGTCACGAACCACCACAAACCTCCGCACCGCGCGCGCCCTCTCTACCGCCGCTTCGTCCGCTCTATACATCACATCTACCGCAATCAATCACTCTCTCCGCGCGCAAAACAATGGCCTCCAACGCCCCCCAAAACACCGCCGCCTCCGTCGCCCTCCCCTACCCTGCTACGCTCACCGACTTCATCGACGCCGGCTACGTCCCGGAGTGGAGCGTGAGCTCCACCGGCCGCCCGCGCCTCACGCTGAGGCAAATCGTCGGTACGGGACGCCTCCAATCTCTGCCTCATCGTCGAGGAAACAGCTAACAGAACGAGCAGTTGTCCCCGCCGTCGCGCCCCAACAGGCGCAGGGAGAGGCCGCCGAAGAGGAGAAGGAAGAGGAGAAGGAAGAGGAGAAGGAAGAGGAGAAGGAAGAGGAGAAGGAAGAAGAAGAAGAAGAAGAAGAAGCCGCCGAAGAGCACCCCACCAGTACGCCCTCCCTCCCTCCCCCCCTCCCCCTTCCCAGTTCCTACCTACCTCCTCCCTTCTAAAACAACCACACTAACTCCCACGCCCAGACACCCCCACCACCCGCTTCAAGTTCCAGTACGTGACGCTAGAGCGCGAGTGGCTGGCGGCCGCGCTCGCCGCGCAGCAGCGGGCCGGCGCGCGCCCGCTGGCGGAGCGGCGCCGGTGGGCGGAGCTGGTGGTGCGCCACGCCGCCGAGATGGAGGGCCGGGTGCTGCGCGCGGGCCAGGCGCCGCGGCCGCCGCGCACGCCGAGCAGCCTGGCGCACGAGTACCGCAAGCACCGCGAGTGGTACGATGCCGGGGAGGCGCCGGTGCAGTTTGGGGGGAGGGTGTTGGCGAGGGGGGAGTTTTTGGCGGGGCAGTGGGGGGTGGAGGGGGGAGAGGAGGGGGGAGAAGGAGATGAGGATGAGGAGTGAGAAAGGGGGGGGGGGGGGGGAAGAGGGGTTTTGGAGGAGTTTTTGGGCCCGAGGCCGTTGGTAGTGCTGCTGCTGCTGCTGCTGGATAGACTCTGGGGACGGTAATGGGATTGAGAGGTTTGGGACTGCGTATCTGGCTTCATGAATATGGGATGTGTGACTGTGATGATGCTGTTTGAGGGACTTTGACTTACTGGTAAGGAATTCGGTGTGATGTAACTTTTTCAGTCTGTAAAGTGGAGGACTGACTTCACACACCTTTCTCTAGCTAGCTGGAGCATCACCAAGTGTCGAGACGTGGATACTGCGTGCTCTACAATATGATTGTGCGAGCGTGGTGACGCTGTAGGAGGTGCCATGACTCCCATCTATAGATGAGAGTGCAATGTAACTTTTTCAGATGTGTGAATTGGACCGCTGGATCTACACCCCCTTTCCTAGTAGCTGTAGCGGCTTAACGTGTCGAAAGAGAGAGCAGGATGCTGAGGTACTGAATGCTGGTTTGAAGGGTATGAGGCACGGAGAGTGATGGTAGAGAGCATATCTACCCACCCTCAAGAGGAAACAAGATGTGGGATTACAACGTCGGAGGTGGATTCACATTCGAAAAGGGGCTGCAACAGACTGAGGATCGAGATGGTGATTTGAAGGTTATGAAACACGAGAACTCCGAACATGAGGTATATCTGACTAAGGTTCGGAGAATGAAGTTTTGAGGACGACGATGTCAGAGATGGCTTCACACATATTCAGAGAACCCAAGATCTTGAGGGCGTAGATAATGATTTGAAAGGTATTAGACTTGAAAAGCCACCCTTGGGGGCATATCTCACCGTTCACGGGAAGCCATAGCCCACTGACGACAACGTCTAAGACGGCTTCGTATATCAAGAGAGTATGGGAAGCAATGAAGTGACAAATGCAGATTTACCATTTACTTGCCAACCCTACGTCCTCCACCATCAAAATCGGTATAGACAGGAATGGTCTACCTTGGATCAGCATGCCGAACAACCGATTGTATCACTCTTCTGCTACTGTCTGCCGTGTCTCGACACATTTTGGAAAAATTTCAGCTCCCTAGCTCTTTTGCTGAACACCACTATCAATCGACACCATCACTCTCCCCGGCATCCTCATCCTCACCTTCGCCCTCCTCCTCCTCCTCATCATCACCCTCTGCATCCGAAATCTCCTCTCCAAGCGCCTTAAGCCGTTCCTAGAACACATTAGCATCCAGTCTACACATACACCTTCATCTGTAGAACTACAACAACATACCTTATCCCTCCCTCGCTTCTCCTCCAAGTCCCCAAGCACAACAAACAAATCATCCAACTCCGTCTGCACGCTCTTCCTCTCCGCCTCCTTCTCCTCAAGCCACTTCTCCGCCTTCTTCATTTTATCCTGCGCATCTTTGACCTTCCACACATTCTCCTGCACCTCCGTCTTCAGCTGCCTGTTATCCGCTCTCAGCTTCTCCATCTCAGTCTCTCTGGCCGCTTTCTCCTCTTTCAACGCCTCGGACTCGTTCTCCGCTTTCTTCAGCTCAGCTTCAAGGGTCGAGATGGTCTGCCGCACGAGCGCGATCTCGTCTTTCGTACGGCGCTGGGTGGCTTGGAAGCTCTGGATGGTTTCTAGCGCATCACTACGCTCCTCTTCTGCTTTCTCGATGCGGCTTTCGGCGTCGCGGAGTGCTTTGGCCAGGTCGTGGAGTCTGCCTTCGTATTCCTGCTTCGTCTTTGCGACAGCGAGGGGCGTCTCTCTCTGTGTCTGCGCGAGTTTATTATTCAGCGCAGCTAACTGCAGGTTATGCTTATTCTCGAGGTCGAGGATGGCCTGGCGGTGTTCGCGGTCAAGCTTCGCGGCGGCTTCGTCGTGCGTGCGGTGGAGGTCTTCGTTGATGCGCTTGATGGTGTTGAGTTGGGTTAGCGACTGGTCTTGGGTTTTGCGGTGGTCGGCTAGCTCTTGGTTCAGCTTCTGCTCCATGGCGAGGAGTTCGGCTTGCGCTTTTTCAAGGGCTTGGATCTTTTCATCGAGTTGGCCGCGGAGGGAGTCGACAAGGTCTCTGTCGATGCCTTGTTCGGTCTGGTGGATCTCTAGTCCTGGGTCGCGGTCGATGGTTCTGGACAGGCGACTGAAGTTGTCTTTGAGAAAATCAACGAAGGTTGTGTCGAAGTAAACCTCCGGCAGGTTGCCGCCAGAGGCAGAGGCATGAGAGGAGACTTCGAAATCGCGGACAAGCGGGTGTTGGCGGAGGTTTGTGATGGCGTCCAGGTACTTCTCTCGGCCGAGGCGGGTGGTGAGGAATGGCTGGAGGTCGCGGCGCGAGATAGGGGAGTCTTTCGTGGAGAATTCGTAGATAATTCCAAGAAGGGCAGCACAAAGACCTCTAATGATAGCTAGGTCGGCGCCTGGTTTCGATGCAGCGTTGACTAGACTCTCAAGACTGCTACCCTCGTTGAGAAAATCATTGACCGCGGTGGCGTCCTCGAATAGCCAACCGCAAAGGAGCATGAGATAGCCGATCGAGATCCGCTCATCTTCTCCGATTTGCAAGCTCGCAATGAGATTTCCGGTAATGGCTTGGATGCAGGTAACAACTTCCTCTCCACTTTCCGCGTCCCCTTCTGCGACTGCCATGAGCAGATCCTTTCCTTCTCGATCGTCGTAGATGAGATGCAACACCAATATGGCCGCAAACCAGGTACGGTAGGGGTCAATGGTTTGAGAGCCTTGTGGGCCTGCGACGAGCGTGGTGAGAACATTGGCCGTTTCATCTGCGCCAGAGACATGCCCATCGATTGCTCTCTTTAGGAAGTGCAGTCGAATTGGAGTGTGGTTGTAGAAGTAGGCTTTTATGCATTCGCAAGCTGCGAATCTGGCATTGAAAAGCTCCGTCGACGCGGGACTTAGGATGAGGTCAAGCAAGGCATCGATAACGTAGACTTTGGGAACACCATTGGGCAATGCATTTCCGTTTGTCTCTGGTTGTGTTTGGACTAAGGGACTGACTTGGAGTTGCGCGAAACCTTCTTGTAGGCGAGCGTTTCCTCTGATCATGTCTGCGCAAGTGTTCAATGCCTAGATAGTGAGCTAAAGACAATGATACAAATAATGGGACTTCATATACCTCGACTTGGATAGGAATTGTTGTCGCTTTGTCAAATGCCATGTTCAACACCTTCTGTAGCAGCCCATGCTTTTGGAATGCATTCTGATTGAGTAGAGTGCTTGTGCTACCTTTCAGAAGAAACATGCGCAGAATAGCCAGTAGTCCCCATATATTCTTGTCTTTCTGAGGGCTCGTCCATTCCTCTTCTGGTGGTCCCGGCGACTTTGCCTTCTTGATAGCCGGCTCTGGCAATAGTGCTGCGAGCCTCGCAACACCGCCTGTTTCCCGAAACGCGGTCTGATTGGAGGCGTTGTAGTGCACGAGGTTTGCGAGTAGCGAGAGACAATCCTGAACGATGATGCCGCCTTGTGATAGGGATCCTTCGGCGTCAATGAGACTAAAGACGCGCTCAAACGCGTTCTCGAAGACGAACAGTTTCTGAAGCTCTGTTGACGACTGGGACAGATCATTGAGGACCATGAGGCCAGCTACCCAGCGAAAAAAAACATGTCAGCAATTGTTCTCCAGCTTTCTCAGATTGTTCCTACCGTTCCGTACCGCATCTCGAGGGTCGTCCAGGGTTGCTACCAGCCTTGTGGTGCCGAAGGGGGCCGTCAAGACACACTCCTGAGTCCTGTCTGGGCGTGCACTCGAGATGGCTTGTATGATTTGTAACGCGTACAGTCGGGAATAGAAATCGTGGGTCTCGAGGAGGTCGAGGAGGATCGTTATGTTATCTTGCCGCTACCATAAGCTCAGTACGGGCAAGGTCGTGGGAGCGGAGTAGTAGTACCTGCGTAAACTCATCTGCGAGCCATAGCGCGATCTCGTCGGAGGCTTCAGGCTGGCATTTCATCAGCAACACATACTGCAACGATCATAGTGGCCTGGGCCTCCTACACTTGTCTCGTTGGGGTTGAACAGCATCAAGAGGGTCTCGAGGACCACCTTGATTGTGTCCACATCCTCAGCGTCCTTTGTCAAGCAACTTATAAGGCCACGAAGCGAGCCCGATGCCACTGATGCAGGATATTCTTTGGCGAAGCTGCGGAGCCCCAAGATGGCTCCGCGGCGGTCCTCGAGGAGGGTGGCATTGGTCAGGCGGCTGCTGAGGGTGCTGATGGTGTCTGTAGCCGTCTGCTTGGCCGGCGCCTGGGCCTCCAGCATACGCAGCATCGTTCAGCGCAGGTTCGGAGATGGAACAGACAGCAGGGCTCAGGTCTGCATCGCTGGTAGGGGGGTATATGGTATCACCAGGGGCCAATCGCGGCGTAGACGTGGCAGGCAGACAACTGGCAATGCATTGCCGTGAATGCAGGAGTAGACAGCCCCAACGCACTCGAGACGGGGAATATAGCAAGCAGTGCAGCCCTGTGGTGGTGCAAGCTGTCCACCTGTCGTCTGGCTCTAATAGACAGCTACTGCGGTACGGCCCTTGACTCGTCGCCGGCCGGCTACCAAGAAACGCAACCACGCAACTGCCCACCTGCCCTGCCACCTGCCAAACTGCCCTACCGCCCAGCGCCTGCACCTGCACCTGCCCCTGCCCGCGCCGCCCTGCACGCCAAGGCGGCAACCCCCGTCCAGGCGAGCTTTGAACTTCTTTACTTCACCTGCCCTCCACCACAACACTTCCTTTCATCCACCACCCTCTCTTTCATTCACAGCCCGCACTACCACACTCTCTTGTGTGCATGAGCGGTACTCTCCACCGTCACTCGAGCTGTTGCCAGCTCTCCCCTTCGCTCTGCCCGCGCGTGTAAACACGCCCGCGCATCCTTCGAGGGCCCGCTCTGGCGCGCCCTGCGACCTACCTACACCTCTCTCTTTCCTCCACCACGACCGCGCTCTCGCGTGCACACCGCAGCCATGGGTGTCCCCGCGCTGTTCCGTTGGCTGTCTAAGAAGTACCCCAAGATTGTGTCCGCCGTTGCCGAAGAGAAGCCCATCGAGATCGATGGCGTCAGGATCCCCATCGACTACTCCAAGCCCAACCCCAATGGCGAGGAGTTTGACAATCTCTACCTGGATATGAATGGCATCGTTCATCCGTGTTCCCACCCCGAGGACAAGCCCGCCCCTCGCGACGAGCTCGAGATGATGCTTGCCGTCTTCGTCTACACCGAGCGCGTTGTGAACATGGCTCGTCCACGCAAGCTGTTGTACCTGGCAGTTGGTATGTCTTCCGCCCCACCCCCGCTACACCAGCCATCCAAGAGATCCTCCTTTGCGGCGTCCTTTGCTGTCGGCTACATGTCGTCGCTCTGGGGTGTCGCATTTCTTGGCCTGCCCCACAACTCCCGCACCCTCTCCAGTCAGTGCAACTTTGCTAACAAGAGGTCTTCTAGATGGTGTGGCCCCTCGCGCGAAACAGAACCAGCAGCGAAAGCGACGCTTCATGTCGGCTCGAGAGGCGGCCGAGAAGGACGAGATGAAACTTGAGTTTGATAAGATGCTTCGGGATAAGCGCATGGAGGCTTTCAAGCATGGCGACGCAGAAGACGAGGGAAACGGTGAAGAGGAGGAAGCGGACAACGACCTGCCCAAGAAGACCTGGGACAGCAACGCCATCACCCCCGGCACCCCGTTCATGCACCTGCTCGCCGCGTCCCTGAAGTACTGGACTCAGTACAAGATCAACACCGATCCCAGCTGGGCGAACCTCAAGGTCATCATCTCTGACGCCTCTGTTCCTGGCGAAGGAGAGCACAAGATCATGAACTTCATCCGGTCACAGCGTCGCTCCCCTGACCACAACCCCAACACTCGCCACGTCATCTACGGCTTGGACGCAGATCTCATCATGCTTGCTCTAGTCACCCACGAGCCGCATTTCAGGGTCCTGCGCGAGGATGTCTTCTTCGAGGCCAACAAGAACGCCTGCCGGAAGTGTGGCCAGCAGGGACATTACGCCGACCAGTGTACCGGTGCAGTCGTCAAGAAGGACGATGAACACAAGAACGCTGAGCCAGAGGAGAAGCCTTTCATCTGGCTGCATGTCAACGTGCTCCGCGAATATCTCGAAGTGGAAATGTTCGTTCCGGGCATGCCATTCCCAACCGACCCCGAGCGTGCTATCGACGATTGGGTTTTCATGTGCTTCTTTGTTGGTAACGATTTCCTTCCTCATCTCCCGAGTCTCGAGATCCGCGAAGATGGAATCGACACCTTGATTGGTCTCTGGCGCAAGTTGTTCCGGGAAATGGGTGGATACGTCACCGAGGATGGCCAAGTCGTACTAGCGCGTGCCCAGATCATTCTCAAAGGCCTAGCTGCCCTAGAGAACGGCATCTTCAAGAGGCGCAAGCAGAACGAAGATCGACGAGAGGAGGGCATTCGTCGACGAGAGGCGCAGAATGCGGCTCGGCGAGGCGGTGGCGGCATCGGAATGCCTCCAGCGAAGCGCATCAAGGAGACTACGGAGACCTACGCCAATGTTCCCTTCTTCGACCCGGACAAGCTGCAGTCTGCCGAGGCGAGACAGGCCACACATGACCAGCTTATCGACAAGAAGGCCATGTTCGACAAGGACGCTCACAACAAGGCCAACATGAGCGCCGCCGCCGTTCTCAAGGACCAGATGAGGGGTAAGAAGCGCACTGCCACGGATGTTGATGCCGAGGATGCTGTCTCCATTGTCGAAGATTCTCCTTCGAGCAAGAGCAGGAAGTCGGAGCTCGTTGAGGACAGCGATACCGGCACACCAGGTCGCGCTACGCCGGTTGTTGAGCACACGCACAAGGGTGGCGAGAAGGACCCGGCTCCAGACACCGTCATGCTGTGGGAGGACGGTTACGCCGAGCGCTATTACGAGCAGAAGTTCAACGTGGCTCCTGACGATTATGCTTTCCGGCACAAGGTCGGACAGGCGTACATGGAAGGACTTTGCTGGGTGTTGCTCTACTATCTCCAAGGCTGCCCCGACTGGGAGTGGTACTACCCGTACCATTATTCTCCCTTCGCGGCTGACTTTGTGGATATTGATCAGATGACCATCAAGTTCAAGAAAGGCGAGCCATTCAAGCCGTATGAGCAGCTCATGGCAGTCCTGCCCGCTGCTTCCAACCACGCCATTCCTGAGCCGTACCGGATCCTCATGACCGATGAGGATAGCGTCATTCGCGAGTTCTACCCTGTCGACTTCGTTCTGGACCTGAATGGAAAGAAGTTCGACTGGCAGGGCGTTGCGCTTATTCCTTTCGTCGACATGGACAAGCTCAAGCAGGCCATGCGCACCAAAGATCATCTGCTCACGGACGACGAGCGGGCTCGCAACGCGATGGGCCATGAGATGCTGATCTTCTCGACGCAGCATCCGCTCTACGATCCTGTCACCACGGCCTTCTATTCTCTGAAGCCCGCTGAGAACGAGACTATGACGTTGGACCCGAAGGCTAGCCAAGGTTTGATCGGCAAGGTAGTCAAAGACGAGGGTTATCTTCCCGGCAGCTCCTTGACCTATCCTCTTGCGTCGGATCAGATGCCTGACATTGAGAACAATGCATCGATTAGGTATCGTTTCGTTTTTACCCTTTGGTTCTCTTTTGCTATCGAGCTTTGCTAACACTAATGCAGCCTCGTCTACTTGATGCCCAAGCACAAGTCAGCCCACAAATCGATGCTTCTCACCAACCTGGAGCACCCCACCCGCGTTCTCACCGACAGCGACAAGGCCGAGACGCGCGACCGAGCCGGAGGCAACCGAGGCAACCAGCGCGGTGGCTTCAATCGAGGCAGCCCTAACAATCGCGGTGGCGCCAACAATCGCGCACGAGGGAACTCCAACGGAGGTCACAGCAACGGCAATTCTAGCAGTGCTGGTGAGCAATTTCCAGTGTCTCAGCAAATCTCTCCTCCAGTCCAGACGAGCGACCCCCCTGAGGAGCCTCAGTCTGCTGCAGCACCAGTCAAATCCTGGGTGACGATTCAGAAGGCGCCGGTCATATACGCCACACCGCGCATCGCGAATCCGACCCCTCCTCCCCCTCCCTTCCTCCCTCCCTCCCTCCCTCCCCCCTTCCCTCCCCCTGTGTGGTGGACCCCGCAGCAGCCAAACGCTTATCATCCCAACGCAGGGTACCCCAATTTCGGGCCAAATGTTGGATATAACGCCGGATACAACTACGGTCCGGGTGCTTACAACGGCGGATATAACCAGGCGGCGTACCCCCCTCCCCCACCGTGGTACGACCCATACGCGCAGCAGCCGCAGTACGGGTACAACAACGCGAACAATGGCGGACGCGGAGGGCATCGTGGCGGAAACGGCGGAAATGGCGGATATCGTGGCGGTCGGCGTGGCGGACGCGGTAGGCACTAGTGCGGATCCTTTTGGGCGATGTTCTGGGACGGATAGGCGGGTTTGGCGGTGTTTTGGGAATTGGAGCCCTGGTGTAGCGGTTTTGTCCGTGTTGATACCCTATTGAGAGGCTCCTGTATAGGTTTTGAAAAGTTGCAAAAAAAAACGGACCGGCGATAGGCCGGTTTCGAGCCTGCGGGCTGAATAGATTGTTTTCTATTCAAAAAATTTCGGTGATTTGTTGAGGTGTGAATCAGGTGATGGGTTGGCCACGTGATGGCGGTGTTTGAGGTGCCCTGATTGGTTCCACATTTCGAGGGTAGGATGTTCAAGTTCTGGAGGGCTCATATCACGTAGGGCTAGTTGGGGAGGGTTTGGGAGGCGGTTGGTACCGTCTGAAGTCCTCTAGTTGTGTAGAAAAGTGCGAGATAGGATGTCAAGTTCTGGAGGGCTCAGATCACGTAGGGCTGGTTGGGGAGGGTTTGGGGGGGGCGTTGGTACCGTCTGAAGTCCTCTGGTTGTGTGGAAAAGTGCGAGATGGGATGTCAAGTTCTGGAGGGCTCAGATCACGTAGGGCTGGTTGGGGAGGGTTTGGGGGGTAGTTGGTACCGTCTGGAGGGTCTTGAGAGGGTTGAAAAATGAAAAATACGATGTTAAAGGCTGCACGTGCTGTATTAGGCTGCATTTTGGGGGGTCTGATAGCTAGTTGAAGCCGGTATGCAAGGGCGTGTAGGTACGTAGCGGAGGGCGGTTTAGGAGGTGGATGGCATTGTCTAAAGCCCCTTAGGGGTGTAAAAAATCGCAAGATAGGATGTCAAAAGCAAGAGTGTTCACATTGCATTGGGTTGATTTGGGAGGGTTTGGGAGGTGGTTGATATCGTCTGAAGTCTTCTAGCAGTGCGAAAACCTGCGAGATAGGATGTCAAAAGCTGCACGTGCTACGTTGACCTGCATTTTGGAGGCTCTGATAGCGAGTTGAAGCCGGTACGTAAGGGCAAGTAAGTGTGTAGCAATTGAGCGTTTGGGGGCTGCTTAGTATCGTCTGAAGTCCTCTAGCAGTGCGAAAACCCGCGAGACAGGATGTTAAAAGCTGCACGTGCTATATTGGGCTTCTGTTTGGGGGGGCGAATACATGGTTCAAGCCGGTACGTAGGCCCATGTAGGTGTGTAGCAAAGAAGGGATTGCGAGGTGTTTAGTACCGTCTGAAGTCCTTTAGAGGTTTGAAAAGTCGCGAGATAGGATGTAAAAAACTACACGTGCTGAATTGTGCTTCGTTTTGGGAGGGCTGATACATAGTTGAAGCAGGCACGTGAGGGCGTGCAGGTGCGTAGTAATAGAGTGTTTGAAAGCTGATTAGTACCGTCTGAAGGCCTTTGGAGGTGGAAAAAATCGTGATGAAGGGTGTCAAAAACAACACGTACTATATTGGCTTCGTTTTGGGAGGGTTGATAGCTAGTTGAAGCCGGCACGTGGGGCTGTATATGTGTGACCAGGGAAAAGTATTTAAAATTAATCCATTCTATACCATAACCTCTTTCTGCGCTTTGTGACGCCTGTTTAGCACCGTCTGAGGTGCCCTGACAGGTCCGAAAATTCGGGGAAACGCCAGTTTTGGTAAACCTAATAGCTGTCTGGGCCACCTCAGACGGTTTTAAACACTAGTACCTAAATCCCACCTCTGAGTTTCTGTACGCTTGTCTACCACCGTCTGAGGTGCTCTGGCGGGTCCAAAAACCCGTGAAACGCCAGTTTTGGCAAGCCCGATAGCTCGCTGGCCCACTTCAGACTGTGTCAAACACTAATACCTAAATGCTAAGTAAAGGTCGATTTTAAAGGTACTTAGTATCGTCTGAAGTGGCTCAAAGGGGTCAGAAATCGAGCGACGTGATGTCAAAGGCTGCACGTGCTGAGCTGGGCTTTTTTTTGGATAGTTATTCGAAGCCGGCACACGGAGGCTTGTAGAAGTGGGTGTACGACACTTTGAGAGGTGTTTAGTACCGTCTGAAGTAGCTCAGAGGGATCAGAAAGTGAATAACATAATGTCAAAGACTGCACGCGCCAGATTGGCCACCGTTTTAGGGGTAGGACAACGGGCTGAAGCCAGCACGTCGGGGCGTGTAGAAGTGCGGCAGAGGCTGATTTGGGAGGTGTTTACTATTGTTTGGAGTGGCTTGAATAGGCTGGAAAGTGAAAAACACGATGTTAAGGACTGTAGGCCCTGAACTGGCCTTCGTTTTGAAGCATCTGATACTTAGTTAAAGCCGGCACGTGGGGCTGTGTATATGTGTAGCAAAGGAGAGTTAGAAGGTGTTTAGTATTGTCTGAAATGTCTCGAAAGGTTCTGGAAATGAAAAACACAATGTCAAGTACTGCACATGCTGAACTGACCTGCCATTTGCGGGGTCTAATAAGTAGCCGAGGCCGGCATGTAAGGACGTCTAGGTGCGCAGCGAACTCGTTCTCCCTTTGCGATCCTAGTGTAGCTCGTGAGTGTAATGTGCGAAATGCTTCGCTTTCAAGAGCTATTGGCACGTGATCGTAGCGTTTGAGGTGCCTGATTAGCTAAGGATCTTGAAGAGAGCATGTTAAAGACTGTACGTGCTAGATTGGGCCTCGTTTTGGAAGGTCTGATATCTAGTCGAAGCTGGTACGTGAGGGCGTGTAGGTGTGCAGCGAGTTGGTGAGCCCTACGTGATCCCAGTGTAGCTTGTCAGTGTAGTGTGCGATCTGCTTCATATTTGGAAGCTACTGGCACGTGATCGCGGCGTTTGAGGTGCTTTGATAAGGCAGCAATCTCGAAAAGAGGATTCCAAGGACTGCAGGTGCTGAATTGACCTGCAATTTGGGGCGTCTGAAAGCTAGTTGAAGCCGGTACGTCGGGGTGTGTAGGTGTGCAGTGATTTGGTGAATGCTACGCGATTCGGGAGTGTCCCATACGTGCAATATGCAATCGTCTTCATTTCCGTTTACCGTTGACACTTAACGCCGTGGTCTGAGGTGCCCTAAATGGCGAGAACTTTCAAGAAAGGATGTAAAGGACCGCATGTGTTGAATTGACCTGCAGCTTGGGAGGCCTGATAGCTAGTTGAAGCCGGCACGTGAGGGTGTGCTAGTGTGCAGCGAGTTGGTGAGTCCTCCGGGATTTAGGAGTATCGTGCCACTGTGATGTGCGATATAATTCGTTTCCGGGAGCTGCTGGTATGTGGCGCTGGCGTCTGAGCTGCCCTAAATGGGTGAGAACCTTGAAGAGAGGATGTAAAAGATTGTACGTGCTGAATTGACCTGCAATTTAGAGGGTCTGATAGCTAGCTAAGGTTAACATGCAGGGTCGGGTATGTGCGCAGCGAGTTGGTGAATCCTACGGGGTTTGGGAGTATCTTGCGAATATACTGTGCGACGGTTCGTTTCTAGTAGGTGCTAGCACGTGATGCCGGTGTCTGAGGTGCCCTAAATAGGTGAGAATCTTGAAGAAAGGATGTAAAAGATTGCACGTGCTCAGTTAACCTGCAGTTTGGAGGGCCTAATTGGCAGCCAGTAACACGCCTCTATTCTCCCTTGTTTCTCTTCCTTTCTCCTCCTTACGGAGTTGCACCATCTCCCTTGCGGCCCCTTGCTGTCCCTTGCTGTCCCTTGCTGTCAAGGGAGTCTTATTACTCTATATAGTCCCTCGTTACAACATTAATACAACTTATGCTTTCCTTCACTAATCTTTTGCCCTTCCTACGCCAGCTACCACTAATAGCAGGCCGGCATGTAGGGGCATGTAACTCGGGTTGCAGCACTACAACCTAGGGTCAGCAACTCATATGCAGTAACGTATCAGGATAGCATGCTGATACAGGAGGAAGTAACAGGTAGTGCAACAGCAGTGCTGCAGCACGGTATCAGTACTGTATCAGGAAACAGGATGAATCAAGTAACGCGTCAGGAAGAGATACCACGTTATGCCCCCGGGGCTGGCCCCCCTCCTTCCCCTAGTATATAAACAACGAGCTAGACACCCATAGAAATGAGAGTTCACATCAATTTCAACCTGAGTATGTACGTACGCAGCAATATGGTAAATCCTATAGGATTTAGGAGTATCTTGCGGGTGTACTGTGCGAGGCTTTGTTCTTGGGAGCTGTTGGCGCGTGATACCAGCGTCTGAGGTGCCCTGAATGGAAGTGAGTTGTTAGGACGGTTCGGATTGCACGGGGTTGATTTACAGGGCTTTGATAGGTGCTTGATATCGTCTGGGGTGGCTTAAAAGGGTCAGAAACTAAAACATAGGGTGTTCAGAGCGTAAGGGTCTATATCTTAAAGCGTTGGTTTAAGGGGGACTGACGCACGGTTGATATCGACTGAAGTGGCGTGTGACAGCGGAAAATTGCAGGCTACGATGTCAAAAGCGGCAAGGTTCAAATCCCACTGGGTTGGTCCACGAGGGTTTGACAGCTGTAGAGTGCCGTTTGGAGTAGCTTAAAGGGGCTGAGTAGCGCAGCATAAGATGTGAAAGACACGAAGGACTAGATCTTACGGGGCTTATTCAGGAGAGAGTAAGAGGTAGTTGGTACCGTCTGAAGTGCCTTATTCGGGCAGAAAGGTGCACCACATTATGTTAAAAACACGAGGGGCCACATCTTACTGGGTTGATTGGCGAGGACTTTCCAGGTGGCTGGTACCGTCTGAAGGGTCTTGAAAGGTCTGAGAACTGCATGCTACTATGTCAAAAGCGTGAGAGCTCAGATCTCACGAGGTCGAATTGGGACGTCCTGACAGCTATCTAGTACCGTCTGAAGTGGCCTGAGAGGGCTAAATTCTCCCAATACGATGTCAAAAGCACGAGTATCTAGATCTCATGGCATTGATTTGCGAGGGCCCAACACGTGGTTGGCGCCGTTTGAAGTGTCTCGAGAGGGTCAAAAAGTCCACAACAAGATGTAAAAATTTGCTCATCCTGGATTGAGCGCTCTTTTGGGAGGTGAGATAGTCAGTCGAGGCCGGCATGTAAGGGCAAGAAGGTGCGCAGTTTTAAGGATATTCGAGCGTGATTTACGATTAGTGGGAACTTCTGTGCTATCCTGGTGTTATTTATTTCGCACTCAGTATCGGACATATATCTGTCACTGGGGTGGTACCGACGTACCGTCTGAGGTCCTCTAAGTGACTGGGGGAGTTCAGAGCAGGATGTCAAAAGCATGAGAGCGCAGATTGACACACGTGAAGATGTAGCTGTTTGACACGTTCTTAGCACCGTCTGGAGTCCCTTGGATGGGTCTAAAAATGCACAACACAATGTCAAAAGCATCGGGGTTTAAATTGAGATGCGCCGTTTCCTCGCATTTTGACAGGCAAGTAGTATCGTTTGAGAGACCCCGATTGGCTCAAATTTACCTCAACACGATGTAACAAACCACACACTCTTGATTGAACTCTCTTTCGTGTGCTGTGACAGAGGCGAAGTCGGAAAGTGGTGCTGAGTACGTGCGCAGAGTAACGGTAATTTTCCGACTATTTGAGCGTGATATGTTGGAACGTTCGCAATTCCCTTGATACTCCAGACGGGAATCGCTTTGCGCTCCATATCTGATGGCTTCTTGACACGTGATCGCGCCGCCTGAGGTGTTCTCGTTGGCTGAAAAACTTCATGGTAGGAAGTCAAAGGCACGCTGAGCCAGATCTGACCGAGATGACTCGGAACCTTCCCAGCGTCGTTCGAAGGCCGCCGACAAGTCCAGATTCACCGCAGCATGATGTTAAAGTCTGCACGAACTGACTTGGGCTCCCTTTTGGAGCCTGTGATAGCCTGTTGAAGTAGGCATGTGAGAGCGGTTACCTGTGCAACGTTGCGATGATTTTCTGAGGATTTGGTTGTGACTCGAGGAACATCAGTAGTTTCTCGATATTCTGAATAGGATTTGCTTTCCGCTTTGCATTTCGTCACTCATTGGCACGTGAAAGCGTTGTCCGAGGTGGCCCGCCTGAAACCCAACTCAATGTAATGGGTTTTAGGGCATATATCTCACAGGGTCGGATTTGAGTGTTTTGACACGTCTCTGACATCGTTTGAATGCCTCTGACCAGGCCCAAATCACCGCGGCAAGATGTCAAAAGCATGAGGACGTAGACTGAGCTGCCTTTTGGCCCCTGTGCTAGCCTGTTGAAGCACGCACTCAAGCATCACATGGGAGTGAAATTGACCGCTTTGGCACATTGTTGACGCCGTCCGAAGGCCTTTGACTAGCCCTCAATCACTGCAACGTGATGTCAGAAGCATGAGACCGTAGGCTGAGTTTCCTTTTGATACCTGTGATAACGTTTTGAAGCAGGCACCTAAGGATCTCATGGGATTGGATTCGAGTACTTTGGCACATTATTGACGTCGTCAGAAGGCTTTTGACTAGCCCGGATTCACTGCAACACCATGTCAAAAGCGCGAGAACGTAGGCTAAGCTCCCTTTTGACACCTGTGATAGCGTGTTGAAGCACGCAGATGAGAATCTTATGAGGCTGCATTCGAGCGTTTTGACACGTCTCTGGCGTCGCCCGAAGGCCGCTGACGAGCCCTAAATTACCGCAACAAGATGTCAAAAGCGTGAGGGTGAAGGTTACGCTCCTTCTTGGCGCCTGTGATAACCTGTTGAAGCAGGCATGTGTAAATCTCGTGGAGTTGAAATCGAGCGGTTTGCCACGTCTGTAGCGTCGTCCGAAGGGCTCTGGCCGGTCCTAAATCACGGTGGGAAGATGTCAAAAGCGCAAGGGCGTAAATCGACCTCCATTTTGATGCCTGTGATACCCCGTAGAAGCAGGCACAGGACAGCTAGAACTTGTGCAAGGAAGCGGGAATTTCAATAAGATTTGAAAGCGACTTTCATGATGTCTGAGTATTCTCACTTTGCGTTTTGATATCTGACATCTGTTTGGCACGTGATCTCGCCGTTTGGAGTCCTCCGCACGGTCCGTCTGAAAAACAGCATGATGTAAAAGTTCCTAGTGCCTAGATCTCATGTGGTTGAAATCAGGCGTTTTGACCACAGTGTAGTTCCGTCTGAGAAGTTCTGGCTGACTGAAAAAATGGAACACACGATGTCAAAAGCTCGAGAGCCCGAATTGAAGCTGCTTTTGGCAGCCGCGATAGCGAGACATGCCAGGACTTAGGTATCATAAGGCTGGGCATGAAAGCGGTGATTTCGATGGCATCTGAGAACGATTCGCTTCGTTCTTGTTGTCTGCTACCTGTTTGGGACGAGATATCGCCGTCTGAGGTGCTCCGATTCAGTGAAGGAACTGGACTGGACTGGGTTGGGTTAGCAACCAAATCCACTCCAACCCAGCGGAAACGCTGCGGAGCTCCAGGAGCTACAGGGGCTCCACGCTAGTGATTTGTAAGGTGTTGAAGCTGAGTATATTGCCTAAAGTAGCTTAGCGTGGGCTAAATTGAGGGTGAGAAGTGACCAAACCTACTACCTAAATTGCAATCCCCGAGCCATCGCTAACCACCATATTATCCTCATCTGCATCTACAACCTTAATAGGTGGTGCAGGACCCTCCAATATAGCCTCCTCTTCAACCTCACGTAGTTCCTGCTCGGCCAACGCGTCGTCGTCACCGTCAGCAGCCATAGCATCTGCTTCCTCGCATTGTGAGACCCTTAATCGCTCCGCCGCCTGCTCAGCAAGTAAGGCTGGTGATACTCGCGATGCACCAAGCGACGCGGCGTGCTCCGCATCATCAAATGCTTCCGGAGCAGGAGGGCCGTAGGATGACCGTAGACACTCGTTTGCCTTAATTATATCAATTCCAAGGCGTCTCCTACGCTTATCCAGCAATATAGATGCGCTGCTAAATAGCCTCTTGCACTTATCGCTTATCGGCGGCACGGCGAGGACGTCTAATGCAAAGCGGGCGAGGTCCGGCCAGGTATAATATCGATTGTTCCACCATGCAATAATGTCATCAACATAAGAGAGGCACCTGGTGTTGCTCCGGCACGCACCTGGCCAGCTGCGAGAGGAGCTGTTTTAATATACTCGGCTAGGATAACGCTGTCAGTAACCGGGGCTGCATAGCGTGCACCAAGGAAGCTGGTGATAGAGCGCTGAGGGCGTACAGCCTCGTCAACAGGCGCGGCGTCGGCCATAGCGATGAGGTGTTGGACGGGGGTGCGAATAGCTTCAAAAACGGGCACAGGACGGGCAAGAGATTTTGCAGGGGAATAGGTCGCAATCTATATGGCTACGCTAACAGTTTTGAGACAGGATCCCCTTGCAGGCCTCGGAGTATATAGCTCAGCCAATCAGAGGCCTCAGCTAGCCTGCCTCAACCTCAACACCACGACTTCCTCGGTATGAGAGAAAAGCTGTGGAGCGCCTGGGTGCTCCACGGCCTCAAACCCACCCCGCGCCGGACCAATCAGAAGTCGAACCCAGAGCTATATTAAGAGTAACCCATCCAACCCAGTCCAAATTAACCCAGTCCAGTTCCTTCACTGCTCCGATTGGCCCATTTGAATTTCTACAAGATGTAATAGTTTGGAGACCTTGAATCTGAGCGTGCTGTTCTAGGCCGTTTTGACACGTTGCTGATACCGTCTGAGGCTTCCAAGGAGATTAAATCATTTAAAACACGATGTCAAATGCGCAAGGGCGTAGATTGAAGCGGTGTCTGCGGGCTGTAATCGTTGGAAATGCCAGAAAGTGGTACCTTGGAGGCATGCAGAAAACTAGAGATTTCCAGTAAGAATTGAGTATGCCATCCGGAGGAAACGGTAACTCTCGCTGAATTCGAGTGTGTTTTGATGAGTTGTGCGAGCTGTGGATTTTTTTGACAAGTGATGTTCCTATCTGGGGCGCTTGAAATGGTGTCTTTTAGCTGCAGCATGATGTAAAGGTTCCAATAGCACATCTTGATGCGGCATTTGGGGGCTCTAATAGCTAATTATGCCGAGAAAGCGAGTGTGTGTAGGTGCGCAGAGACAAGGCAATTTTCACGGCATCTGAGTGTGGCGTGGGAAGGAAGGAGAGATTCTGATGACATGTGGGCGTGTTTTGATGAGGGACGTGAACGTGATCTTGTTGTCTGAGGTGCCCTGATTGGCTTCTCGTAGGCGCAGCGTGATGTAAAGGTTCTGAGAGCGAACATTGAAGGCGATTTTGGTGACTCTGATAGCTACATGAGGCTGGAAAGTATTCCCGTGTAGGCGTGCAGAGACATGGCGGTTTCCACGGCATCTGAGTGCGGCTCGCCAGCGGAAGGGAGTTTCGTACGATATCTGAGCCTGTTTTGATGAAGGCCGCGGACGAGGGACTGTTTTGACACGTGATCGCGCCGTCTGAGGGACTCTAGTTGGTTTCTCTCTGTCGGAGCATGATGTAAATGTTTTGAGAGTAAAGATCGAATCGGCATTTGGGGGCTCCAATAGCTAGTCGAAGCTGGAAAGTAGTTTCGTGTGGATGTGTACAGTGGCGGCGAACCCCATAGGATTTAAGTGTGTTTTGGGAAAGAAAGGATATTTTTACTGTCCCTGGAGGTGCTTTTGGCAGGAGTTTCAAGTTAAGGAGCTAATGGACACTTGATGTCGCCGTCTGAAGCCCTCTAATTGGGCGAGAAAATGGAATACACGACGACAAAAGCAGGAGACCCTAGAATAACGCAGCATTTAGGAGCCGTAACGGCTACACAGCCCAGGAAGACGAGTTCGTTTAGGTGTGCAAAAGGCCGATCAATTCCCTGAGATCTGAGTGTAATGTGCGATGGAAATGACGATTTCCACGATTCTTGAATGAGTCTCGATGGGAGGATCAAATTGGGTAGCTAGTTGCTACTTGATCACGCCGTACGAAGGTCTCTAGCAGATAATTATGTGGTGGTATAAGATGTAGAGTTTCGGATGCCCTGGATCTCACCGGCTTAATTTGAGTTGTTTTGTCACGTGAATGGCGCTGCAGAAGGTCCTGTACTCACCTGACTTGAAGTGGAACACGATATACAGATTCCGAGAGCTTAGATCTCATCGTGTTGTATTAGAGCATTTTGAAGGTTGGCTGGTAACGTTTGAGGTTTCCGACTAGCTCATATCATTCACCACACGATGTAAGATCCCGAGAGCTCAGATCTCAATCTGCCGTTTCGAGGCATTTTGATGGTCGGTCAGTAACGTCTGAAGCCCTTCGATTGGCTCATTTGGAACGCAACACGATGTGTATGCTTCAAAGCTCTAGATCTCACACGGTCAATCCGGGGCGGTTTGGCATATGGAAAATGCCGTGGGAGGTCCTCTGAATGGCCCCTCTGAAGTACTACACGGTGTAAGTGTTCCGATAGTCTATACCTCCACGGTGCTGTGTTGAGGCATTTTGATTGGTGGCTGATATCGTGTGGAGTCCTTTGGAATGGGTTGGAGCCTTGCAACGCGATACAAAGGTTCGGAGGTCGCAGATCTCACTGGGGCGAATTGCGGTGTTTTGATACGTCCTTGGCGTCGTCTGAAAGCCCCTGGATAGGCGAGAAGATGCAAGATGGAATGTAAAGTTTTCGAGGCTCCAAATTAAATGTGCTGTTTCATAGCGTTTTGGAAGGTAGCTGGTAACGTTCGAGGTACTTTGAAAGGACTGAAAAGACGCAACATAATGTAAAGGTGGGAGACTCAAGATCTCGCAAGGTTGATTCGGGAGGTTTTGGTGAGTGGATAACCGTGTTTGAGAGACTCTGATTGGGCAAAAAATAATAGTGGGGATTAACGATTCGGAGGCCTTGAATCAAGAGAAGGCTGATTTTGAGCATCTTGATAGGTGCTTAGTAACGTCTGGAGTCCCCTGGTGAGGGTGAACAATCGACAACGTGATGTAGGGGGTCAGAGGCCCCAAATCGGAGGGGCGGTGAATTAGAGCTTTTGACACGTGAGTGGCGGTGTTTGACTGCTTTTAATTTGGTTGAAAATGGCGTAGTAGGATGTCAAGGTCTGGAGGCCCTAGGTCCAGAGGGGGTCAATCTGAGGGGTTTGATGCGTTCGTGGCGGCGTTTGACGGTCCTCAACCGGGTGGAATGTGACAGGGGAGGATGTAAAGGCCGGAGGGTACAAACTTGAACGCGGTGAAATACGGGGTATTCAGCACATAGCTAGCGGCACTTGGAGGACTTTGATAGAGCGATGGAACAGGTCTTGGGATGTACAGGTTGACGAGCCAAAAACGTAGCGGCTTGGATGTCACTTTGGAGTAGTGAGTTGAACTGTTGATGCGCTTCGACTAGTTGCATACGTGTTCAGGCCAAAGATAACAATGTTGGTAATTTGGAGCGTGGACAAATCCTGAAGGTATAAATGATCATACTCAATGAGTTTCCTCGTGTATAGTCCCGTCCGAAAGCCTTCGAAAGAGGTAAAAAAAGCACAAGACGATGTCAAAAACGGGAGAGCCTATATTGAGCACGCGAGAATGGAGGCTCTTGGAAGGTAGCTGGTACCGCATGAAGGCTTCCAATAACGTCGCTCAAATTCCAGCAAGATGTAGCTTTACTGAGGGTTTAATCTGAATCCTAGGTGGTAGATTTTGAAGCTCGTCATAGCAAGTCGAGCCACTCCAAGCTACGGTACGGAAATAGTCCGATGAGTAGCGAGGGAATAGAGAATAGAGTCACATGATAGAGTCCAGAGTACAAAATGAAAGTTCTGGTACTCTACAACTGCATGAGGCCCTCCCACATGTCTACTGCTTCGTCAGATCCTCCAGGAAATTCTCAAGATACGGCCTGAATGCATCCGGCGCCTCCCAGAAAGGTGCGTGCTGTAGGCCCTCAAGTCTCACACATTTCCCCTTCCACAGATTTGCCCACTTGATCTCATCAATATAGTCGAGGTTGACGAACGGTTCGGCACCTCCGTTCACCACCGCTACTGCCACTGCAGTGTTCGTTTCGACCTCCTTCCGCTGATCGAGTCCGCGGCCTGCAACGCCAGCATTAAACATGACCTTCCGCGCGAGCCCATCGGTACGGGCCACGGCATCGCGCATCCAAGGTTCGTAAGGGATCGCGGTCATGTGAACAAAGCCGTCGATTTCGTCTTCGGTAAGGATCTCGCGGCCCGGCGGGAGAAGGGTTGGGTCGCACGGGAATCTGAAGCCGAGGGCCATTTGGTCAAGACCAATGCATGGGGGTGTGCCGGTAATCATGATACCGAGGAGCTTTGTCTCTGGCGCCGTAGCAGTAGAAGAAGGAGCGAGAAGCGGCATCATTTCGATGGCAATGTGGCCGCCGAGACTCCAGCCGAGGACCACAACATGGGAGACGTGTAGGGATGAAAGAAGCTGAACTGCGGTGGCGGCGTAGGCAGCTTGGGTGTAACTGGCGGCTGGATCCGCGGCATTGGAGGAGGCGCCATGGCCTGGGAGGTCGAGGGCGATGATGCGGTATTTCGTTGCGATTTGGGGTGCGTTGAAGACGGGACGGAAGATTTGAGAGTTGGAAGAGTTGCCGTGAATGAGGAGGAGAGCGGGTGCATTTGGGGAGGCCACCAGGGCGGGCTTGGAATCGATGTAGGAGATTGTCCCGTAAGGTGTTGCTAAACTTGAAGGCTCAGGCATGAGTTGCGCAGCCATGGTTGATGTTTGCAAGCAAAAAAATCTCTCTGCGAAGAAGAGTTCGACGTTGTGTGCGTTAGTCACACAATTCGGAGGCCTGGTTATCCGAAACTTGTGTGGAATTGGATGTTGGACTTGCCAAATTTATAGATCTCCTCCAGCAAGCTCGGACACAGTTTCGGCTGTTTACTCTACAGCACTATAGGGCGATGAGAGCTTCACTTAGAAATCCAGAGAGCGATTGCCTATACCACGTACGTGCTTATCGATACCAGTCTAGAGAGGCAAACTCTGAAAGGATTTATAGCAAGAACTAGAGTACCGATGCCCTTATTGAGTAGCGGACGCTTGATTTGGGGTTGATATGGCTAGTGCTGATATAAGCTTTGAATCCTACCGATAGCGAGGATGGTGCGGTCGAAATAGAAAGGTATGAGCAAGTAGTTACGGTCAAACGTTCTCGAGATGAGGGGTATCTCGTTTGTGCTGATCACGAGACTTGGTGTAAGGATTGCGATGATTTCAGAGGTAACACGGTTTTCTAGCCATATAAATTCAAATGAAGCAGTTCAAACCACCTATTCCGAAATGCACACACTTTCTCTTAATTAATGGTAGTGTTGTAGGTGGCCCTTGCTTATTCTAGCAGCTTCCTGTCGGCTTTGCGCAGCACTACAAACCTCAACACCATCGAACCTCTCCGTTGCGAAAACTGCGATTGGCGCGTTCGGATCGCCCCTGATGATCGTAAGCTACGCGTTCTACATGTCCGGAGTAGGTGCACGATGCGCGCTCAATAATATCAAGGGGGGCAGAAAATACCACGGCACACCGGAAGTCTTGCAGCATCATAAAAGCTACAAAGGTCTGCGCGCTATACGAGTCGGTGAACACATGTTGTGGATAATCCTTAGCACTGAAGAAGCTGCTAATAGGGGCCATGAGGCGCAATGTTCGATCCAGAGAGGGTAGATCTCAAAATAGGCGGTATAAACTGCCGCTTTTCAACTTGCTAGGTCAGATAATGAAACACCCCATGATCTTACTCATCTTTAATACGCTGGAAGGCCCCTTAAGCAATAGGATCTTAAAATTGCAAAGGCTTCAATTTGAATTCACAAGTGTTGTAATGCGCCGTCCATTGGAGGGGCCAGAATGGAATCGATGCGCCGAAATCAACATTTCTTGAGGTGCAAGCAGGCTTTTAATAGCATAGACTACCAGCTCGAGACTCCTCAGAATGTATGAATTTGACATGCAAAAAGAAGTGACGACGAAGGAGCAATGTGTCCTGTCGGTCACGTGATATCCTGCCACGACCTCTGAGGATAAAAATCTGTAGATCTGCCTCGTACTTCAACGAAATGCGAGATAGCCATGGGAAATTAAGCCCAATAGGACAACACTCTGTTGCAATAGTGTCTGGGAAGGGCATGTGGCGCTGCAGGTCTGGGGGCCAATGAGGCTGTGCTCGCAGAGACCATCTCGAACTCCGCACTCTGTTGTTGCGTGAAGATGCTCTACGCCAATGACAAAGACGAAGCGTTCCGAGAGCAGCCTATTACGAGGCAGACTTGGGACGCGATGAGCAACTGATACCCGTTGGGTATCTCCAGCAGCCACATATGCGCAGCGCAAGGCGCAGACGGATACCTGCGAGGCCCCTCGCATTGACATCATGGCGTGACACCAGAATCCTTCTAGAAGGTTGCCTCACTTGGTTAGGTAAGATTAGCCCCCAGGTCCGACCAATTCCACCCCGCCGGCTTTGGAGTGAGCCTTGTGCCGCCCCTGCAACCAACCACCACCCAACACCAAACCACGTCGAGGCAAGGATCCGGCCTTTTTTGCCACAGCTCCGCCTCAGGCTGCTCCCGACTATCACCCACCTGGCCCGCGGTGTGCGCTGTGCACCAGTCAAGGCTGCGGCATCTGACCACCTTCGTCGCTTTCCTACCTTTGTACTGGATACCCGCTCTTGTATATTTAGGACCTCCCAAACCCATCTTCTTCTGGTGTTAACACTCCCTATGACTACCTATGACTACCTAGATCTATCATCATGAAACTCGAAAAACCCGCACCGGAGGCAGCAGGCTCATTGCCGCACGACTCAGTGCTCGCCTCCTCTGCTTCCAACTCCAACTCGGATAATAATGCCCGCCCGCCATCATACCACGCCGAGGACCAAGAGCCGCCGAACCAGATCCCAGAGGACCTCAGCGGAAGGCTGCGCAATTTGAATCTTAGCCAGCCCGCTGGGATCCAGACACCCACCAGCGACCAATTGATTGCCCACCTTAAACTTCTTGAAGCGTTCTGGAGGTTGAAAGACGAGATCGGCAAATGGGACGGTCTTTTTGATATTTCTGACCCAAGTGGTGAGCTCGCTGAAGATGCAGCTGCCAGAGCCAAAGTGTGCGAGAAGAGATGGGCTGTCTATGTAGCGCGAGCCGTCGACCGCTTCGAAGCCTGGTGGACTCGATGCATTCCGCAGTCGAAGGGCGGGCGGGGAGGCGGGAAACTGCGACTTATCAATCTGATGACCGACAAGTCAATCCATCTCGTTGCTGGTGAAGGGCAGCCACTGGGCTATTTGACAGACCGCAATCACCTTCCGCCGCTTGGTAAGTAGTCATCGTTAATTCGAGGGACGGAATCGAGAAAACTGACGCCTGTAGATGTCATTATGGTCTGGCACTCCTTTTTGCTAAACCCGCGATGCTTTTTCGAAGACTGCTTGCGCCTCGGAAAGATGGATTTCTTTGCCACGGGAATGCCCTGGGGCGCCATTGATGCTCTTATTGATCCCGTCACTTTCGACTACACACCCGGCGACGAAGCCAGAGGGCACTTCGAAGGCATGACCGGATGTCTCTGGGACAATCTTCAAGACCCTCTGACCAAGACACTGTATTGCCCAGCTTGCAATCGCAATGTCACAGTGCCCTGGACCGCTCGATGTGGCTACAATGGCTCATCTGAGTTCGAGTCTGGGAATGGTCTAGCAGACAAAGACTTCATCGCTGTATGCAAAGGCTGCAAGTTCACCCTCACACACGAAGCCCTCCGCGTCGCGAAATTCCGTCGCGATACTCAGGCCCTTCTTTTCGAAGACCTGCCACTTCCGGGCACAGTTCTCCAAGTCGATGGCGCTCCGATGAAGCTTCGTACTGTGGGCAAAAATGTACTTCCCGAATGCACGTTCCCTTCATATCTCGTCACCGCTGGCCTCAGCGGCACTATCATGGAGGCTACGGATCCTAAAGCGAACCCCTTCTGTACAGTCAACTCAATTAAGAGCATCTTCGAGAAAGGCGTAACGGATAAAAATCTCGTCAAGAAAATTAAAAGTGCCTCCCTCGTCTATCGCCACGAGAAAGTTGCCATCCGCCGTATGATGTCGCGTTACTGGTTCAACTACTCCCCGTTCGCCCTAGATCTCGCCGGCGCCGTCATTCGCCAGGGATCTTTCGTCGACAAAATGCACGCCATAGACTGGCTGCACTCGCCCGCCCTCTCTGCAACCATGTCCCGCTGCCTCACCAAATACTCGCGCTTCTTCTCGATTATGGCGCTAAACCCGAGCAAAGTCGCCGTCCCGACCCTCGACGTCGACCTCGCGTGGCACACGCATCAAACCGCCCCAGCACTCTACTACCTCTACTCTCAAACCAAAACCAGCAAGCTCATCGACCACGACGACAAGATCGAAGAAGGCGCCCTCAACGACGCCTTTGTCTGGACCTCCCGCACCTACCAAAACAAATACAGGGAGCCCTACAGCGAGTGCACATGCTGGTACTGCGAAGCCGTGCGCGAGACGCGCATCAGCGGCTTCTCGAAGCTCTTCAAGAGCAACAACTACCAGACCTCCGAGAACGTCCACGATATCCCAGGCATCACAAACGATCCCAACACGGCTCCGCATATCAGCGCGCACAATGTCGTGCACGACTCCTCCATCGTGACGAAGAATAAGAATAGGGTCAAGGCCGCGGGTATGGATGCCGCGTACCATTCGGCCTGTGCGCGCGCGCGGAAGAAGGGCCGTCCGGAACCGAGACGCGATGACTATTTCTACTATTATGCGTGGGGATATCCGATCATGTATCCGATGTATATGCCCTACTATGTCGACCCGTGTGTTGGCGGTGCGGCGGGCGCTGGGGTCTACTCTTGTGACTACGGCAACGTTGATACGAGCAGCGGAGTTGTGGGGTCGTGTGCTGCTGGGACGTGCGGTGGTATGGCAAGCTTTGGGGGCGGAAGTTGTACAGCTTCTGCAGGAGGCTGTGGGGGAGGAGGGGGAGGAGGCGGCTGCGGAGGAGGCGGTGGATGTGGTGGTGGCAGTGGAGGCGGTGGATGTGGTGGTGGCGGTGGAGGAGGAGGTGGAGGGGGATGCGGTGGTGGTGGTGGAGGGGGCTAAGCAATCTATGGGATGATATTGGGGTTTGGGAGTTGATATAACTACCTGTCTTAGTTCTCGTACGTTTATTGGAAATTGTATATCGCCCTTTCTGTAACTTAAAGATATGTAAAAGGAGTCATCCAACTATGCATACTTAAATATGGAATTTTGGCAAGGTTTGAATCCGTACTATCTAATTGAGTGCAATGGAGCATCGCAAAAATGGCGAGGAAATCATCACGCGACTGTGGAGCTTAGCCGAAATTGTCTTAGCTTCCTGTGCCTTAACCTTTCCCTCAGTGTCCCTAGCCCAACCACAACAATCAACTTGAGCTCGTATCTGCCATCATCTCCATCAAATCAGCCATCTTGTTGGGCTCCAAACCGGGAGTGCTTGAGGCCGATCGAGATTCCGAGCCCAGAACATGCTCAAAACTTTAAAACTCTTCCCTTCCTTGTGGCTACCCAATGAGAGATGTTTTTAGCAATGAAGGCGGCTTCAGCCTTTTCGCCTTCTTTGCATTCTTCCATCTACGTGGCATTAGCGGAGCGTATTGTTCGATGAAGGACAGAAATTAATTGTACGAGATAACGGCAGGATTCGATGGGGACCTCTTACTGTACTCGAGGGAAAGGTATAAAGGCCCCCTTCTTTACCTCTCAAATGACCTTGTACTTGTTTCAGAAAAGCCTAGTTCACGTCCCTCCATCCCACGGTCTTTATCTGACCTGATACGGACCTCTCAAGTGTTCATCCTGCAACAATTCATAAAATCCTCGTCAGCCTAAAACATGCCACTCGATGATCCCTATTCATGACTTCACTTTCGTCGAACATGTTATCATCCTGTTGAGATCGTAACAGGGATAGAGCCTTGGGAATACTCATCAGACGAGGCGGATGAGGAGTATGAATCTCTTCAGGCTGAAGCTCGCAGAAAACGGGATGCTCGTGAACGCGAAAGTACGTCGACTAAGCTGTTTCTTAGACCCCTCCTCCTCCAACTTACCAACTTTTATAGCAGGGCCACACAGTAATAGGCCTACGCAAGCATTCAATGGCCCTGTCTTCAACAACTGCAATATCAACTTCATCTCATTAGCTCCGGCTCAACCACTCGCTTCATTACCAGCTCCACCCCGTCCAGCCACCCTCCCGTCAGCCTCTCTGCACGCACTACAACCGTATCCACCTTCCCAACACCCTTACGTCTGCCTCGGCACCGCAGCTGTCCCACTCGCCACAACTGAATATCCGTCCTACATCACTGACATCGACTCATGTTCCACATGCGGCGCTCGTCTAGATTACAACAATTGGCCCAATCTAAACAGCGTCCCCCCTCCTCTATTCTTATACGAGTCGCACATCGCCATCACGGCGACTAACAGTCAGCTGCATTATAGCTGCTTAATATACAAGGAAAACCTTCTACGACTGCGGTGCCGATGCTCGTTAGTGACCTGGTACAGCACTTATGGAACCATCTGAATCGGGGAGGGGAGAGTGTGATGGAGGCCCACAGGGTCAATGGTGGTGGAGGGGCAGGGTGGGGTGCTAGGGTGTATACGGGTGCATTTTTAGGAAGAGGTCTAGAGGTATGATGCCGACGGAGATGGATTCAGGTGTTGATTTCATCGATTGGAATGAAAAGTAGGCGTAATACACGTGACCATAGCGTCTACGGAGAAGCGTTGTTGATATGCAAACAAAATATTCTCTAGCATGATAGTCTCTAAATCCCATCTACGAAGCACAGTTTGAGTGGCTTTGCCTGAATTCGCTGGCGAAAGAGTAGACATAGAGTACAGTCACATGATTACCCTAAGCCAATATTGTCCTAGCGTCGAGACTCAGCCCATCCCCGAGGCATCAACCATCACTCAACCCTTCAAGCATCATTTGTGTCCTTTCCGCGCCGTAGCAACCGCGTTGGATTCTATCCAACGCAGTTCTTTCGTCCTGCTTCTTTCACTTCTAAGAACCAGGCAACGGACGTCAGGCTTCCTGGTATCCATCATTGCTTTTTTCAGCCTTGCGACGAGAAGTGTTGTCGACGATGATGTCTTGACAATACATTCCACCTCCATACACTGGACCTCTTGATTCCAAGGCAAAGCCAGTGCGTTTAGTTGCCTCCCAACCTTCCTCAGACACGCACGCCAGTGCGAGGCTATCATCAACATGCGCCTCATTAACGTCAATACCTACGAGATCGAAGAGTTCTTTGGCTCTGATATTCCAAATTACATCGCCCTGTCCCATACTTGGCTACCCCAAGAAGAGCCATCGTTCCAGGACTGGTCGAACGCGTATCGCAGCGCGAAGACATGCGCCGACGGCGTCGTAGTGGGCATGCGAAGAATCATGACCGAGCTCAACAAGGTACTCGGCTATGAAAAAATCCACAACTTCATTTGCAAATCTCAAACTCTCGATGGCACGTACTGCTGGGCGGATACCGTGTGCATCGACAAATCGAGCAGTGCGGAGTTATCCGAGGCCATAAATTCCATGTACAAGATATACCGGAACTGTCATCACTGTCTTGTTTACTTAGCGGATGTCAAGGCTGAAACCAAGCACTCGAAAGATGAATACTCGCGTCTTGTCCAGTCGAGGTGGTTCACCCGCGGGTGGACCTTACAGGAGTTGATCGCACCCGAAGACCTCGTATTTTATGACAAGAATTGGAGGTACCTCGGGCTCAGGAATATCTACTTGGCTGCCATTCAGCAAACTACAGGCATCTCAACGGACGTGCTTGTAGGTACTACGAATCTAAAATCATACAGCATCGCAGAACGGATGTCATGGGCATCAAAGCGAACGACAACGCGGGAGGAGGACTTGGCTTATTGTCTGCTAGGTATCCTTGATATCAACATGCCATTACTCTATGGAGAAGGCGAGAAGGCTTTTCAGAGATTACAAGAAGAGATCATCAAGAAGTATGACGACGACAGTGTCTTTGTTTGGAGCTGTTCCTCGGCCTCCTCTAGCACTTACCGCGGCATTCTAGCGAGGTCTCCATCAGAGTTCGCGAACTCTAGAGGGATATCTTTCTTCGGATCCAGATACAGCGAGCCATATTCGATGACGAACCAAGGACTTCGAGCTCAGTTTTACGGATGGTCCGTTCCGGGCGTACCAGACGAGTTTGAAGTCGTGCTAAATTGCCGAAATGACGCTCAGAAGAATGTCACAATTCGCCTCCGCAGGATATCTCCCTCCTTGCCATTTTACGCCCGCGTCGACAGCCACCATAGTCACATCACCAATCTACCTCAGCAACGTGCAATCAAGATTGAAATAAGGAATGTTTACGTGAGAGAAGAAATCTGTCTCACTACATCACATCGATCCTCTCGTGCTCGCGGAGTATGTTTCCAACTCACGCCGCGCGGCTTATTCGTGAAAAACACATGGCGGCTCGTATCCAGGGAGCATTGGCAGTGCGAACAGCCATTCCAGTACCCTACACACCAGAGATGGGCGGGGTTAATGTTCACATTTCCCGAGGATTCTGACATTCGACACAGGCATAAAGTATCAGATACAACTTCGGACAAGCCAATCTTTTGTATTATGGCAGCGTTACAACACCGGGCCACAAGGCGTTACTATGCCATGCGTATAGAGTTCGGTCTAGAGGAATGGTGTAGTTGGGATGAAGATGAGCTATCTAGCTTGTGGGCTAGGGTACGACTTGGGGACGTGCAACAACCCTACGACCCCTCTCTTAGTACTCCAACAATTATTTCTGATACGGAACGAATGGTGCAGCTTAGCCCTGCTTTGATGAATGACGACCTGTGGCTATCCACAGCTGTTCCCTACTCAATGGAAAATGGTCACATTGGTGTTATTTAGTTTTGTAACAGACTATCCGGTTTCCGGTGGTCTTGTCTTTGATCTCTGGACTCTTAAATTCATTCTGATTTTTTGGACTTCACTGGAGCATCCCTAACGATGGCACGAAGGCATCAAATCAAATGACTCAAGCTCTTAACTCATGCTGCGTTGAAGGCGGAGTCTTATACGGTGCAGCAATTGAAGGTTTTTAGTTCTGCTAGGCCGATAGGACAGATAGTAGGGGAGCGCTGTGGCGGCGTTCATACCTCTAGTTTTCTGTGTTCTCATTCTTGCTCTTACGGCTTCTACATCTTTCCAAATTTATGCGAGTCCGTTGTAGTATCCCAAAAGATAGGATCACTACATCAAATCAGGAAGGCCACGATCCTGATTTCAGCTGTGCGGGTAACGAAGATTCAGAGAGACGCAATTGAAGATGTTTAGCTGCAGGGAAGTAATGGTACTCTTACTTTCAGATATTGTCGAGGTTTCTATATTTATTTGCCTCAATGGTCACAAGTCTTCACGTTCAGATCACTAGAGTCGGTAGCAAAAGGTAGCATTCCGTGATCATAAGTCAACTACTTGTTGAACTTCTGCCTTTCTCTCGCTCATGCCGTCTCTATGGGACTCTGCTCTGGCCCCTCTCAAGCCTCTCCTTCGCCACCCTGGCCCTCTCCGTGGCCACCCTCCTCGTCTCCTCCCTCTGTCTCCTCTTCGACCGCCTCCTCGCCCTCCGCGAAGCCACTAGTACCCAAGTTGGCCTCCTTGATGCCAACCCACCCGTTCTGCTCAATCTCTCGAAACTCGGCATTGCGGTCCCTCAGATCCACCAAGGACTGGCAAATGCCCGCCAGTCTGACCTCCAGCTTCTAAACCCAACGTAAGCCACACTCTTCCACCAACATAATTACTACCACAAAATCCTTACCTTCTGCTCCCAACGGCACACCACATCCGCCGGCACCTCCAACGCGGCCCTCAGCCTCGAGATCTCCACTCCTACCGCCTTGTTCCACTCATGCTCCACCTCCTCCTCCTCCTCCTCCTCCTCCTCCTCCACCTCGGCCCCCCTCGCCGCCCTCGTCGTCCGCTTCTTCGGTGTCGTGCGCTTCGGCTCCGCCGCGGGGGCCTGCAGCCACGTGACCCTCTCCTTCCCGCCCACGACGTTCTGGTACCGCAAGTAGCAGTCGTCCTGCACCCGCTCCTTCGCCGCACGTGCGCGGCTCTGGAGGCCCTGGTTGATGCCGATCTCCTCGCGGAACAGGATCCAGGCGACGGCGAGGTAGAGCTTGACGAGGTTGGGGGCGTCCTCGGGGCAGGCGAAGGGCAGGCCGACGGTGCCGCGCGTGAAAGGGTAGGCGGCCCAGTGGGTGATGAAGTTGTCCCAGTTCGGGTTGCCGCCTTTGGACTCGCGCAGGAGGTCTGTGAGGATGGTGGGGGGGATGCCGGTCGCTGCGTGGAAGCGGTGGAGGGCGGTGGCGGCTTCTGCGGGGGTGAGGGTGGTTGGGGTGTACGAGGTGGACGCCATTGTGTAGAGTAGGTGTATTTGTGGTGGGTAGTGTTTGAAGAGCTGGTTTGCGGTGTCTCTGGTGCTGAAGAGGTTGAGGACGTCGAAATCGGAGCTGGTCGGTTGGAGGTTTGGAGCTGGAACTTCAGTGAAGCTCAAATAGGTCTAAGCGAACGTGGACCACGTGCTGATACGTGACGGTTTCAAGCGGCAGGGTGAAGGGACGCGGAAAGGTAAGGTTCAACGCGGAAGGTTCGTGTGCACGACTTGAAGTTGAGCTGAGTGGGCCATCGAAAGGACCGTGAAGTTGATACGGCAGGAGGGGCTACAGCAACCTTTAACATCCAGCAGGACTACAACACGGTAGACTCATTTATCGCACTGCTTTCTATTTCTTGGTATCCGGGTAGGCTGTTGGGACTTCAGACAAAATGAGAACTCCACGCAGTACCTTTTGACTGACTACCTGCCTACACGCCGGGGTACCCCTTACAGTGGTGTCGAGTGAGCAAAATAGAAGCTCGAGTACGGAGTTATCTATGTGTCTATGTTTTGAGGCTTTAAACATGATGGAAAGATCTGTGCAGTGTGAACCAGACTATCTCTTGACTAACCAGTAGCTTACTAGCTGGGCTACTCCTCACGGTGGTGTTTAGTGAGCAGAGATCAAATATACACAGTAGGATATCCATATAGCCCCGCTTTGAGGCTCTACAAACAATGTAAAGGTCAACGCAGTGGAAATCGGGCTACCTTTTGTCTAACCGAAGACGTGCTAACTACGGTACTCCTTGCAGGGGTGTTGAGCGAGCGAGAGCGGCGCTCGAGCAGTAAGATGTTTGTGCGCCTAAACTATGACCTAGTGCTATACATCTCCCCGTGAAGAAATTTGTTTCTAGAGGTTCCTGAATCATCCTATAGTTTCCCCGGTTGCAAATACTGCACATTCAGCAGTACAAAAGATCACTTCAGTAAAACTCAAGATACAAGCAAGACACATCAAACCACGGAAGCAAACTTAGGGTGAAGGACCAATATCTAGTTCTGCAACCCGTGAAACATGCTCATAGAGCAGTCTACTTACGCCTTTCTGCCACTGCTTGCAATGCTTCAGTGTATTCACAAAACTTGGAGTAACGACTCACACAATCAAACTGTGTACACCCATCTACCAACGCCCGAGGTGGCGCGGTAGGTTATCAGGGCCGTCAGAATAGTAGGCCTGTATCATTTTAAAATAGGCTAAAGCACTCCAAGCGGCGTCGGAACGGTGCGAGCAACTCATCGCATGTCCAATTTATCTACACCTACCTACCAGCGCTTGGGGTGGCACAGAAGACTATTAAGCTTGCCAAAATGACAGACTTCTATCCTTTTTGAATAGTTTGAAGCACCTCAAACGACGTCAGAACAGTGCTCTACTACTGCTTGCAGTGCCTCAATATATTCGCACAAATTGGAGCAACCACTCACCCAGCCTCTCTATGTACACCTATCTACCAGCGCTTGGGGTGGCATAGAAGGCTATCAGGCTGGCCAAAATGACAGACCTCTACTCGGGTTGCAGCACTACAACCTAGGGTCAGCAACTCATATGCAGTAACGTATCAGGATAGCATGCTGATACAGGAGGAAGTAACAGGTAGTGCAACAGCAGTGCTGCAGCACGGTATCAGTACTGTATCAGGAAACAGGATGAATCAAGTAACGCGTCAGGAAGAGATACCACGTTATGCCCCCGGGGCTGGCCCCCCTCCTTCCCCTAGTATATAAACAACGAGCTAGACACCCATAGAAATCAGAGTTCACATCAATTTCAACCTGAGTCCTCTATTCTCATTGAATAGTTTGAGGCACCTCAAACGGCGTCAGAACGCCGTCAGCCAACTTAGGTGATTCAGCTAGTATGGGTTGTGTTCAACATTACTATATGGTCACGACAACAATTTTATAATCACCACGACTCACAGATCCTATCTGTGTACACCTATCTACCAGCACTTGGGGTGGCATAGAAGGCTATCAGGCTTGCCAAATTGATAGACTTCTATTCTCTTTGAATAGTTTGAGGCACCTCAAACAGCGTCAGAACGCCGTCAGCCAACTTAGGTGATTCAGCTAGTATGGGTTGTGTTCAACATGACTATACGGTCACGACAACAGTTTTGTAATCACCTTCAGTCAATATATACGGAAGTAAGTCAGTTCATTCGTCTTTGGTAAACTATCTTACAAAACCCCCAGTCCCAGCTAGTCCGACCCACCCTCGTCGTCACTATTCGTTCCGAGCAGCCGCGCCTCAATGTCTTCCAGCGCGGTCAGTTCGGAGCCGGCGGAGGACTCGTCGGTCTCATATTCGTCTTCTTCGACACGGCTTGTGTGCTCTTCGGTGGAGATACGGGCTCGCTTGTTGCTATTTCTACCATTTTGGGTAGAATGAGCGCGAGCCAGAGTTGGAAGGGGAACGGTTGAGGTCCGTCCGAACATCGGGTTGCGGCGAGCAACCGGAGGGGCGGTTTCCGTGAGATGTTCCATAGAATTGGGGTCCTGTGACATCTTCGCGATCCCTTGCCTCTCCTGCTCCTCTCCGTCCTCCTCCTCCTCCTCCCCCTCCTCGTCATCATCACCGTACTCATTGTCCGTATATGAGTAGCACGAGACGGCTGAGCCCGCTCGATGTCGTCGCCGCTGGACCTCCGCCAACTGGTCCGGATCGTTGACGTCCCCCTTGTACCACATGTCAGGATCGTAGGATACTGTGTCCGCCAGCTCTTCGTCCTCTTCCTTGAAGTAGTTGACATGGCGCATCTTCAATCCCTGCCAATCCCTCGCCTTGTATTGGGTCAACTTCCCATTCATCTCCTCGAAGCCTTTCAGCACCGCGGCGATTCTCGAGCAATCATCGACGAGGAACATCGTGTCGCGTTCTGGGTCAGTCAAAGTCTCCACCGGCATCTCTAGTTGCTCCTCCAACTTCCTTATCTCGATAAGGTTGTTCCATCGAAGATCGGACTTGAGAATAGGATTTTCGCCGAACCCGGCGGCCTCGCGGATGAGTGCCTTGTTTCTCGAGATCGCAGCTGGGATGAGAATCCGAGCCATGGCGAGGTAGCCTCGAGCAAGGGCGGGCGTGTGTTGGGGATACTCGAAGGGCTTAGGCTTTGGACCAGCGGGAGGGCAGTAGTCTCCAATATCGTAGTACTCGACGCCACGGCAGTACGGATTTGTGAGTTTCTCGACCAGCACTTCCCCAAGGCCACAGGTTGCGGTAAACTGCGCCATCTGCCTCCCGGCGTTGTCAGCGGTGACGTTGCGAGGCTCCCAGGTGGACTTGGGCTGCTTGGGGCCTCGGCGAGGTCTGAGCCAAGACGTGTAATGATTTGGATCGAGTGGCGGGAAGGGAGGCGGAGGATTCCTTGATCGATCAGAGCGTTGCAGAGGCTCCTCGACCGAAGGTGTTGGTGATGGTGGTGGAGGAGGTAGACTCGACATTGTTGTTACTTTGCTGTGTGGGTCTGTGGGTACAGCGGTGGTGGTCGTAGAAGGTGTGATTGAGCAACAAGGAATTGGAGGGTTAGGAGCGAGTTCAAGTACTCGATCCGCTCTTGGAAGAACTGAATTCCTGGGCAAGCTAGTGAGGATTGAAGGTGCTACAGTCCTAGCGTAACTGGGATTGTTGTCAGCGGTGTTGTTGTTTGGAGAGTGGGTACAACTGCGATGGTGGTGGAGAGTGTGATGTTGAAAGGAAGAAGGCGATGAGGGAGTGGGAGTGGGCTTGAATACTTCAGGCGTCCTAGGAGCTGCTATGCAAGCCGGCGAACTGTGGCGCGCGGTTGAGAGGTGGAGTGGTGCAGTGAATGCGTGTCTCTGGGTCGCAATTTGGTGGGTGGTGATGAAATTGTCACCCGCAGGCGCCAGAGCTCCCCATTAATTGTGTCGGGGTTACGGGGCTCTCGAGTGGGAGATGTTTGGTGAAACTGTGCAAATGACGTTGTTGTGGTGTGGCAGCCTGGTGGCTGGTGGCTGGTGTGGAAGCGATTAGGACAATAGAGTTTATATATTTGCTGCAAAATCAACGCACTCCGCCTTCGGGCATTTGGTCACATCGTAACAACACAGAGAAGATTAGCATGGCCCCTGCACTAAGGATGACACGCTTTATCAAAGTGAGCTTACGCATTTTTTTTGGAGTTCGATTCGCGTGGTGGTCAGGAGGGTGATCTTTTTTTGCCAGTGAATTGTTTTGAGAGCCACACTGACGACAACAACTAGCAGGTCGTTGAGGAGCTTCTTATAAACTCGAATATCTCTATCAAGAGATTTCAGAGCTCGTCGTTGGCTGTAGGCGTTGCCATCCTGAAGATGTGAGCGGACATGCTGCTAAGACACAGACCTTTGAGCGCCTTCAGAACCTGGCAGGCAGCTACACTTAAAGTAAGCGCGCATGTCTAATATTGCTCCCTTCGCAATGCTAGTTAAGATAATCCCGTATCTTCAAAATCATTTCCGGAGTTCTGGCCCAATCAGGAGCCTATCATCACTCTCCGCGTACTTACAAAGCCAAGCCTAATTCACGTCCTATTAGACCTCTGTTAACCGCCTCGAGACTGGGATTTCACCAGGATGTTTTCAAGACTTCCTACGTATCTAAAAACTCATTATCTCAAGCTCTAATCTTGATTTCTTCGCAAAGCCAACTTCAAACAGACTGTAAATCAATAGCGCACCTTAATGCTATTTCCCAAACACTAGCTCTAGTATGACGCTGATAACGCTCCTTGCGTACTCATAAAGCCAAGCCTAATTCACGGGCTTTTAGACTTCTTTCGAACTCCATAAGATTATCATCCCATTAGGAGGCTTTTAACAATTTCCCACGTACCCGCAAACTCATCATCTCGAGATCTAATCTTAATCACTTCACAAAATCAGCTGTAAACAGACTGTAAATCAGTAACGCACCTTGATGCCATGTCACAAGTACTAGCTCCAATGGGAGACCTCCAATGCTCCACCTATTCTCTCAAAGGCCAGCCGAATTCACAACACTCTCGCACCTCTCCACCACCCCCCAAAAAATCAAACCCTCAGGGTCCCCATCAAACCCCCCCTATTCCCGCAAACCCCTCAAAACCTCTTCAGCTCCCCCTCCGTCCACTCCCACACCTCATCCATCAACCCAACATTAAACTCCACATTCTCCACCACCCCAACCGGCCCATAAACATCCGCAATCCCCACCCTCCCCTCCCCTCCCCCCCCCCCCCCCCACATTCACCGCCCTCTCCTCCGCCGCCTCCCCCGCCACCACACACCACGCCCTCCTCCCTACACTCCCCAAATCCCCCCCCGGCAGCACCGTCACCGCTGTAATCTTCCTACAGCGCACCGCCAGCGCGCAGTTATACACCACGGCCGCAAACCTGCTCTCGGCATAGCTATTCGCATACTCCGCCGTAATACTCCTCGCTTTCGCGAGAGAAACAGTGGAGGCGTTGCGGAATTGGGGGCACGTGAGCACCACGACGCGCACGTCGGCCGAGGGGCGGCTGGCGGCCGTGCGTAGTAGCGTGGGCAGCAGGAGCTTGAGCACGAGGGCGTGGGCGAGGTGGTTGACGCCCAGGTTGCGCTCGTAGCCGTTTTTCGTCAGCGAGTTTATGGCGAGGGTGTCTTTGGCGTTGATGCCGGCGCAGCAGATTAGGAGGTGGAGGCGAATGTTGCGGAATTTGGTGGTGATGGCGGTTTTGATGGAAGAGAGGTCTGTCATGTCCATTTGCACGAAGTGGAGGACGACGGAGGGCGCGAGGGCAGCGACGCGCGCGATGAGGGCGGTGGCGGCGGCGTGGGAGCGGCCGGAGAAGTAGATTTCGGCCGGGGAGAGGGTGCACAGGTGGAGGAGGGTGGAGTGGCCGGTGGCGGAGGTGCCGCCGGTGATGAAGATGATCCTGCCGAGGAGTTTGGGGGCGTCGGTGGAGGGGGTGAAGGTGAATTTGTCTTTGGTGAGGGCGCGGCGAAAGGTGGTTGTTAAGGCGGCGGTGTTGAACATTTTGGAGGCGTTATTCTAGAAGTTGAAATTTGAGAGCTAGATGGGCAGCGAGTGTTGAGAAAGGAGACACAGTGTTAAAGAAGCAGCAGCAACTCGTGGATATATGAAGAAGATGAAGTAAAAGTGAAGGTAGCGACTCACACGACGTATACACGCATGGTGAAGGTGGATAGACAGGGGTCAGTTAGCGTAGTGATTTGCTTCACCCTATTGATGTACAACACCAAACATACCTCAAATCAGGTGCCGAGAACGATAATACTGCCTATGTGCTGACACTGTCAGACTGCCAAGGGCTCTCTTACCATACACGCAAAAGAAACAGAAGGGAGAGCTCAGTGTAGACACCAAAAGGTATTGCTTGCAACGCGTGCTCCAAACGATTCATTCGGAGAAAGATAAGATCAGTAATTAGATAAGTTCGTCGGGGAATCACAAACGCTATCATCCATATAACAAAAGCTTCACCATGGCCGCCTGTTCTATCTCATCCTGGGTCAAGACGATGCCGGCGCAGTATCTGGCTTATCTGCTCCTTTCGAGGAACCCTCCGACGGTGTTCCAGCATCACTGGTCCCATTTGCCTCCTCTTTCTTTGGCTCGTCCTTCTTCGCATCATCCGGCTTTGGGTCGTCTTTCTTCGGATCTTCCTTCTTCGTATCGTCTACCGGGTTCTCTTTCGGAGCTTCCTTAGGGTCTTCCTTCTTCTTATGCGGCGCAGTAGCTGGACTCGCATCCGGATCATCAGCCGGAGGTTGAGTGATCACAAACACTGGCGAAGCAGCTGGTGCCCCACCCACCGACACCGCAGGAGCTGGTACAGGAGCCGGCGGAGCAGGCTGCTGAGGCTGTCCTGGTGCACCTGGTCTCGCTCTCAGCGCAGCATTCCCGCCCTCGCCAACACCACCCATATACATATCCGCTACATCCCCAATCAGCAATCATCCCCCTTGCCCAAAAGAAAAAGTATAAAAGCGAGCCCAACTTACGATCATTCATAGTATCACTCCTAACCGCCTTATCATACAACCGCGTCAACCGCGCCACCTCACTCCGCACACTCACATCATCATCAATCGCAATCTCGTCATACCCATGCCACCCCCTACTAATCCCAAACCACATCACCTCGCTATTCTCGATCTCGTCCACCACCCGATCCATCTCGTCCCTGAACATGCGCGCGCGCATCGGCTGGCCCCGGCTCTTCAGATACGCGACCAGGCCCGCGATGATGGTGTTCAGGACGCCGAAAATCGTGATGAGCACGTGCGAGCTCTGGCTCGCGCCGAGCGCGGTGAGGGTCGCGCCCAACACGACCTGGGTCAGGAGCAGCGTGTTGGAGAGCGTCGCGGTGAAGATGTAGGTGTGGTTTTGCGTGCGGCGGCGGTGCAGCGCGCGGCCGTACAGCGAGCTGGGGATGGGCGTTGGGCGTTTGCCGCGGATGTTTGAGGGCGGCACGCCGACGAGGGTGCAGAATTGGTGGTGGATGCTGTTGGGGTCGTCGACTCGCGGAAGGAGGGGGGTGGTTTCGTCGGCCATTGCGGGTAGAGGTGCGCGAGGATGGGGAAAATGGAGGACAATTCAAGGGTATAGCGCTATCAAGCGCTGAAAGGACAGGAATAGAGCAATATTGAGACGGTAATGCAGATGCAAGCTTCAAGATCCAGGCATAGAGAGCTCTTTCGTTGGAATACGTGATTCTGCTCACACAACCCACGACGACGAACCTGAGGGGCAGCGAAGCTCAAAATTAAGTGGGGGTAGATCGCAGCTTTATGCAGGGCGCGGAAAAGAAACTGTATCGACACTAACCTCAATCACCATGATGGCTGACTCGTGAAGTTAGCTCCATATTGGCGGATCGACCAGCGCGTAGCGAGGCCGCAGACCAGACAATGGAATCGCGATCATCCCGATGATGCTGAAATCTATGGTCTGGGACATATACTGCAGGGATTGACGCGTTAATCTTATCTTAATGGATGTGTTAGAGGACTTCTGGTGGTTGCGAAGACGTGTTAAACCTTGGAAAGCTGACGATGCTTAAGGGAGTTCAGTGGGGCTGGATCAGACACGTGATATAGAGCCATTGAAGATGCACCTAATGCACCGACACATAGTCAATATCTTCCAATTCTACTTGGATTTGTAGTCCAAGGTGTCCATTAGTATGGTCAGTTACGATGCTGATAACAAGCCACCTTACAAATGCACGTGATCATGAAACGCGGGCGCGCCATCTTGCACGTCCCGTCCGCGTACTCGGGCTACCGCTTGAGGTAGCCCAGCGAAGTATCAAGTCCATCCATATAATAATAGTACACAGCCCAAAAGCCTTGATTTTACTTCCGAAACATCTCAATTCATATTACAACAACTACACTCAAATGCTACAAAAGGCTGCTCACAGCCGGGTATACCCCCCTTACTCCCCGTTCTCCCTCCTTCTCACGCCACGCCTTCTCCGCCAGCCAGTGTACTCACACTCCTCTTCCCCCAGCCCCAAAAGCTTCCAGCTTGCGCCGACTGCGTCCCCACGCTACCTGGGCTCGGCGTAGCCAGCCTCGCCCCAAAGAACCCACTACTGACCTCGCTCGGGGTGGCTTTATGCCCGGGGCTCACTCCACTACCACCGGGACTTCCCACACCGCCGGTCATTGCCCTACGCATTGCCTCCATCTTCCCCTTTAGCTCTTCCAGTTCCTGCCGTGCAACGGCCTCAGACGTTTTCGCGGTTACTAGTTCTAATAGAAGTGCTTCGTTGTCGGCCGGTGCGTGGTTCTCGGTAGCAAGCACGGATTGAGTAGCTAGACTGCTCGAGCGCTTCGCGAAATTTTGTTGCTGCTTCACCGAGCCAGCGCGGTTAAGCTTGAATTCCCTCAAACCACCCACACTCACATTCGAGGCGGTCGTGTCAGCGGTATCAGACCTCGTGAGAGACGGAGGGGTAGAGCTGTCTGGGCTAGTATCGGCAGGCGACCATGGGATCGAGCCTTTGCGAGCGGAAGCGCGGAGATCATTCACCACCTTGTCGAGGCGTTGTCTCTCGGAGTATGATTCTTGAAGCCGGTGCCTCGTTTCGCGGATGACTTCTTGCGCGGAAGCAAGATCCTTGTCGCGCTCGTCCAATTGGCGTTGGAGGGTATGTGTGCGGGTTGCTTCGCCATTCAGCTGCTCTTTAGTGCGGGCGAGGGATTCGCGAAGAAATTCCTTTGTCTCGAAGGCGGAGGATTGGCGGCGGTGAGATTTGTTGGCTGGGAAGCGGGTATCGAGGCCCTCGACAAGAGTGACGACGTCGGCGGGTACTGTGGGGGACTGTGATGAGCCGCCCAATCCGACAGTCAAGAGTTGGGATAGGGAAGCGCCGCGTTTGTGGCTAGGGTGATGGTGGGAGGTGGACGGGTGCATAGTTTTGATACGATCAACAACAGTGCGGACAGCGCGCTGATCTTCGCGTCGTTCTTCGCGCTCCCTTTGGAGCTCCTCGGTTAGTGAAGTGTGATCTTTTTGCATCTGGCTGATATGCAGCAGCAGCTCCTCGATCTGGCCGTGCAGATCCTTGTCTTTGTTGGAGACGGTCATTCTGACTGATGGCGCGACAGACTCTGCAGTTGATTTGATGGAAAGCGCGTCTGCCGATGAGACTCGAGAGGTACTCGATGTCTCTGTGGGAGCGGTGCTGGCGTGACTGGCGTCTGAACCTCCCTCAACGGAGTTGAGAGTGGATGCAATGCTTTGTTTGGATGGTGTCCGGCGAAGAAAGCTAACAGGTCGTGAGGGAGCGGAAAGGTTCGGGCTGAGAGAAACAGATTTGGTGGACGAGCTGCTTGGCGCCCAGAGTCTACCAAGGAACGACGTCGCAGTCTTTTGGACGCCAGGCTTCACCCCTCCTTCATCCTTCTGCGCCTTGAAGCCCGCCTCGAGAACCTGCAGGCTGTCCCGCGTCACTACGCCGGTGAAGCTCACAAAGTCGTTGACGAGCTCATCGGCCGACCTCGCGTTGCGTCCATAGGGGTCCCAGAGCGCTCGCGATAGCAGAAGTTGCATGACATCCTCGAACTCACTGGATGCTAATATCTTCTCCTCGTTTCTCTTCATGATAGACAGGGCAACGCGCATGATCGTCTCAGACGCGCCCTCGGCAAAGATGACATCGTATATCCGGAAAAGCATTGGCAATGGGCATGTGACCGCGAAGAATGAAAGAAACCACTGGGAGAGGTATGCCGCATCGACCTGAAGAGCGTCGAGATGTGCTGACAGTTCTGGCATATGCTGCTTCAGCAATTGCTGGAACTGATAGATTCGGAGATGTAGCCCAGAAAGATCAGGGAGAAAGCAGGACCTCAGGTCGTAGTCCTCCATGAGTCTGGAGAGAGTTAGTGGTAATCCCAGCATTTAGAGATCGATGCCTTACCGAACAAGAACGCAAAAGGCTTCCTTGTCACCCATCTGCATCAGCAACGGGCCGACTAGGAAGCCTAGTCCCTGGCAGTAGCCAATCTTGTTGTCATACAAGCTGAAGCATTTCAGCACCCGTCCCATCATCTTCTGGCCTTCGCCTTCCGGATCGCGGAACATGTCAACACCGGGGAAACTCCTGCCAATGTCCTTGTTGATTATGTTCTCGTACGAACTTGACTGTCCACACAGCGACTCGTACTGGTCCTCTATTAGGCGATCTCGCGATCCTGCCATACTCTGCCAGACCACTCCCCGCAGAGGAGCTGGAATACCGCCTCTTATCTTATTCAGTGTGAGTGTCGGGAGCCGTTGTATGGTTTGCGGATAGTCCCGGACGAGGGCTGCCCAGAATTCGAGCTCGGTCATCGGTGGTGGGGATGGTAGCAGGGAGAATCGGACCGTGGCGCCATCTTGTTCTGCGACTAGCTTCTTCAGCTGATGTATCGAAGGTGGTCGAGACTGGCTGCGAGACCGTGCTTTGAGGCCGGATTTCGGGTCTGTGGCTATTGCGTTGTTTTCTTGTTCGAGGCGGGCTAGAAGCAAGGCCATTGACTGCACACGTTAGCCATGTCCATTTCTAGGTGGTTGTGAGAACATACATCGTCAGATCCCTTCTTCCGCGGCTCCTGCTCCTCTGTCTTCTCCAACTCTTCCCAGTCCACTTGTACACTGCGACCCGACTCATTGCTGTCGCTTCGACTGCGGTTCGGTGTTGTAGGAGGGCTAAGTCTCCGCGGGTCTCGACGTAAGGTCGGGGAGTCGGGCGTGATTGTGGCGTCCTGGCTGGAGTCTCGCGAGGTAGAACCACGCAGGATGTCCTGTGACGATGGTCGTGATGAAAGTCTCCGCGTGTCTATCTTGATCTGAGGTTGCCGTGATTGGCGTGTATCCTCCTCTTCTGTCTCTATCATCTGGCTTGCGTCCGACTCAGACAGGCTCACGGTGACCATGGAATCGGTGGGTAGCGGCTGGCTGTCTACATGCGTTCGCGGCGAGCGCTTTACTGCCTCCGCCGCCTTATGGACAGGATCGGTAGTCTCCAGATCCATGGTGAATATATAATGCGCGCTCAATATAGTAACATCTGAGGAAGGAGCTCCTGGAGAGAGCTTTGGTGAAGACTGCGGGCGCGCGGTTACACAAGACAACGACCCCGCGAGGTCGTCCTGTCGGTCGGAGTATCTCGTGCCGCCGGGCCTGGTAGAATAGGCGTGGTGATGCAGCTACAAACAGTGCTGGCGGGCTTGGTGTTTCAAAAGGAGGGTCGGGTGGGAGCTCGAAGGCCGAAGGAAACTTAAATCCAGGTTATGCAGGCGCCTTGAGATTTGCTCGCTGGTTCCGATTTGTATGTACTGATAATGAGCGACAATGCAGCTAAAACAGATATACAGGACGGCCAAAGGAGTGTGAGTCGTGGAGGAGGGGGGGTTGGCGGACAGGTCGTGAAGGGGTCAAGCTTGCCGTTATCAGAAAGGAGAGGGTCCTTGCTCGATCATCGCCCTTGGCGCATCACGGCCTCCCATTATTGGCCGCATCCACGCCTTTTCTCCGCAAATTAATATCGCCATTGTCCCCAATAACTGCCGCTCTCCCTTGCTGAACATCTACTTTTGCCATCCTCCATCAGGGAGGTCACTACTTTGGTGCCGGCTGCTGCGGATGCCTCCTTTATTGCGCGGCGGCCATGTGCTCGTTCATGCCTCATCAAAATCCATCGCGAGAGCTCACCGACTCATCCCTATTCAACAATAACGCGTCTTATATGACCCAGTCATGGACATGTGTATATGGACATGTACGGATAAACAAGTCAAGGAGGAATGACGCGTAAAATCCTCGCTCAAACTTCATGACTGCAAGCTTCACGATACCTGTAGGTGACCAAAGCCTGCTCCGACCTCAACCTTGGAACTCCGCTACTATTTCTTGGCATCTTTCCAAAGGCCTCTTCTTATGGTATTTGAGCAGTCGCGATCCTACTCACAGTCTAGGCAATCTGGATGAAATACGGCGCTCTGCTGTTGGCTTCTTTCTCGAGAAGCTTCTCCTTGAGAGGACGGACACTGGAGTCTCGGCCCTTCTCTACCGTGCCGGTCGTCGATCCTGACTCAATTCGATCAAGCTTCTCGGTATAGTGTCCCGAGAAAATCTCTGTGCTCTTCTTGCCGATTCTCGAAGTCTACTGGAAATCTCATATCTCGAGTCATCCAGCGGTTCTCTCTCGGAACCTGCCTCCGCAGGCCTACTACGATTCAACAGTCTGTCTGTGTAAGAGAAAGTTGAGTGCCTTCGACAGAGGTTTATTAGAATAATATTCATGTCGATTTGATCCACGACTCAGGTCCGCGGGGAAGTAGCGAACCGCTTTCTATGCACAGTCCTTTCATGAACATTTCCATGGAACTTTTTTTCTACATCATGGTTATCATGAATATCCCTACTTTGGTGACTCTGTAGCTTAGGCTACCGGTTTATCGTGAGTGGGCGACCAGTTTATCGTGAGTAGGCTACCAGTTTATCGTAGGCTACCAGTTTATCGTGAGTCAAATGTCTCTCGTCTATGAGCTATGACACCTTCCCTTGTTCTACCCACGTAGCAGTACGCCTGCAAACTAAACAACGGAAGCGATTCTCGTGTCTCAGTCGTCTTCTTTGAAAAGAACAACGATATCTCGCTGTCTTCGAGCAGCTTTGCAGCGTCTATCAAGCTACTCAGTGTCTTACGCTTTCTTTGCCCACGATGTGTCTTTCGCTGGGCGTAGAATGTTGTAGTCGTCTGCTCGTTCAAAGAACAACTAGGCGCACGAAACTCAAAGATAATGACAGCTCTCTTCGTGAGAGTCTCGACGCTCAGAATCCATTCAAGGGAACGTAGGACACAACCTGTAGCTATCCGGTTAAAAGGACCTGCGTGAACTCCCTGAGAGCATTTCCTACGCATACCGCCTTCTATCACTATTGCAAGTTAGCCAGCTTACGCTGTGGAAGTGAGTCCTGCTCCGAAAAAGTCCTCATCTTAAGATAGTTCATCATTCTCCGAAATGACCTGCTCCCTCACCTTACGCCCCAAGAGACGTGCGTCTGCCATTTCCTCCATATCGTCTGGAGACACTGCCACTCAGGGGACCAATTCAGAACCACGAGATATATCTTGTGCTTCATCGCCTTCCTGTCCAAAGAAGAGACGTACTTGCAAGGAAGATGCCTCGTCAACAAGCAACCAAGACGAGGAGGATTCCGATGCGGAGACTGGACCTCCCACCCAGAAGGCTCGCATACAGGGGGAGATATCCATACAAGGTAGCATCCAGCCTCCGCCTGTATCTCCAATCACACGCCTGTCTTTCGATTCTGTGACTGGGGACTTCTCAGCACCAGGGGTCTCTTCTGACCCCAACACTAGAATCTTATCTTCAAAGCATACTAGATCAAGCTCACCAGCCCCACCCGAACAACCATTACAGCAGCCAGTCCCCCCTCCGCTCTGGGCTGGCCTAGACGAGGAGATAGAGCCACTCTTTACCATCCTCGACACCGCAGAGCCCACTGACGACACCAACACCCCAGAACCCCACGACGATGACCCCCCAAAACGCAAACGCGGCGCCTACACCTCCCACGCCTCAAAATACCACTTGCCCTCCCACACCCACTGGGCCGCCCGCACGACCACTCAGTCTCCGCACGACTACACCCTCCCCGCCCTCTTCGCCGACCACACCTTCAAACGCGGCTCCCGCTTCATACCCCCCCAACTCCCCAAAGGCTGTACCAACAAATTCGGCCACCCAATCCCCGGGCCCGCATTCGACCAAGCCACGCTCCTAGTCCTAAAGCTCCTAGACACGCGCATCGACCCACGCACCGGCGAACCCCGCAACACTCCCGTAGTCGTCCGCCACCCCGTCCCGCGCGACTGGAGCTGCCGCGCGACGATCCGCCAGCTGAACATCGACCGCGCGCAGAACATACGCCGGATCACGGGGGTGCTGCAGCGGAAAGTCTGCGTGCCCTACGAGACGGAAGAGCGGGAGTGGATCGCGCGCGAGAAAGACAAGTCCACATCAACTTCCACTTCCACTACGCAGGAGAGCAGGGGCGGCCGCAAAGGCGCCCGCAGAGACCTCGAAGCGCGCTTCAACGCGCGCTTCGAGGGGAAGCTGGTCGGGAACTACTGGAAGCCACGGGAGGGGCGCAGCCGGGCGAGTTTGGATGCGGAGTATAACCGCGCGAAGCGGTGGTACGACGTTGGCGCTGTGCCGCCGGAAACTGCGAAGGCTGTGGCGAGGGATGATTTCGGGTGGAGGGAGCAGAGGGTGTTGCATGCTATGCTGAATGAGAGGCCGATGAGGAGTCTTGATGATGGGTTTGTGGAGGCGTACAATGCGAGTGGGGCGACAGTGCATCCGCGTAGTCTTGCGCAGTTGAGGAAGGAACAGCGAAGAAATGCCGAGCTGTATGAGAGGCCGGGGTATGTCTTCCCGTCGTACCCGCCGAAGGGAGCGGTGGATAATTTCTGCCTCGCGGAAAGGAAGTGTATTGCGGAGGTCATGGGGAAGGAGCCGGAGATTGATATGGAGAAGCTGGTGGAGATGTTGAATGAGCGCTTCGAGGGGGAGGTATTGAATGGAGACGTGAGGGTCGAGAGGACGGCTGGTAGCGTGAAGCTGGAAGTTGAGAGGTTTGGGGAGGCGTATCGGAAGGGGGAGGTCCCGGTGGAGATGAGGGCGGTGGAGGAGATGGAGGTCATTGAAGAGGACGAAAAGGTGGATGCCGCAGAGGAGCTGGAACAAGAGTGTGACAACGACGAGAGGTAGGCAGGTTTGAGGTTCTTTGGGGTACTGTTTTGGCTCACGGCGTTCTGGTTTGTTACTGTTTGTTACATCTGTAGGTATCTCTTGTAGTCTAAAGCGTTTAGGTAGGCATATCTTATTTTCTGTACACTTCCACACTAGCTCTTCCATGGCATCAGCGAATGGTAGCCTGAGTATCTTCACGCTTCTAGACCTGCTTTTCCATCCCAGCACGTTCTTTGGCGGTCTCTAGCTCTACTTCTTCTCAACAATTCTCTATTCGCTTAGTCACCAGATATGCAGTGACAAGTTTGGAGCTCTTGCGCTAGCTTCCTATTTTGGACCTCCCACAAACACAGCTACAAATTTCTCCAACACGCTAGAGCTCCTCAAGCTCATACCTACATCACCAGCGCTTCAACGATCAGTGTCTGATCCTCCACTCCTTGCCAGTGTACTCCTCCGAAGCACGTAAGTTATCCTCCACTTTCTAGCACGCTCCAGACCTGGTCCACCGCACACTCTTTTTGCAGAATCGGGCTAGTACTTCAAGCTCCTCCGTACGGCGTCGTCTGTCGAACAGTATCATCATAGCAAGCTCCTGATCTACGATTACTGACCAAAGACTAGGACAGCAGCCATGTCTTCCAACAACAATAACTCAAATAGCAAGAAGGGTAGAAAGGGTCGCCGGGGCCCAAACCGCGACGGACGCCAGGGCCAGGGCCAGCCACCTCAGCAGCAGTACTCTCAACCGCAGTATGGTCAGCAAGGGCTCCCGGGAGGCCACTTCACCCAGCCAAGTGGCGCTCCAGCTGGGCCTATGAACCCCAATGCGTCGGCCTTCCTGCCACTACCTGCGTCTTTGCCGAGGAACCCCTTCCTTCCTCCACACGCCCCGGACATAGTGCCAGCGTCGCTAATCACGCAAGGTATGTTAAATCTGCCCTAGAGAAGCAGTGGGAGGGATCATATCCGTAGATCAACTGGCGGACCTACTATCTTGATCTTTATTCATCTAACTTCTATTCAGTCCGAGCCAATAGCCCAAATGACTTTGGTTCAACTCCGTACGTGCCTGGACAGGGCCTGCGTTACCGACCTGCGAAGCAAATACAGCAGGCCAGAGCCCCCAATGCCCCTCCAGCGGCTCCTTCCAGCCGGCCAACTGCACACCAAGGTGCTTCGCAGGGCAGCCCGTTGCCACACGATTGGGAGAATCAGGATCAGAACCGCAACCTGGGTCAAGGCCAAGGCCAGAACCGGCACCAAGAGCAGCCTCCTCCTCGCCCGCAGCCTGACCAACAAACACCGCAAGGCTCCCGACCACCCACCCCCATCACTGACCCACGATACGTCCACGCCTGGGCCCCAGCATCCACCACCTCCGGCGGCAGCCAGCGCGGAGGCTCCGTAGCTACCAGCCGTCCCGCATCATCCCACAATCCCCCACAACCGCCTGCCAATCTCGTAGACCTCTTCAAGCCCGCGCCCCCACAGCCTCCTACCCACCTCGCGAGTCTCTTCAAGCAGCCCCCCTCGACCACCTCAACGCCCACAAACACCACCACCAGTATCCGCCGCTTCCTCGAAGAGCCCGGCCGCGTCGTCTACGAGCAGCAGTACCCAGCTCTGCGTGAGCTGATCATGCGCTTCATCGCGTACGCGCAGCATGACCCCACGGGGCCTACGGGAATGGACAGGGTGGCGATGCTTCGGGTTTATGCACGCGGACTGAGGGAGCCGGAGGTGGCGCAGAGGCTGGTGTATGCGGTGAGGGGGCGGACGGACGAGGTGGAGGATGCGCTACTTGTGCGGGTGATTCAGGAGGAGAGGGAGAGGATGATTCGGGAGGGGGAGGGGCAAGGGGAGGGGGAGGTCAAGAAAGAGGAGGAGGAGCGTGAGGAGTAGAGTTGTCCTGGTTACGTCCACTGCTTCGATTCAGTATACATCTAATGTACTAACAGCAACAGCCACAACCCAGAGACGCGTCTCTCAGCACCAACAGCCATGTCAAACAACCTCAACCAACCGCCATTCCGCATGCCCTATCACCTCCATTTCCACCTCTTCCGCTTAGCCAGAATGCCTATGCCATAGCTCCTCCACGCGGCTCTTATCCAAACCTGTTCTTGCCACTACAGCGAGGCGCACAACCCCTCACTGCACCCGAAATTGCAGGCTTTCGGCCATTTGTCCCTACCCTCCTCAGAACCCGCGTCCATCGCCGTGAGGTTACCAGCGACAGATTGTGTGGGTGCTTTGGCCTTTGTTTTTGACTACGTGGGAGTGGGTGTTGACGAAGAATGGTATCAGCAAGTCATTACAAAGGGCGGGATGATCTCATATTATGATGTGGCAGGCTGCTGCATGCTCGACACCGGAAGTTACGCAATCTGGGAGTCTATCGAGGACTTCTTTGACAAAAAGATCAGTGTTTGATACCTTTCGACGGATGTAGACCCTGTGTTCTTGATCCCCCACTTCCTCCCTTTGTTTTTCTTTGTCAATTGTATAATTCCCCGGTTTTCCTTCTCCTGTAGCGGCTAACGTCTTCACCTGTACACTAATAGCGACTATTAATGAACGTCGTCCGTATAAGTTGTACGATAGACGATTGATTATAAAAGAGCACAAAAGCGGTTCACGACGTGAGACACGCGAAGATCCAAAAAACCCCTCAAGGATGCTTTCTCTTATAACCTACTACGAGTCCACCCCGCGATCCAGCTCTTACCAATCTATATACTAATAACAGGGTCTTATCCGAGCGTCAGAACCTCGGGATAGTGCTGGGAAGTTATTATAAGCCCTGTGTCTGCTGTAGTGCGCAAATTCATGCAAAAGTCGCCATGCGGGTTGGCACATCCAATCAAAGCGATCATCAGTGCGAAACGATCCCTCGCGTTATAATTACTTACATTATTTAAATACGCCTAGCCTGTGGCTGTCATGTCTGTGGCTGTGCGGAGCCTGTCTCCTCTGCTGTTGACGCTCCTCGGCTCCTTTCGTGTAGGCATTGTCGAAATACTATAGGGTTTGCGCCCTTCACATCCCAGGGTCCAAATACAAATTTTGTCTATGAGGCAGCTCCGCCGCTGTTGGTGCCTCCATGCCGTTATCGAAGACCGAGCCGCGCAGGCTTAGACTCGGTAAGACGCTCACGAGTCCGCATTAGTTTATGCACCAGCCACGTTGTAGGCTATGCCCAAAGGCATCCAATACGTAGACTTGAGGCAAGTGGCTATCGAAGGAGGCTTAGTTAGTGGCGGCCTCAGTAAGCGCCGTACTCTTCAGTCCCATTTTGCTTCTTGCCCAATCGATTGCATTCACCATGTGGCACGAGAAACCAACGATAAGAAAAGCTGTGCCGTAATTCATGCGGAGAGCCTGGGATGAGGCAGCGAAGTTACTGATCGCCTGATGCCCTAAAATGAGGTATGTATATCTCATGCTGATTGTCGAACTCCATGACGTAGACTTGAAGTACATCGCCGATAACGCTGGGCCCCGTCCCCTGTCTTTCCAGCTTTCCCGTTGGCTCTACACAACTCTTTCACGCAAAGTTCCCGCAATATCCGTCATTATGGACCCGCGTATAAAGACTGCGCAAGCCGGGGGAGCAGTTATCGACAAAGTTTGCGAAGTTCGCAAGAAGTGGCACGAGGGGAGTGCAGCTAAAGCCTAGACGCAGTTCATCCAAAAGCGTCTCCCGGAGCTCGCTGCAGACCAGACACGGGTCTGGGAAAGCACTGTTTCACTGAACGAAACCCAAAAATGGGCAGCGATTGAGCAAACCAGCATTATGTCGAATACAGGGGCAACACTCGAGACCACAGCGGAGTCCATGGCAGAGAATATGAGCCGCACGGCAAAGAACACATCCGCAGTTGCCGACTCTGCCAAAAGAATAGCCAAGAACTCGGACGCTGTCACCAAACGTATCAACGGCGTTCAAATCATCAGCAATTCACTAGTTGATCGCGTCGACTATCACATGAAGTTCACGCAAGCTGCTATCGTCGGCCTCGCAATCGAAGTACATCAAGGTTTAGAAGCGCTCAAGAAAATCGGAGCAAAGCTGGACGGCATCTACGAAGAGATGATGAACTCGAATGGTATAAAAGTCCAAGGGAGCGGTGGTCCAGACGGATTTGCCCGGCATGTGTATGACTTTGTCGAAGAGGCCACAGAACAGCCATCGGACAAGCACAGGTTCTTCGTCTACCACCCGGACACTGACTGGTACCCGGCATTCCGGAGACTGTTTAGACGGAACCCGCTTCCCACAACGTTCTGCGCCAAATCAGACGACCTGGATAAGCTGTGCGTCCTCATACTGGAAGCGAGGAAGAATTTGATCAAAGAGAGCGATGACGGAAAACACGTCGTCTTCCATCTCCTTGTCCCAGCATGATACTCCATTTCGATAGTCGAACCGCTACACTTTCCAGACGAACTCCAACCGTTCCATGTCGAAGGCCTGAAACATCGGGGCAGGCCGTACGTTACGTTCAACCTCCCAGCTGCGCCGAGCGGACTTCTCAGAGGAGTTGGGAATGTACTTGATCCAGGAGGATGGAATATCATCAGTGCAATCGCGGGTGTCGCTACTTGGACTGTAGGCGGCGCAGTACTCAACGGCGGCCGGCTAGCCCTTGGAATAGGTGCTGCCTCTTTAACTGGGTTAGGACCTCTCGTGATAATCCTTATCAGGTGGGGAGGGAATATTGCTACAGAGAAAACAGTCGCGCTTCCGGCTACTTTGGCAGTTGTAGAGGCTTTTAAGGAGGAACCCCCACGGATCTTAGGCTCTGATCGCCGAAGGGCAACGACATAACGACGTTACCTTTATCCTAATGAGACATAGAACCGCAATAATGTGTTTGAGAGCTTGGAAGTAGCTGAATGGGTGCGCTGGGCTTTTTAGTAGACGGTAGGGAGGACTTATCGGAATCAATACTCAATGCAGCTGGCACCCTATTTTCACCATTTATTCAGTACGAACTACAATTCATGTCCAAGGGAAGAAAAAGACCACCAAGTCAACCCTTTCAAGAAAAAAGCTAAGAGGAGCATATTTTTTCATATGGGCGGTGACAGAGAAGCAAGCCGTTGGCCGTTTTCACTTGTAGCGCAATAGGCGGATAGAGTAGAATAAAAGGAATTGCCAAAATATTAACGCCTAAGTAAACAAGCATTTGACGAGTAAAAAAGTAAGGTGTATAAGGATATAAATTCTTAAGAGCGTAAACCAGGTTGCAAGTTTTCAGATCCTAAAAAAGGTCTTGATGCTGTAGACAATTTGGATAGGTCGTGACTAGTTTTATAGTGCATTGAGGGCTACCGTTAGTGCTTCCTCGCTGCTTTGAACATTGGATGTAGGATTTTTGAGGGTGTGAACCAGGCTGCGGGTTTTGAGAAGGTAAAAAGGGGCTGAAATCGAGGCTTGGGTAAAACGGTTGAGGTCTACGAAGGGTTTGATTACGTGGGACAAGGCACCGAAGGACCCCGTGAGTGCTTCATATCTACTTTGAAACTAGAAGCAAAATCCTATAGGGCGTAAATCAGGCTGCCGGTTTTGAGAAGGTAGAAATGAGCTGAAATCGATGCTTGAGCAAGACGGTCAAGATCTAAGAAGACTTTTGGCGCACCGAAAGCTCCGACAAGGATGCAGGATTTTCGAGGGTGTAAATCAGGATGCGTGTTTTGAGGTTGAAATGACCTGATATCGATGCTTAGGCAGAAAGATTAATTTTAGAAGGGTTTGAGTCTTTTGACAGGTTGGATAATGTATCGAAGGCTCCCGTTAGTGCTTCATCACTCAGGTTGAAATTGATGTGAACTCTGATTTCTATAGACGTCTAGCTAGTTGTATATATACTAGGGGAAGGAAGGGGGCCACCCCCAGGGTGGCGCGCTAGTAAGTTCAGATGAGCCCTGCACAGCTGAGGCTTCAGCTCGGTTCTCTACAGCTGAGATTTCAGCTGGGTTCTCTACAGCTGATGTTCGGAGAGTAGCTTTCTGGCATATGAGTTGTTGATCCTAGGTTGTAGTGCTGCAACCTGAGTTCATCACGACTTCGAAATTTCACCGGATTTCCTGAGGCAGCTTCTTCCTCCACCTACGCAGACCCTGTTCTACCATCTTCTTCCTGTTCATTCGGCCATCGATTCCGTTCGCTCGCCCGCCCTTCCTTTAATCCCTCTTTCTAAATCTCCGTCCTAGCCAAACCAGAAATGCCGAAACGTAGGATCCGCCTGACGCCAAAAGCTCCGAATCCAAATTACCTCAACCCTCAAGTTCACAGATCCATCTCTTATCGCTACTCCGTTTTCCCAATGCACCAAGATCAACTCAAGATCCATCTGCTTCCACTCTTCCATGGGCCGCACCGACACAAGAAGAAAGCTAAGCTGTGTTGTTTGGTTCAACGTAAGGATCTTTTCGACATGGACGTCAAGGTTCCAGTGATCAGTCACCAGCACTCTGTAGCCATCAGCGTCAAATCCAAGATCGATGTCTAAATACGGCAGCACACCGTCATCGTCACGGTTTTCCATGGAGAAGCAAGGGAGTGAGAGCAGGACGCCTGAAACTCGCAAGCAAGTCTCCACGGGAGCCAAGTTTTCTGCGACGCGCTCGAGAAGGTCTTGGGCCTCGAGCTCCCGCCATAGCTCGCGAGTCACGTTCGCGCAGTATGTAGCGAGCTCCGATTGCCCTGCGGCGGGCAGCGTTGCGTATGAGGGATCGCAGCATATTAAATCCACGGGCAGTTGCTTCCCGCGCAGCGAGAGGCTCAGGGGAGGTTGGAGATGCTGCCCATCGGTAGCCCGAGCAGGAACGCTTATGTGCCGTGTCATGTCCCATGCGGCCCAACTCCAGCTAGGAAAGCCGCCTTCAGTGCGCCTCTTTAATGGTTGCGGCACACTTTTCGTAGCGTACATGCCATTGGTAGACTGGCACCACAGGAGAGCGTAGCGGAGGTCAACGAGCGGCAGCCCGTACATGAAGCCGGCGGGAAAGACTGTCTTCTGCATGCTGTTGAGAAGTGCGGAAACCGCGTTCAATGAATCTGTGTCATGTGAGATAGTTCGAGTGACATATGAGCTTATGATAGACGTGTATAAGTTCATCTTCTCGCGGTGGTTCTTTTCATCCAGCCGTGGGGACGACAGTGGGTTGTCAAGGGACAGCCTACTAAACCCTTCAATCATACCGCCATCCGCGTCTTCACTGCAGTACATTTCATCGCAGCGAAAGTAGACTTGGTGCTGCGTGAACACGATCCGGCGTTGGGAGAGAACCATTTCTTGGTACGTCCATCCGCGTCTCATCCAGGGGGAACTTTCGAGTTGCTGCCCTAAAGAAGGGCACCTCGAGGCTACTTGACAGCTTCCAAATTTTGCGACGACCTGCGGAACTCGGCTTGCCTTTGGCCCCATTCCTGAAAGCCCACTGTTGGCATCCGTACCGTCTAGAGCGATGATGGTCGCGAACGCGCCCTGGTATATGAGATCCATGATCGCGATCTGAGCCATTTTGTTTTCCATGTCGGTTTGATCAATGCAAAGGGAGTCTACCCAAAGGTACCGCTTGCCAAGTCGATGTACGACATTGAGGGCGTGTTCAATAGTCAGCGGCAGATCTCGAGGAAGCACGGCGGTGCGGTCGAAAGTCGTTGAATTGGTGTGGCCCCAAACGTAACTCAAGGCCATGTAGTCGCACTCTTGTTGGTATGGTACCAGCCTGCGAGTGTGAACATCGATGAGGCTGATGCTCCGGATGCCCTCGGAGATATAGGGACGACACATGGAGTGGGTGTTGGCACATTGAGCAAGCCAGGAGGCAATGACTCGAAAGTTTGGACGCGGGTCTCTGTAATGAATGGCCCCCACCCCTGGTTCGTCGTTTGAAGAAGACAAAACGCTGAACGTCTCCTTCTCCCAGATAGTCCGCAACGGACTGGCGTCGCGGTCGTTATGGTCTGTACCGCGAAAGACTTCTGTGGTCTTGTTGTAGTGTTTCGTCCGTATTTGGAACCATGAGTTTCGGAGCAGGGACAGCGTCGGCTCAGTCGCACCTAGCTGGCTGATATGAGAAGCTTGTAGTCTATACCGAGAGCAAGCTGTATTTAAGAGTTGCGCGCAACAAACGCAGTCTCGAGTCCCGTGTTCTTCAGTACCGTCGAAGAGGAGACGCTGTATTACAATCGCGGATTGCTCTACGTTTAGCAAAGGGATTGGGTCGCTGCTTTCGTACAAGGCTGAGAGACCGGAGGCTCGGCATTGCGCACAATCTGGAGCGGATGCCATTGGAAGATGGGTACTGAATCTTTATCAATTTGATTCCCGTATGCGCCTTAACTGAAGAGAAGGCTTAAGGTTAGTGGACGTGGGAAGGTGAACGACTATCTATCCGCCCTGCCGCCTCATACAATAGAAGTCTTCGACACCTTGTGCATGCTGACAGCTTATGCACGGTTTGCATAGTAAACCCCACCAAAAATCCAGCCAATCTTGAAAACTTAATAGAATAACGTGAAATCTGGATGCAGTATACTTTAGTATCTATGTAACCAGGATCCTCAATAAAAACCCCCAAAAAATAGGGGTAATATCTAGATCCAACCCACTTCTTGCCAGAATCTCCGGATCCAACACCTAGAATCCCTGACAGGGGGGTAACGCCGTGGCGGCCTTAGCTCAGCGCCGGCCTTTTTAGTGTTGAGTAGCGCTGAGGCCTTAGCCCTCCCGCCGCGCATTAGCCAGCAGCCACCTGGCCGCGTCAAAACAATAACAACGCGTTTGTGGTGTTGAGGACAGGTGCGTAGGTAAAAGTGGTGGAGTTCGCACTGCTTTTACCTACGCACCTGTCCGGCCTCCCATAGTTCTTAATCTAACCCTTGATTAACGCTTATTTCTCAATCCAACCCTTGATTTACACTGGTTTCTTAATCCAACCTTTACTTTACGCTGGTTTCTCAATCCAACCCTCAATTTACGCTGGTTTCTCAATCCAACCCTAAATTTACGCTAGTTTCTTAACCCAACCTGCTAAATTGCATTAATCTCCTAATCCAACCTGCCAGGTTGGAGGGAGGGTGCGAAGACACAGGATGATGCCAGGGGGACGCGTTTCTCCAACTATTTCACTAGTAATTAATGGGGATCTAGTCTTAGCCATCATCTGGCGCCGTCTAACGCTATAGAAAGCCGGCGTAGAGCCTAGTAAGGTCTAATAACGCCATGGCGTTGCCCCCTTGCCAGGGTTGGATCGGGATTCTAGGTGATGGATCTGGAGATTTTGGCAAGAAGTAGGTTGGATCTAGATATTACCCCAAAAAAAAGGACGAGCTTAATTACCACCCCCCTATTCTCTCCGCATCACCCCCCTTTTCTCTTCCTGCCACCCCCCCTACATCTAGCCTAGCGCCGGCCCGTATTAATGTTGTTCCACCAATCATATTCACTCGCTTATTAGATACGTAAAACGGCAAGGCTATACAAATCGGAAAGGATGTATACACGAATCGCATAGGATGTATATATATACAACAACAACAGTCTATTCACTCCATCTACTCTAGCTAGTCTAGAAGCGGAAAGCGCCTAGATAGCCGCCTCTTAATTGCTGATTGAAAGGAACGCTGTATACACTATTATACTAAGGTCTTACACCTAAAGATTCTCCTTTACTACAAACAGCCTCTTCCTTAGGAGTACACAGAGGGCCATCCTCAAGCGCTGTTTAACTGTCAGGGACTAAGGAAATAGAGCCCTGGGCCGCTGTTAGGGTGCCTACTTATCCGGCGGAGAGGTCTAGTGCTGTATTTATAAACTGTACAGGATTGTTGAATACTACAATAGTCCTCTCGACCGCCGGCGTGTCTGTAGAGACACCTGCCATAGTAATTTAGCTGGCTGGTGTCGCAATCTGCATCGATTGTGTTGGTTCCTGTCCACTTGCAACACTCTGCTCTTGTTGTGCACGAGCAGTAGTCTTACGAGTTCGCCGGAGATGTGATGTTCCTCCACGTGATCCTGGTCCTCCACCACGCCGTTGTGCTCGCTGCGCTACGCTCACTGGATCTTGTTGAGCATCAATTTCGAATTGAGATTGATCACGTTGAGTTGAGTTGACAGATACAGATGCACGGCCACGGCCACGGCCACGGCCACTGCCACTGCCACTGCCACTGCCACGGCCACTGCCACGGCCACTGCCACGGCCACGGCCTGCTGTTGTTTGACGAGGTGCAGCAGAGCCCGTTGGCCGGCCTTTACGACGCTGTACAATTGCTGGAGCCTTAATAAGAAGGAGAGGATCTACAGGAAGGTCCACCTCGTTTGGAACAGGACGATTAAACCACCAGTGTTGATGAACATCCTCTAGCACAACTTTATACTCAGCTGTCGATGTAGCGTGCAGTTTTCTGTGTATTTCGTAACAGCATGGCATGCCGTACGTCCCTCTGAATGTTCTGTTGCATATTAGGTTAAAATTGTTATCCTTAGCCTTCTTGATCTGCTTAGCGATTAATCGGAGGCCCTGCTCAGTAACTTTTCCAATAACCTTACTAAATTCGGGCAGCTTTACCTCGTGCTGAGGAGCTCTACATTGTCGGCCAAGCTGGTCCTTTAGCTCTACACCTTAGCGGTGAATATATTAAGATAGTAGTGTAACTATATTATATAAGTCACCTGTCGAGATCTAAAGATATAATTTAATACTGCCGTTTAAACCTTCAAGCCGTAAGGTTGTAGTGTTGCCGAAGTGCGGCAGAAGGCCAGTATAATACGTAGCAATCTCCTTTCTATATAGCCACCACTCTTTAGTAAGGTAATTAATTAGGAGTTGTTTATGCGCATAATCTGATTTTATCTTATTCCAAGCGGCCACAAACTCATCCTCTATAGGTTTTGCTAGGCAGAAGTTAAGCTTGTTAATAAATTTCTTTTAATCTTTCTGTATAGCCTTAATCTTAGCTATTATTAGATCTTAAAAGGCACGTGCTGCATCCTGTAGATCTATAGCATTAGTTGCTGCTTACTTATCGTCCTTCCAGATAGCTATAGCCTTGCTGGCGATGTTCTTCTGCACGTGCTATTTGCACAGGAGTTAAGGAACAGTAGGAAAGAACTCAGCCAGCGCATTTTTAAGTGCTAGCTCTTTATCTGTGATAAAAACGCCTGGCGAAACTCCTAGGCGCTGGCATATAAGATAAAGCTTACGTACTGCAAAGATGTAGTCCCCCTCTTCTTCTCCTGGAAGGAAACAATAGCCTAGCTTATAGTTCCTGCCCTGGTTGGTAACACTGTTAATATAGAGAAGCGGCATCTTGAACTTATTTATCTTATAGGTGCAGTTGAGAAGAATAATATTAGGATTCCTCTGGAACATCTAAACACTCTTAGGATGCATAAAGTATAGATACTTAACACAGTTTGCTTTATCTAGCTCGTATTTATAGTGGTAATAAGCGTCCGGGTCGTCGCCGCCGTGTTCCTTAAGCACCTTGAGTATAGCCTGAGTTGGAGTAAGCCCCTGAAGCTTTATTTTCTTCCACTCCCATCTCTTATTATATAGGTCCTGCATCGTTACATCCTTGCCCTTAGCAAGTAGGTTGTTGAAGATAGCACCAACGGGCGTGCCTCTATTGAGCTGATTGTGTATAGTTTGAATTGTATCCTTATCTAGATCTCGGTGTACGGCTGGAGTCCCCTTATTGGCATTGAACGGCTCGTGATTGTGAACAGAAACCTCAACTTCAAAGAACCAATCACCTAGCTGTAGATCTCTCGTGAAAGCTCCTTTCATAAGGCAATTGGACTTCTTTGTACGGGTGTTCTTCTTCCTGTTGGCCGGCTTGTATATACCCGCACAATCGCAATAAACAAGCACCTTCCGCACCTGAGGTGGAGTGCGCTTGTCCATTTTATTATTGTATTTGACGATCGCGTATCCTTCCTTCTTTGCCCAATTGTTGACGGACTTCATGCCCTTATCTACGGATGCATGGCGGCCCCAGGGGGGCGGCCGGAGCGGCATAGCGGTGAGGGTGGTGATGTAGAGGACGTGGTGTTGATGCATTACGAGTGCGCAGTTGATGTAAATTCCTTATTGAGCACAAATAGTGAGTGAATATAATTGGTGGAACAATATTAATACGGGCCGGCGCTAGGCTAGATGTAGGGGGGGTGGCAGGAAGAGAAAAGGGGGGTGATGCGGAGAGAATAGGGGGTGGTAATTAAGCTCGTCCAAAAAAATAGGGGAGGGCTAATCGTACACCCCTTAACGAATAATCGTACACCCCCTTTCGAATGATTATACACCCCCTACTTTACCGCTTCTGATTGGCTCGGAGGTCCGGCAGGAGGCCTCCGAACATTCACCTTTACGTCTATCTGCACGTGCGTCTCTGCCGTATGTGAGCTCGTACGTGAGACTATACGTGAGGCTATACGAATCGACATGGCTATACAGCCTCTCCGTTTTACGGCGCATCCTTTCCGATTTGTATAGCCTCACGTACAGCCTTACGTACGAGCTGTATATACAGCTGCACAAATCGGCAGGATGCACTGTAAAATGGAGAGGCTGTATAGCTATGCTGATTTGTATAGCCTCGCGTACGAGCTCACGTACGGCCGTATACACAGTTGCACAAATCAGATAGGCTGCGCTGGAGGCTACGTGGCCGCATTTGGAGACAGCATTCGGAATTAGTGAGCAAGTGAAGCGAGCCAATCGGAAGCTCTGGCGCAACCCTCTAAGCCAATCAGAAGGCGGTGAAGTGACAGGGGAGTAGGGGGTGTACGATTAGTCGTTAGGGGGTGTACGATTATTCGTTACGGGGTGTACGATTAGCCCTCCCCTACTATAAAGGCCTTAGTTGTCCGTTATTACTAGTATTGTGGTGGGGTGAGCGGTGGCCGTCAGCTAATAGCAGGGTCACGGGGCTAGGCTCAGCTCCGGTTACATGGCGAACGGCGGCGCCTCCGCCCCCTTCTATGTAGATAATTGTAGAAAGGCACACAAGCATGCAGGTGATGAAGATCGTGATCGTCTTGTGTGTCATTTTACGAGGTGGGCTAAATACACCAGGCTGCAACTATTCGTACCTTTGTCTTTCTACACTAGTCACTTGCTGAAAAAGCTTTCTATACATACCACCTTCCTATTAGTGTCCCTCAGCAAAAAGGTACGAGCAGGCCAACGACTGTGTTGTTATGCAACTTGGTTAATCAATCCTATTCACAGGATTCTGGCACAATGGCTGATGCCGGGAGCAGAAACAGCGGTGCCCACTCTTCAGGGGAGTACAGCGGAGTCATTGAGGAGGCTAGTGTGGGCATAAGTAGCAATGTAATGAATACGTCAACCGTGCTATCGTCTGGCAGTAGGGCTCAGGCAAAAAGGAGGGCTAACAGAGAGGACAGGAGGAAGAGAGAGGAGAAGAGAAGAAAGAGAAGAAAAAGGAAGAAGAGAAGAAAGAGGAGGGAGAGCAGAAGAAAGAAGGTACAGGGTCAAACTGATAGGTGGAAAGAATGTCCTCGTCCGGATGACACAATGATGTGAGTCAGCTTCATCTCTTGGTCTATATATTTAGTCTGCCTCACTATCGAACTTATATGCACTGGCTTACCCCACTAGCGTCAGTCGCTCTTTCAATAAAAAGCTTTACAAGCTCTTGGTCGTACCCCTCCTTCTCGGCAAGCTTTTTTACAACAACACTTGCTGAGCCTTCACACCAAAACTGCGATATGATCTCTTCAGCTTTCGTAGACAGACTGCCCGAAAACCTCGGACAGAGCTGATGCTCAAGAAGAAGATGCATCGAGTTCACAGACTCTATGCAATACCAAAACCACACTCCTTTTGATTCCCACATGTCATGCATGATCTTTGCCAGTGAGGTATCGTGCTCCCTACTTACTTTTGCCCTCTGCTCTTCCTCCTCAAAAATGATCATAAACTCCTCTAGCACTCTGTTGAATTCGTGAAGATGTTCCCCACGTATCTGGTCCACTTTCTTTCCAGTAAGCCAGTAGGGCACTGCGAGCTGCTCTGCAGGGAGGGAGCATACCCACTCTAGGTCAATGAGACATGTGATATTCCATTCTTGGTCGACAATAATGTTGCTTGCGTGGAAATCAGTAAACTGAAGTATGAACGGCCCATTGCGCAGCTCCCGCCTTAGGTAATGATGTGAAAGCGTCCGGAGTAAAGTCTTTACTGCCATTTGACCACGGCAGTCTTCCTCGTCATACGCTGCGTTTGACTGGTTAAGGAAGCGATGATCATGGAATGTGAGCATATCCGACACAAATGCCTCAGTGCATGTATACGTATCACTCCTGTGCATTATCCTCGATGCCCCATCGTTTTCTAATATGATGGTCGAGCAGGAGAGTGGCCGGTTCGACAACGATATACTGCCGTCATCATGGTATCGGAATGAGCCTATTCTTAGTTGAGGGACACGAGCAAGAGAGAGCATCAGGCGAGCTATGCCTCGGAAAAGATTCTTCTTCTTAGTTGAATCTTCTCGACTCTCGGTCCACGAATCGGAGAGCATCTGCCCTCTGCTTGGTCCTATAAATTCAAGGATCATATATCCTGTATGTAGACTATAGATGGTCGGGTTGTGGGTATATTGCGAGAGGAGAGGGTATCGGAGGAAGGCATAGAGATGGCGCCGGACTATGTGCGCAAAACGGACATAAAACGGCCGGTGAATCGCGTGGGTGTACTAGTCGTTCCAAATCAGCTTGGCCTTAAGACGGTTTAAACATGAGCAGCATAAATTAGTCTTACATGGCGGCCGTCTGAAAATCCGAAGCCAACTAAGTGAGGAATAGAGATGTCAGGAGAATTGGCCTGCATCCACGCGTACGTTCCGACCTCGCAACTCAACTTTTCGTCGACCGTCCCAGAATACCTAGCCTCAGCGAGCTTGTGTGGCATCGGGCAGCGCATGATGACTGTGCTAGATCTGCCGCCAGACTTTATCTCGACCGGTATGCATATATTGAAGGTCCCTCGGATCCATGCATGCCGGTCTTGAACAATACAGATGTCGTTCCAGCCTAGACCAAGGTGGTGTGCGGTAAGATCCTCAATCGACCGTTTCTGATGCCAAAGATTATCGAATAATTTCTTGGTCTTATCGAAGTAGGCCAGCTGGTCGATAACATTGTCTTCAGAGTCCACCGCGTCCTCGTATGTGATGGGACCGCTGTCGAGTTCAATCATAGCAGGCATGTCTACACAATCGCTAATACCTTAGTTGAAGCAGTGGTCAATGGAGATGTCTCTGGAATTTAGTGGTTGATGGAGTGCAGCAAAGGTCGTGGAAAAGAGACGCGTCGGCGAAACTCAGCGCGCTACTCGGGGTTATGTCGGATTTTTTTCGCGTCCTGTATCCTCACTCTCACTGCTAGTTATGGCTTCTTATTCTGCTTTTTCTTCTTCTCTTCGCGCGCTTCCCTCGATCGAATCTAAAGCTTTCCCGACATAGCAATCGCATCGCTACTCTGCCCACCGATTCTCTACAACCTCTAAAGCGACTCCGCAACGCCTCGCCGTTTGATATGGACATCGACGTTACCCTGCGCAGCTAGCGGGTGCAGACGTTATCGGCACAGTTAGTAAAACTCTCGTTAATAAATACTCCTCGCTGCATCTGGGTCGCGCTTTCCAGTGCCTCCGTCATGGCCAGCTTTAGCTGTTCTGCCTAAAGTTGCTGGCGTCGTCAAGGACGGCATGCGCCGCTACCTATCCACCTTCAACGCCAGCATAAACCGTGGACTCCGAGAGCGCCTCACGATGCGCCGCTACTCAATGCGGCGGCACGTGAGCTCTGTTCCTGACACAATTCACGCGAATTTCGTATAAAATTGAGTTGTCAATCCACCAATAATTAACCCGTTAGATAGCTCAGTGTCAGTAAATGTATATCTGCTTCTTCGATTACAGTGCTAACCATTCTTCAGTTACCCACAGTCGCCTTCCGATATTAGGCTTCTCCCTCCGCATCAAGATAAGTATTCAGACGATAGTACGGTGGGCAACATTGATAAGGGAATCCTAACGTGCGTACTTATTAATCTTTGCCTAGCGATATACTGACCTTATGCTGGACAGGCTTCCCATCGGCATTGTACTTATGGTTATCGACCTACTTGTTGATCCACACCGAGCTTTAGTCCTACCTCGAGGAGACAAGAAGCAAGACTTCACAAACAAAGACTTCTCTGGCCTTCTTCCTAGCTGCACGACTATGTTTGAATTTACTAGTACGCGGCTTTACTCAGGTTCAGGTTCATTTCCTCGCTCCTGCAAGATCGACATTGAAAGCCCCGAAAATATTGGCTGGCTAAAAGGGCGAGGAGCAGCCCTCTCAAAGATACCCTCTATGCACATTAAACTTGCCATGCAGCTCCCCCCAAAACCCAACGGTCCCCTTCCGGCGCGACTCCGACTTCGTCAGTCGTGACAGCCTCACGAAAATACGGCGGATCTGCGTGAGACCTGCAGCGCGCGCAGCGCTTGTTGGCCTTGGCGGCGTTGGGTGAGCACTGCATATCGCAGCCGTAGAACTAACAGTAACTGCCTACATAGAAAATCCCAGATTGCTATTGTATGCTTACCAGGCACAGTGTCCGTGATTTGTGACTTCTTCCTCTTGGGGGCCGCGGAGAACTGTGTTCGAGCGTTTTACTGAATATGAGATATGGAAGGCAAATAGAAGAGCGTTCGTCTATGGATAGATGTTATATATATTGACCAAGGAACCAACAAGGCTTGGAGGAGAGAATCCAGCAGATCCAGATAATGGAAGCGGGCAGAAGACGCCGCTTCTCGCAATGGTACATGCAAGCAGTTATCCTAAGTAATCGCCGGCTTGAGCATGCTCAACTATCAATGCTAGTTTCTTCTGGAAGGTCATCCGTACTTCCCGAGAGGCTTTCAATAAATAGCGAAGTCCTGAAGCCCGAACTTCGTAAAGTCTCCGTCGAAGTCATCGCCGAATTTGGGGAAGTTATGGCCCCAGCTGTGATCCGCCATATGCGCTACGTTGATCATCGTATAGCCGTCGCCGCCTTCGCGCTTGCGCATGACGAAGGGAAAGTTGACGCCAAAAAGACCTGCAACGAAATCTCCAACCGTTAGCTCCCCTATCGTCAGGCCTATTTTTCCGGTATCTGTGAGGAACAGGGTTCGACCTGGATAACTATGGGGGCCTTCAAACCAATTCATGATGCTTTCTGCGAGGTCTTCGAGAGGAACACTCGTGTCCTCTTGGTACTGTTTAAGTTGTCCACAAACTCCTCTATACAAGCGTCGGCGCCATCTTTGTTTGGGCCAAATAGAGCTTTCAGAATCTTCGTCATGGTCACGCTGTCATGGTTCGAGTCCAAGAGATCGTATAAACACATCAGAAACTCTAGGCCGTCTCCTGCGTCGTCTATTTGTGGAAAGCTCAGGTAGCGACTCGTTATTATCGTTCCCAGGCTTGTTCCTACGGTGTACAGCACCCTGAAGTCATCCGAGAAGCGCACAACCGCTGCTGAGTTAGGCAAATAATCGAGTTTGGGGCCCGAGCTTGGGCACAGATCCCTTGGTTCATTTGTATGCTTCAGCTCTGATGTGTTGGAACTCGACTGGACGGTTGTTGCGGAGAATCGATGGTAGTCTGTATATGTGAAGTCGGGCACCCAGCTTGGAAGACCGAGATTTAAGCGCTCCTCTCCAGTACTAAGTGGCATGCTGGGGTAGCCATACACAAAAGCTTCCTTGACTATTAGGGCCATAGCTTGCGAGAAGACGTCGCTCACTGGCTTTTCGTAGTCCGGTATGAGCGTCCTCTCAGGCTTCGAAAAGTAGCAAATACCAAGGAGGCGGTATATCTTGTCCCTGGGGTCGGTAGCGTGACGGTAACGGGTGAAGTAGAGATAGTGAGTCAAGTTGACCTTCTCGAATGTGCCGGGATTACCATGGCTGTCCAGTGTGTCGATAAGCCACAAAATCTTGACAAGTCTTCGTTGTATAGAGTCGACACTGTCTAGAATGGCTTTCTCTCCGTCAATGGGTTCTGCTTTAGGCTTCAACACATCCGCTGGGTCTTCTTTGGCAATGAACTCGATCCAATGCAAAGGCAATGAGTTGATGTCATCCCTAGCAGATGCGAAGATCTCGAAAGGCGTCTCAGCGACCTTATCTTGTACCACGAAACCGATGAAATAGGATAATGGTTGCCACTAATACCCAATCATGAGGATGAGGTCCTTGATGCGAGGAGCGTTTCTTGTAATGTCCATACACGATAGAACCAGGGCCGTTCCATTAGAAGTGCCAAGTAGTGCAAAAAATACGGCACTTTTTTCGTCCTCACTCTACCACGTTTAAGACAATGCATCACATACTCACTACCATCCGTAGCTTGTCCGAGCCAAACAATCACCCTGGCAGCTTTCGAGTATATAGAACCCATTATCTGGACCTGCTGACTCCTCTCTTCCATATCGTTCTGATTGATGCACAGGGCGTCTATTCATAAGGTCCGAGTCTTCGTTCGGGATCGTCCGAGTCTTCGTTCGGGATCGCAGATGTCTCAACCCATCCTCGAGGTTCTGTGTAATTTGAAGGGGGTAATCGTTGACAGTTGCAGGAGTCTTTGATATGTCGTGACCCCAGCAATATGAGAGCGCATAGTATTTAGGGGGTTCTTCAATCGAATGGGTTTCAAGCTCGATTTTAATGTCATCGTCAAAACTGCCCGGCAAGATTTGCAGAAGGCGGATAGCATCTTTACCAGAACCTTGATCGTCAAGCGCTTGATAAGGACTTGTCGCGGGACTTTCGGTGGTCGAAGGAGCAGCCATACTAGACAGTACTGACTCTCGACGCTGAACTAAGTCTCAAATATCTGCCCGAATTGGTATTGGCGTGGCTGAAGTGTTCTGCAAGGGAAATCGCACTCAAGTGCTTCTGAAGGTAAGTGTTCTGCAAGGGAAATCGCACTCAAGTGCTTCTGAAGGTAGATACCCTAGAAAGTTTTTCTGGAGCTCGATGCAGTCAACTTAACAGCGCTTCGTCCTCCTGATATCTATCAAGAGGCTACAACCAGTTCATGTATTTGGGCAGGTGCGAAAGCACGGATGAAAACATGTTTCGAGCAATGACGACTGCAGATGGCAGATGCAGAAGATGAATGACTGGATCTCGAGATGAACAGATGCCATGATAGCTGAAGTGGATATATTGGAGAGAAGTTGACCCGCGTTGAAGTTGTGACTCTTGGGAGGCTGAGCTCGACTGCGCCACCACAAAGCAAACGTACCTAGGTAGGTAAGGCCTAGAACTCCCGGTCGCAGCGCGTAGCATTGCCCTCCCCAATCCGCTCCTCCATCGACATGGCTGCGAGCTCGGCGATCGCGAACTACTCTGAACCTGTTGTAAGCTTCCATGGTCATGCTTGTCGTCGTCGCATGTTGTCCCCCTAGCAAAGGCCGCAGCTAATAATGGCTCCAGGCAATTTATCCAGAAACACCTCAACCATATCTTGCTTATTCTAGAGCGGATACTACCGACTCCCCTAGGAGGCAAAAACTGCAATATATCGCAGTACAGGGACGTTGCTGTTCTACGGCCAAGTCCATGAGGCCAAGTGCTCGAAGAGACTCGCACGCCAACCCCACCAAGAAATATAGTTTCATGGGCTTACAACTCAGCGCAGGAGCTGCAAATCATCCCGAGGCTAATCTACAGCGGCAAACCATACGTAAGGGCCAATAGCAAATAATGGAAGCAGATGGAACATTTTTGGTGGTATCTTCCAATCATCGCGTCACAAAGTGCATGCGGTGTCCTCCCCGCACTTCATGTTGTACCACGCACAGCAACATCATGGGAGCTCTTATCAATGACAGGATACCTAATCCATCGCGCCCCTGATGTTCGGCGTTCATTACTCTTGGGGGTACCCTTTCAGATAGGGGAAACGAATCGCAATGGCCCGCGTCAGCGTCATTCCTGCACTTCCAGTATCACCAACCTCTAGCGACGCCTTGGAATGGAGCTTCCCTTCCTACCTGGAGTCTGAGATAACCACCCTGGCCGCCTGGTGTCAAGTCCAGCAGCAGCAGCAGAGGGTGCCCCTTTCTTCTTCCGCCGAGGACAGTGATGATGATCTGGATGAGTCGACTGACGACGAAAAATGTACCAATCTGCTCATTCCACCATCCCTAGATGGCGACACGGGAATTAAAAAGGACTTTCTCGACCGACTCGCCGAGCTACTTTGCTATAGGAAAGACCCTTCATTGATCACGAGCACGGCGTTGATCTATAGTGAGAGGGAGGCGACTATTGTGGCTGCTCGAAACTCGACCTCGGGCGGGAAAACTTGGTCGGACAAGGATGTCAAGATGCTCGAGTACTTGGCCGGAGTGCTCGAGAGAATTTCGGCTGATGGTCGGTGTCTCTATCGAAAACCTGCTTCCCGTGTTGATACAACTGACTTCTTGCATAGACATTTTCGAGTCTCACCCGCTTCCAGCGCTGCAGAGCACCTTGGTGGATTATTACGCTCAAAGAATTCGGCACCACGCAAAAATTGTCATGTCTGTCGAAAAGGGGACCACAGGATTGAAGTTCTTCAAAGACGGCGCGTGTAATGGCGTTGTGTCTGGCCATCTAGGTGTACACGACTTTGCCAGGGATGTTGAGGCCATATCCTATAGTACGGACTTTTACACGGAACTGAAGGCCAACCTGACACCCAACAAGCTTCGTCGCGTCGTGGAGGAATTGGCGCATATTCGAAGGCCAATGCAAGGTGCAGAAGCTTTTTTGCATGTCGCTCAGCAATGCCCTGGCTTTCGCAATGTTAAAATCGTCTTGCTCAATAGTCTCCCGGCAAGGAAAGTCAAGACATGGGCGTTACCCAAGGAAGACTTTTCGCTCACACCGCAGCTAGAACCGAAATTCCAGAAAGAAGTTGAGAAGCACAAGAATCTCCATGCCGAGATGGTGCTGATGGCCTACCTTCTTGGCCGCAAGGGTCTCTACTCGGAAGTCTTCCCGTATCTTGGGGTCAGCAAAAAGACGTGCCTTCTTTGCGGGCACTTGCTTCGGGAAATAGGCTTTTTCGAAACTCGAGGGAACCACGGGAAGTGCTATTCGCAATGGGCATTCCCCCATACTCTACGGACGAACCCTGAGGTAGCCGAGAGACTACAGACGGCTGTTCAGCGTCTAAGAGACATTCTTTGGGATGAAGGAATAAAGCGCGACGTGTCTCACCACGATGCAGAGAAGGAATCGGTGATGGCGGCCCCGGTTCCGCCCAGCTATGCGAGGAAGACGACGCTTTTTAATAGCATGGTTGAGGACCCTAGACTTCTTACGAGAGAGACTGAGTGGTTGGCTATGTTTCGAAAGCGCGACAGAGAAGCCAAGTAAGTGGTCGAGATTTGCTTGATAGTTCGCCCTTGGTTACCCTCGATGCTAATATGGGCTAGCATGACTCCTAGCAACGACAGAAGCTTTGTTAAGCCCTCTCATCCACGAGATGGCGCCAGTGCACCAAATGTTAATACTGGAGGCCTCAAAGGAAAGAAAGCCGATGCTGCTAGTCCAGCAGTCTGCGCTTTCTGCAAAGCCACCTGCAAACTCGCCCATATTTGTAAAAAGTGTGGGGTTACCGCCCACTGTACTCTCGATTGCTACCGTTCCGACTGGCATCGACACAAATTCTCCTGCAGCTTGGGAAGACCAATCGACGCCACGGATTACTTGGTGCTCGCTTGTCACGCAAACGAGTTTCCCCTTGAAGACGATGCAGCGAACAAGTACGGCTTTATGTACTTTGCTTCCGGGCATGACCGGTGGAGGCTCTTCAAGCTTTACCGCCGGCTTGTAGTCAACTGGAGCATTGACGAGGACGAGCTGCGCAGTGCGGTTGAGCAGGACAGGCTTAAAGAGATGCTTACGTTTCGATGCTTGCAAACTAGGGACCCTGGCATGCTGAGAGACATGCAGTGGCTGAAGAGCGAGGAGGGATTTGGAACCAAAGGCAAGGGGCCGGGCCTTGCTGCTACCTTCGAGGCGGCTCAGAGGGAGCTGTTAAGTCCTGACGAACAAAAGGTGCCGATCGTCAAACTTCAGCCTCTAGAAAAGCGAAACGCGCTTGTCTTCTACGCCCAGATCCGCAATGGATTCAAGCCCGATGTGGATGAGGACAACTGGATCTCATTGGGCTTTTGTACAGCTGCGGGCCCCGAATCAGAACAGCAAATCGCTTCCGCATATGGATCACTTGTCGAGCGATGCTCGTTTGATGAATTCTGGAATGCCATGGTGGAGTCCAAAATGGTGGAATTGTTTAGGAAATATGGGCTTGCGGACCGAATCCTGCGCATGCGCAATTTCAAGGACTTCATGGCCATTGTAAAGAAATGGCATCAGAGCGTGTGGGAGCTCAAGCGATTCACACGCATGAACGTGGCTGATCCGTTCCGAGCCGTTGTGGTGGACTACGGATTCATGAACTGCGAGGATGCACGCCAACGGATGCAGCTTCGAGACATATACCAAGAATACTTTAAACGGGGAGAGGATGAGATGAGACTCCATGAGGCATGCGTTGCCGGAAAAGTGGGGAGCTTCCTCGAGTCGGTCTTGGGAAGCCTTGCGGTGCACTCGGACCTTCTTCGGAATCCTTATCCCTTGGAAAACCGCCCTATAATGGGCATGGTGCCGAGTTCTGTTATAGTGTGCCCAGAGTCTGCTTTGGGCCAGGTAAATGCTTTTGAGAGGGGTGATGGGGAGGAGGTAATGGTAATTCCGGATGCTGAGGACGAGGCGATGATCAGATGGCTTCACGATCGTGCTGCGTTTCTAGGGACAGGACTGAGGAAGCGGTATTATTCCGGATCAGACGGCAAAGTTATCACGCAGTTGGCGTTGTAGCAAGGAAGTCTGTTCAATCACTATCTGAGCAAGGAGACAGCTAGATATATGGGAGGGAGAGGATATCCTGCAACTACTGAGAGGGTTATTGATCCGGATGAAATCCCCTTGGGTGTATCTGTTAGTTCGTTCGCTCATTCACACAATCTTAGTTGAGCATTTTTCTATGCCCACGCGAACTAATAAAAGACTTTTCGTGTTGTGTTCCTTGACTCAGGTTCCAGACTTCCACATCGACAGGTTGAGATACGGTAGGATTGCCAGTGGGTCAGGCTCTTTTTTGTACTTGTAGGCCCCTCCGGTATTCGCGACTGGGGTCAGAGCACTGGACTTCGAATACTCCTCCCACAGGCTTTGGAGGTTGGTTGCGATGTTGTCTAAGTCGGTGGTGCTGTATTCGCTGTTTGCATTCCTCAAGCCAGCCAATTCTTGCTCGATGGCGGCCAGCTGCTGAGAGCCCTCGGCGGGAAAGGAATTCCAATATTTCAAAAGGTCTTGCCTCTTGGTTCCTGGCTTAAGTGAGATGATGTCGTGATAAGCATAGTACTGCATTGCCAGACGGCTGAGTTTTGGCTTCAGTGGCTTCAGCTGGGACCTTTCGGTCTCTGGCAGAGACTCGAGTTTGTCGATACACCTGCTCAGGAAGGATGGAGACGTGTCGATGAGAGTACGCTGATACCACGGCACGTTCTTGGTTCATTTCTGCATACGGTCGATGGCCCTGCTGGTCTTGTGCTCAATGTAGATGGTAGGCATGCCTATGAGGGCTGCCATGTCCATGGCTCCCGTTTTCTGGCCCATCTGCACTATTCTCCCTAGGTATCGCTCCACAGGGTACGCAGGAATGTGACCTGCATCGATCGGTCAGCGGCCCTGAGCGGCTTCTGCGTGTAGTATTCGCCCAAGTGGCAGTCGCCTGGGGCATAGTTTCTACGTTCAGAACCTGGAATTTCGTACTTTGAGCCGTGACCGATGGTGATCACGTAAAAGCCCAACTTTTTTGGCAGCCGCAACAAGCTGTGCTTGGCCCTGGAGGGAGCTGTCACCTTGAGGGTTGTATCCCTCGTCTTTATTTCCTCCAGAGTAGCGGGCCCACAGAAGAAGAACTTTGTCGGCATCCTTTGGAAGCTCGGCAGCCTTCGGAAGCTTGCCCTCCACACACTCAAAAGTGTCAAGATCAAGGACGAGATCAGGCGAGGCAAGCGATTTGTAGAGGTCCTTGTAAAAGGTTTTTAGGAGATCCTTAGCGTTCTTCTCTTTTGAGAGCCACACAGCCCTGAACTGGTCTGAAATGACCTGGGTGGCGCCTGGCACTCGCATACGCACATACGGCTTGCCGGTGCTGGATGCCAGATATGTTTCCTAGGCTAGAAGTTAGGGTGGACTCTCAGAGAAGGCAGGATGAAGGCATACGAAAAACGACTTGGGAGTGTGCTTATCTTGGACTTTGACTGGCGCTCCCGGATTTGAAGTCCGGCTGACATTTTCGAGGCCTCTGGGAAGTTGAAAGCGCTGGGCTGACGAAATAATGTCAGTCCACTTTGTCAGCTTTTGATTGGTGAGCTTGCACTCGGGTTGCAGCACTACAACCTAGGGTCAGCAACTCATATGCAGTAACGTATCAGGATAGCATGCTGATACAGGAGGAAGTAACAGGTAGTGCAACAGCAGTGCTGCAGCACGGTATCAGTACTGTATCAGGAAACAGGATGAATCAAGTAACGCGTCAGGAAGAGATACCACGTTATGCCCCCGGGGCTGGCCCCCCTCCTTCCCCTAGTATGTAAACAACGAGCTAGACACCCATAGAAATCAGAGTTCACATCAATTTCAACCTGAGTCTTGCCGCCAATGATTTTCTCGATTGTGGCTGCTGGGTCCTTTGTTAGGGCGCCTGCAACATGGTATGGTGTCGCCTGTTTCGCCTGTGTTGTGGATGATCAGCTGGTCTACGACCGTGTTGACGGACCCTGCCTTTCCCGCCATGCTGCAGCTTGGGCAAGTGTCTGGGTCGAGTCTGTCGTTGTGTATTGAAGGTACGGTGGCGATGGCAACAAGTCAAGAAGGTCATCTGGTTCCACGCTTCGTCTACTGCAGTTCCGGTTTGCTTTATACCTGGCGACAGGACACATCGTGATTCCCAAGTCGTACGTTCCGATTGTGTGCAGGTGGCTTGTGATACAACACCCAATGTGTGCGTCACCCTGGATGATGGTGGCTAGCTGCCGCCCTTCGGTGTGGTCTGCCCAGCTTGCAACCAATGGTGTGGAGATACATTCGTCCCATTGACGGCCCGAAGCGCTGCAGGCGAGGGGCTGTGGTGGGCTGACCACTCCGCCATCGAGTGTTCTAGAAAGTCGATCTTGGCGAATTGGGGCTGAGCAGCTTGCACTTTAAGCTGCGGCGACTCAAAGGCTAAAGCGTTTCCACTTTGACAGGACTCAGGTTGCAGCACTACAACCTAGGATCAACAACTCATATGCTAGAAGGCTACTCCGAACATCAGCTGTAGAGAACACAGCTGAGATCTCAGCTGTGGAGAGCCCAGCTGAAAACTCAGCTGTGCAGTGTTCAGCTGAACTTACTGGCGCGCCACCCAGGGGTGGCCCCCCTTCCTTCCCCTAGTATATATACAACTAGCTAGACGTCTATAGAAATCAGAGTTCACATCAATTTAACCTGAGTACAGGCGAGCCATATCGACCATTACTGTGGCAGTGTTAGTCGGCTTCTTTGAACTAGTACTCTGCTGATTGCCGCACGCTTCACACATAAGCACCCTCACGAGCACCGGCCGTGCGTCCATTCTTGTTTCAAGTTTCTGTCTTGTCCCACTCTCTGGCCCACCGTTTAAAGCGACGTCTCTCTGAGCCATGCCTGCCATTCTACCAATGAAAGTCATCAAAGTTGGGGCGAGCGCCCAAAGTAGAATTGCACAGGCGTGCGACCGGTGCAGAAGCAAGAAGATCCGGTGCGATGGTATCCGGCCTTGCTGTACACAATGCGTCAATGCGGGCTTTGAGTGTAAGACAAGCGATAAACTCTCGCGAAGAGCATTTCCAAGGGGGTATACTGAGTCGTTGGAGGAGCGGGTTCGATCGCTTGAACACGAGATAAGGGAACTTAAAGATCTATTAGATGAGAAAGACACTACAATCGACACACTCTGCAAAAGGACGACCAGCGAAGCAACAAACTGTTCCGAAGGCTGCCAAAAGTCCAAAGGGAAACCATTGAATCATGTTAGAACGGAAAATCCCCCGGTACATGGCGGCTTGCAAGTCACAACCCTGGAGTTCACCAGCAAAGGATCTTTACATCATGCAGGGGGCCATAATATGAGCAGAAACGATGTTTCAAAATGGACACATGGCAACTTAGTTTTGGCCAAAGATGCGACTACTGCTCCATCCATCCGACTTATTGTCGCATACACCCCAGACGACACTACAGATGAAGACTACAAGACACTTCCGCGCCGACAACTTTACGAGGATGTTCGCGACAAACTGGGACCAGTTTTGACGGGACTTAATGTCTCAGAGCACGTGCTAGGTACATTTGACCGCGTTGTATTCGACAAATTTGCCATGAAATCACCTAAGACACGGCCCGAAAGCAGATTTTTGTCGAGAGAGGAGTACGACTGGTGGACGCCAGATATGTTGAAGAAGAGGAACAAGAACGCCGCGACGAGGAGTCAAGAGGAAGAGGGGTCAGTCAACAATCAGGAAGAAGCGGCAGCGGCAGCGGCAGCGGCAGCGGCAGCGGCAGCGGCAGCGGCAGCGGCAGCGGCAGCGGCAGCGTTGACTGCAGCTAATAGCGCCATCACGCTACCACCCACGGCTCAGGCCCGGAATAGCCAGCGCAAGGAGCGGCCTGATGTCGGGCACCACCCTAGACAAGGCAAATCCGGACCTGCTTCCGCAATTGCAGCACCTAGTACAGCATCGGTACAGCGACCCTGCAATCCCTTCTCAGGATCCAGTCGGTTCGCAGCCCTGGCTAGAGATGAGGATGAGGAAGTTGATGGAGAAGAGGACGAGGAAGTGGAGGAGGCGGACAAAACAGAGGATGACGGAGTTGTTGCAGATATGAGCTGTGATTTCATCTATCACATCGGTTTTGGCTTCTTTTCTCTGGCATACCGCCATTTCCCAGAATCAAAGACTTCCATTGGTGTTCTTTTGATCCAAAACCATAAAGAGATGGCTGCGAAACTTACCAAAGACCTCCTGGGCTATCGAGACCTTATCGGCCTGCCAAGTCTTCTTCCTTTTGTGGCTCAGCGGGCTATTGACGTAGTGCTCGCGTCCTGGTTAAAGTTCCAAAAGGAGGCCATCATCGAAGCGCAAGCGGAAACGGGCTACCACCAGATGCTGTCCCTTACGAGAACTAAAACCCTCGTGAACTACACCGAACTATCCGCAAAAGTGACTGGGACGGCTATCAATATCGCCACGACCGAGCTCTGCTGGCAAATCCTGGCCGAATACGTAGATTTCCTGATTCACGGGTCAAATCGTGAAACTGATATTATTGCAAGCCAGGAAACTTCGGCACCAAATCAGAATGCGACAGCATTTCTGCAGGGTGAAATGTGCCGTTCGGCGAGAAATATCCAAATGACGCTGCTTGAAGTTAAATCTTGGCAACAGAAAGCCACAATAATGGTCCAAGGAATCTTCAATCTCATCGCTCAACAGGACCAGAATACCAGTATTGGAATAGCTAGGGACTCGAGGATGATTGCAGCAGAGAGCAAGCGGGACAGTACATCTATGAAAACGATTGCAGTTGTGACGATGACTTTTCTACCAGGGACGTTTATTGCGGTCAGCTCATCCCCTTTCATTTTCACACAATGCCTGTGCTTTCACTAACAGTGTCAAGGCTATTTTTTCCATGCCTATGTTCCAATGGGATGCCACCAGCCCCACAGATGTTGTCAACAAAAGGTTCTGGGTCTACTGGTCTATCACGATTCCTCTCACTCTTCTCACATTTTTGGCATGGTTCTTCCGGATCAGATATACGCATGATGAGAAAAACGACTCACGGTGGGCAATGAAGAGTGCAGCACCAACTCCGCAGTCTACGTATTCGGCAAAGTCCTGATCTACACGGAGATTGCAGCGCTCACCCTCCCGCTTGAGGACTGTTTTGATGGTGGTGAAGTCAACCAACGAGCGAGGTTGAGGATCATTTCAGATTCTGTATTTACCGGAAAGGGTTCTTGCAGACGGGCGAATCACTCTGGATGTAGCGCTACTGCTAGGTTGCTTTAGATCGACAGGGTTACAAAGGCTTGAGGCTTCGATTGCGAAGCACGCAGGGTCATTCGGAGTATCTTAACAGCATTAGGATATTTGATCACTTCGTTTATGAGTTTATGGGACAGCAATCATATTGGCAGTGACGCTGAATCTATGAGGTCGCGATATACGACGACAGAGTAAAGAATAGAAGCAACTGGATGGTAAGCAACGAGGCTGCTAGGCCATATTTTACAGTCTTTACATACTCACCCTCAATCCATCCATGTTTACCTCATGCTCTGTCATTCACGTAGCACTTCATTCAACAGTACTAAGTGATTGCTAGAACGAAACGAGCCTTAGGGGCAGCCGAATACTATAAATTTATGAAAATAAAACCTTGGTGCGTTTCTTTCCAATAGGTTTCAAAATAATCCTATACGCTACTAAGGCTAGAATATGCTAGGGAACCGCAGGTCAACTTTAGCGGCGCGTAAAAGAGCGGAAGCTTGTTCCGCAAACGACTGTATTATCTCTAAGGTCTAAGAACAGCGTGAATATGAGTAATTTGTATTACGCAAGGGCGAAGCTTCTAGAATCGTCTAGATTGGAGGGCAAGATGGTTAGTAATAGAACTAACGTTAACTATAGGACATGCAGAGTCAGCCCGGGATCCATGACAGGTCTGATTGGAAGTACCGACCAGGGTGGCAACCTTGCCTGAATTTGCGCGCCATAGCAGACACCAGGCTGATAATAGCTTACTGCATTATTATAAGACTCTTAGGTTTGGGCAATACTCTCTCTACGTGTTATAAGTGTTCAGAGCTCATAAGTGGTCCTACAGCGAAGGAACACTGGTATGCTCGATAAGAATGATCTCTGTAACTGAAGTATGATGGCAATAATGTGATCGTAATTTTTTAGGTAGGATGGGTGCTTGATGTTTACGAATAGCTGTAGTATAAGTGTATACAGAACTATATTAAAGTATGTGAAGAGATTGAGTTGCTAAAAGTCAAAGTACTACTCCTGTGTCCGGGCTCGGGGTGTGTCCCGCTTCGCAGTGGGGGACGTTACCCATTGTTTTTCTCGCCACGGGGGGCTTCTCGCCACCCAGGGACGGATGTTGCTTATCTTCTCTTCAGCGACCAGCACCATACCAGCTTGCCAGACCTAGACCAGCTAGGCCAAAAAAAGCACCAAACTACGTACCATAACTACTTACCTTAACTTACCTCAGCGACCAGCGCCTGTTAGCTTAGCTTCTACAACTCCTCCTCATCCTCCTCATCAGAGACCTGAACAGGCGCAGACGTACTCACTGCCACATCCACCTCGCCACCGGACTCGCCACCCCTATCTTCGCCGTCAGACCAATCCACCTCATCCTCGACATAATCCTCCATCTGGCGAGTGGAAATAGCACCTTCAGTCAGCGTCGCCGCCGTCTCCTGCTCAGCAGCAGCCTTAGCCTCAGCCTCAGCAGCAATCTCAGCACGCACCTCGTGCAGCGCCCTGCCCCACGCGTCAAGCCCAGCCCTGAAAACTTGGGTCCCCGTGGCGCCAGCCTCCCGCGCGATCTGTTGGGTGCGTCTAAACACGCGGTTTCTGACCTCCAGGGAGAGTTCAGAGCCGGTATCGACGGTAGCTGCGACAGTAGTAGTAGTGGTGGTAGTAGTAGTTTGCTGAACGGTATCAACGACGACGGGGGTGTGAGTCTCCGTTTCGCCAACACCACTCTCAATCTGAGCGCTCTCGGTGTCCTGCACAGTTAAAACGCTAGAAACATGCGTCTCCGCAGTCTCAGCACCCTCAGTCTCGGGCATCCACCCATCATACTCCTCCCCCGGCACCTCCCCCTTCTGATACATCCCTCCAAAGAACTCCCAGTGTCGCTCCACCTGCGCGCGCGTGCGGTTCTTCTGCTTCAGCTCCGGGTGCTCGACGCGGCGGCGCTTGTTGAGCGCGTCCGCTAGCTTGCTGGGGTGCTCGTAGGCGTAGGTGTTCTCGTCGTTGAGGTCGCTGAGGATGCAGCGCTCGGCGTGGTGGAAGGAGATGCTGTAGTCGAGCTCGATGTGGGGAGTAGGAGTTTGGGGGCGGGGAGGGGAGGGGTGGGTGCGGCGCGGAGGGGAGGCAGAGGGGGGGAAATCGGATTCGGAGACGCCGGCGAGGTCGAGAAATCGGGCGTTTAGGACGGAAGAAGTGGGAGAGGGCGCGCTGCTGGCCGGGATGGGTTCATCGCTGCCTTGTTGGGAAGCCTCCTCTGTATGGGTTGTATCTTCTTGGGGTTTATCTTCGTCGTCAGCGTCTTTCATGACGAGGTCGCCCGTGATATCGAACTCCGCATCGCGGTACTGCTGCTTGAACTTATCGTGTTCTTCTTTCAGATCTTGATATTTAACGTTCCTGTATTTCTTTTTCTCGGCAGCGGACAGGCCAGACTTCCGTTCATCGTTCAACGCTCGCATGATCTCCTGCCAATTGAGAAGCCGCGCCCTTTGCGTGATCTTGCCAGACTCGGCTTTGCTTTTCGCCGCCTTTTGGCGAAGCTGGGCCTGGATATGTTTCTTGATTAGAAGGCGGACTTCTGGGAAGAACGCGGACTCTGGAGCCGGAGCTTCTTTTTCCTCAGGCTTGGGAGGAGCTGGTGTACTCTCCTTTTTGGCTCTCTTGACCTTTGGCTTGTCGTCGCCCTTTTCCTCTTGGTCGCTGCAGTACATCTCGATCTTGCGCTTCTTACCCTTTCCGTTGTCATTCGGCCGCTTCTTAATCTTGGGCGCCTCACCTTGATTGTACGAGTCCTGGTTCTCGAGATACTCTGCCCGAATAGACTCAAGCGTACGAGGGCATCGTCTGAAATTATCCGGCTCCCCAAAATGGGTCTCCCGCGGATCATTTGGATCAGCTCTCCCGACATACCCATCACCCGTAAAGTTATTAACAAAGTGATAATTCCACCGCTCAGCGGCTTCCTTCATGGATATTTCAGGGTACATCTCGAACAGGAGCGCCAAGATCTTACGCTCGTACTCCGTCCAAGGCGGATCGCGGCAGATGCGCTCGATGTTCGTCTTTCGACGATCGTTGATGTCCTTGATGGTCTTATTATCGTTATAGTCAAGGGGAGCACCCCAGGTCCAGTACATAGGCTGGCGTTTTGGCTTCTTGGTCTTTGGATCGACTCGCATGTCAATGAGTTTCAGAGGCAATTTATCGGACTGATCGATGCCGTTCTTCTCAAAGCGGGATCGGCGGTCTTCCCAAAGCGCGGGATTCGTTTGGCCGTTAGTGTTAATAGCAGGAGGTGAGTTCGTATGGGGTTTAGGAGACTCGCCTTCCGGGGGCATGGGGTATGTGCCCCAGCCACAGCCTTCGGTGTAAGCAGGGACTGGCAGCAGGGCAGCAGCGGCTTGGGCTGCTTTGTAGTCACTGAATAGCTTTGCGGATTTTGATTTCGGGGCATTTGCAGGGGTTGAGGTTGTTGGCTCATCTGCCTCGGATCCGGATGGTGTTTCGTCATGAATTTGGTTGACAGGTGCCGATGCGGAGCCCACGGGTACGCTGAACTTTGCCTTCTTGTGTTTTGGCTTAGCAGGAGTTGGTTCTTCAGTGACAGGGGCAGGAGGGGTGCCGAAGGCTACCTGATGTGACTCTGGCTTCTCAAGTGTTTGCTTTCCATCCGATGGTTGACTGTTGAGTACATTAACTAGCTGACTGCCTGGATTCAACTCAGACGTACGGCGATTGATGGGATTCCGCCCAGATGGATGAGAAGCGGCGTCTTCATTGATAGGAGCCCACCCAGAGGCATGAGTAGTGGGTGCAGGGTTGATCGATGCAGCTACCAAAGGAGGGGACGGAGAAGACTGCGGAGCAGGAGATGGCGTTTCCTCTTGCGGTGCACTGGTCTCCGAAGCCTCTTGACCCGTCACAAGAGATAGCCCTGGAATGGAGAAAGCGGCAGGCGGAGTCTGATTTTCGGCAGCCATCTTGATATAAAGGTTGCTTACCGTGGGCTGTATGGAGTGGCTATATGCTTTTATGCTGTATATATCGACTTGATTACGGTGATCGATTCCAGCTTTCTATAGTGTCCTAGGGATGGAGAATGATCAAGATCGGAGCGTGGGAATATGTACTTATGTCGCCGTGCGCTGTCAAAGGAAAGTCTGAATATCGCTGGAGATTGCGGGTCATCAATGAAGAGAGTTTTGAGAGTTTTACAATGCTGTTGTGGACGAATTTGGATATTTGAGCTTCGCGGTTTCGAGAACATTGAAACAAAGACAGCGGCGACGAAGGACAATAGATGGCTAAGGATTGAACAGACAATAGAACAAAGGGAACAAAGGAGGAGAGACCTTCAATGATTGCTGGCCGCGTATTGATGATTGGAGGTCATGGCTACCTTTGTAGCTTATCGGAGGGGCCAAGGGGCGGAAGACGGGCGATCGTACTGTCGCTTGCACAATCGACTTCCTCCCCCTCACCCCCCAATAACACCAAAAAGCGTCAGAAGATCATGGTTCTGGGCTCTTTGGAAAGCGCTTATTATGCTCTATCATTTCAAGTAGAAAATCATAAAAAGAACGCTTTCGCTATGCTAGGTAAGGAGGTGTAAAAATGACATCTCGAGGTGATGAAGAAAGGTGGCCCCTAAGTCAATAAGGACGTAACCTGCTGGATCATGTTCCACAATCTACACACGCTATTCTCAGAAATACCCACACCCGCAAACGGTCGTAAGACAGCCCTAGATGCTGTTTGGTGTTCAAAAGTCTCCTGTAGTATTGTCCGTAAGTCAACTATAGTATTCCGTATCTACCTAGGAGGTTTCGGATAGTACATCCCTGCGCACCTAACATGGCGGAAAAGCTCTAAACTCTTACTGAGGTTAAACGGGCTCGGTATACAGCCCTGTTTACGTCCGGTGGTCACTCTCTAATATCAAGCCTCAAACCTACCGTATAAGGGAGCAACCGCGGGTGCCTTAGGGGGGAATAGCAACCTTCTAGCCAATCAATCCTCAAGCCGGTTAAGTACTAGCCTAGAAACGAGGTATCCAAGGATCGACCCAGTTTAGCGCTAGACCACCGGACGTGAAGAGAGGCTGTAGTGGAAGACGATCGCAAGTTACAGCTTATGATAGACAGCAACACCATCTTTATATCCACGCATGTGGATCTCCATCTGCAAGTAAACAGGCAAGGGTTCCATCCGCTCATGAAGGGGCTGTTTCTGCACCAATAGAATATGGTGGCCCCCAATCCAAGCGACGCGCCCGACACCCAGCGGCACAGCAGCGCAACCCTGCAGCCAGTGACGAGCAACGAACAAGCAGCTCGCTCTCTGCTCGATGGCTAGTTCCAGGCGCCAGCTCATCTACAAGCCTTGCGACGCAACGGCGCTCCAGCCGTGCGGCTGAGTTGACGCGTGCGAGTGTCTGAACTCAAGCATCTCGTCTTCTCGCTGGCGCCGCACTCCAGCACGAGAAATGTCCACTACACCTACACCAGCAGTGTACCTCTAGCCATGTCCGACCAGGAGCTCCGCCTGCTCGCGCTCGATGGCGGCGGGGTCCGCGGTCTGTCGGCGCTGCTAATCCTCGAGCAGCTCATGGAGACGATCAACCCAGACGCGCCGCCGAAGCCGTGCGACTACTTCGACATGATCGGCGGGACGAGCACCGGCGGGTACGTTTATTGCTGAAGACGCTGGCGGAGGACATGCGTTGCTGACCGCCGACCAGGCTCATCGCGATTATGCTCGGCCGGCTGAGGATGAGCGTCGGCGAGAGCATCGACGCCTACCTAGCGCTGTCGGATCGGATATTCCAGAAGAAGCGACATCGTGTGACGGTGAAGGGCAATATCCAGGGGAGATTCGACTCGGAGGAACTAGCACGAGCTGTAAAAGAGGTTATCCGAAATCAGGGACTGGAGGAGGATGCGCTTCTCAAAGACGCGCCGGATGCAGCTTGCAAAGTGTAAGTCGGCGTTGGAGCTTCCCCAAAGTGCAAGCTAATATTACCGTAGATTCGTTTGCGCGACAAGTGGCGAGACTAGTGAGACGGCTTGCCTCACAAGCTACAGATCCCCGCGTGGGAACAACGATCTCTTGAATAGCGTGAAGACGTGGGAGGCCTGTCGGGCCACTTCGGCCGCATCGTCCTTCTTCGACCGGATCGCCGTTGGGCGGTTTGGCGAGGAGTTCCTGGACGGGGGCACGGGAGCCAACAACCCGGTGTGGGAGCTATGGAATCAGGCCCAGCTGATATGGGGACCGCAGCCGCTCGAAGACAGGATCAAATGCGTCGTGTCAATCGGAACCGGTGTCCCTTCGCTCAAGCCATTCCGGGATGACGTCCTCCATATTGGCGAGACACTCGTTGCCATCGCCACTGAAACAGAGCAGACGGCCAAGAATTTCCAGCGAGACAAGGCACACCTCGACAACACTGGTCGGTACTACCGGTTCAATGTGGCTCGCGGGTTGCAAGATATTGGGCTTGAAGAGTCGAAGAAGACGAAGGAGATTGCTGCAGCTACACGACTCTATATTGAGTCTCCGGAGGTATTCAAGCAGATGCAGGCGTGTGTAGACAATGTGACAAGAAGAGAATGTTAGTGTCAGCCTGTCAATCATTATGCATATCGCGTATTATTTGTGTAGCTAAAATATCTATATAGATTCTGGGAAATATCGAACTGTTTTTAGCCTCCAAGGTGTTCCGAGAGCGACCAACTTTGTGGACCGACCGGCCGAGATATTAGAGCTTGAACGAGACCTCTTGCCTAAACAGCAGAGCTGCCGACAGAGCATACATGTACTCCATGGCCTTGGCGGAATAGGCAAGACGCAGCTAGCAGTTGAGTTCGCACGGCGGCACCACCGCAAGTTCAGCTCCGTGTTTTGGCTAGATGGGAGAAGCAAGGACACCCTGAAACGAAGCATTGCGAGCTGCGCAAGCAAGATTCCTCGAGGTCAGATTCCGGAGACGAGTAGGGTATATTCTACGGCCAGTAGCAACAATGTTGATGCAGTTGTAAGAGATGTAATGGATTGGCTTGCGCAGCCGGACAACACCGCCTGGCTGCTCATCTTCGATAATGTCGACCGGGAATACGATCCACGAGGCTGAGACCCTGATGCATACGATGTCGGGCATTACCTTTCAAACACCGAACACGGGTCCGTCCTGATCACGACTCGACTAGCTAGGCTAGGGCAGTTTGGAGACCCGCAGCAGCTAGGCAAGGTTGACGAAGGTCAAGCCCAGGCTATCCTCAAGAATTGGTATAAAAGGAAGTATGGTAAGGTTCCGCGCACAGCGAACAGACCGATGTAAGTATTCAAGGCTAATGATACGATTACAGACACGGCAGAGAGTGAGCGCTTGCTTAAGCTGCTGGATGGGCTGCCACTGGCAAGTGCGCAAGCTGGTGCATATCTTCAGGAGAGCAGAGTTGGAATCACGACCTACCTCACCTTCTACGAGCAGCAGTGGAGTGAGCTCATGAAGTCACGAAATGAGGCCGACACGCTGCTTCAAGATTACCCAGGTCGCAGTGTAGGGACGACATGGACTATCTCTTACAACGCTATTCGCAACAAACACAAAGCTACAGCCAATCTACTCCTCCTATGGTCATTCCTTGATAACAAGAATCTATGGTATGGTCTGTTTAAAAAAGTATACCGGACTTCTTCAGTAAATGTAAGAAGAAACTTGTCGAAATGGATTGGAAATATTGGAAGCAATGAGCTTGAGTTTAGCAGGGCAATGCAGCTACTGCGTAACTACTCGTTGATTGAAGATATCGAAGAGCTGGCAAGCTATGCTACTCATCCAGTTGTCCATCGATGGGCGTACTATTACCAGGGCAAGTGTTTTGAATCGGCTCTAGGTCAACTAGCAGTAGTTATAGTTGGATGGGCTGTACCGGAGAAGTCAGCTCGGGACTACTCGGCCTTGCAACGTCGACTTCTCCCTCATGTCCAGGCCTGCTCTCGGTGGGTATTCATTACTCAAATAGAGCAAAGTTCTAGAAGTCCCGGCGGGTATGAAATGGACTTTAATGAAGGTGATGATAACGATGAGGATGGGGGTGAGGATAACGGTAAGGAACAAGAAGTGATACTGGATGCTATAAACTTCCTTGGCCTTCTCTACGCGGACCAAGGCGAGCTGGTCAAGGCGAAGGAGATGTACAAGCGGGCGCTGCAAGGCTGCGAGGAGGCACTTGGTCCTAAGCATAAGTCAACGCTCAACACAGTTCACAACCTGGGCCTTCTCTATAGGATCCAAGGCAAGATGGCCGAGGCGGAGCAGATGTACAAGCGGGCGCTGCAAGGCTGCGAGGAGGCACTTGGTCCTAAGCATACGTCAACGCTCGTAACAGTTAACAACCTGGGCCTTCTCTACGCGGACCAAGGCAAGCACTCGGGTTGTAACAGCTACAACCTAGGATCAACAACTCATACGGTTCACGGTCACCTACGTACAGACTTG